CTAACCCTAACCTAACCTAACCCTAACCTAACCCTAACCTAACCTAACCTAACCCTAACCCTAACCTAACCTAACCTAACCTAACCCTAACCTAACCCTAACCTAACCTAACCCTAACCTAACCCTAACCTAACCCTAACCTAACCCTAACCTAACCTAACCTAACCTAACCTAACCTAACCTAACCTAACTAAACCTAACCTAACCCTAACCCTAACCTAACCTAACCTAACCTAACCTAACCTAAATCTCTCTCGTACTCTTCACTCCTCTCTGCCATCTCTTCCTTATCTTCTCCACCATCTTTCAAGCATCAACCACTTCTGGCGTCCCTGCTATCTGTCCATCGTCTATCTCTGCCTGCATCCATTCTCATCAATCAGCCCCAGCTCTCCAATCAATCACACAAATCCTCATCTACTTACCTCTCCTGACTCCATCATCTCTCTGCTCACACTCTCCACTATCTCTTCTCTAATCTCTTCCATCTGTCCTCACCGTTCCTATCAGTACTCATTCTATCCACTGAAATCTCTATCCGACATACCTCTTTTCGGCCTCTCCTCGCTTTCATCTTCCCTTTACTACTCCGCCTCCTGCTCTTCGCTTTGCCTGTGTTTCATTTGCCTGACATCTCCTATCGGTCAAGATCAGTGAAGGTCAGTTCAACAGTTCCTCACCACGTCCAACTTCACCATCTCCATCCTTCGCCCACATCGCCATCAATGTAACCCTAACCACATTCGGCCTCTACGGGTATAATGCAATACCAAAGAATATATATATATATATCTCTATCCATTCTGTCCTATACATAATACAGTATATATGAGCAAATATAACACTCTTTAACCATCTCTCGGTGACCCTATCTATGTACACGCTATCTACTGCTGGTGAGACACAGATATTCACAATTATGTCAAGACTGCCACCAATCAACTACCACATCTGACAACCTCCAATGTTCGTTCCATCATCACTTATCAATTCAATAAAATCTGTGTGCGGATTTGGCCTTGAGAGATGAATTCCGCATACGGATTTGGTATGGAGAGATGAATTCCGCATACGGATTTGGTATGGAGAGATGAATTCCGTGCACGGATTGTGTCTATAATAATATTACTTGTATCCGCATCAACATAATCCGCACACGGATTGTGTCAACATCTCGTACATGCATCATTTCAATTTTCACCAATTGACATTCTCAATTTAATGCATGGCTTCCATCAATTCAATCACTCCATCGACATTGCTCTTACCAGAGTTTATACTCATATCTTATCTGTACTTTGACCCATACACTCAACAAAATCCGCATGCGTACTTCACATCAACCTCTTCTCCCATCCTGCATACTTGTCCAATTTCATATCTCTGCTTCAATCTTACCATATATCTTATCATCATCTCCCCACTTCAACAAAATCCGCATGCGTACTTTGTAACTACTCAACTCCTTTATCCTCTATATCAACCAGGTTAGGCTTTCCCTCCACAGACGCTCGTCCACTTCGCCCTAATCCCTGACGGCTTCCTAACCCTGATTCTAATACATTTTTCTGTATAAATGATGAGGTTAAATAGCTGTCCCTGATATGTTTACCGGCACAATTACATCCAGTCATGACAGAAATTCCAACCTTTCTCCTCATGAATCCCAAACCTGCCGCGACATCAATTCTCCCATCTTTCTTCACGCCCAAATCTCTATGTGAGGAATGGTCGGAAGCTATCGACTCCAACTTCTCGATGTCAATACTCGTTCGAAGCTCTCCGTCCATGAAGGGACACTAGAATCACAGTCCCCGGCTGATATTGCCTGTGACTGTATCGTCTCACCGGCGAACTCATTTGGCATCATGGATGGCGGGTAAGTGAGTCTTAGTATGCCGTTTCCTATTGCCTTCTCACCTTATTGCCCTTGACTTTCAGCTACGATCAAGTACTGTCAAAGGCCTTCAAAGGCCGGAATCGCACGCGGACACTAACTGTTGCCTGCCAAGCCGCGATCCGCCAAAAATAGGAAGGCTACGCACCACCGTCCTCGTGTACAATTACCAACATACTCTGGCCCGAACAATCATTGGGGAGCTACGTCGATCGCCATCCTGCCAACAATGAGGTCGCCAGAGGATATGACATGGCACCATGATCTAGTTTACAATGCAATGTGGGCGTTGTTGGTGGAGATAAAGCGTTGGAATGAAGCTGTGAAAGAATGCGGAGAAGGTTGAAAGATCGAGCGAGTTTTGATTTCAGGGCTTGCGACGGGTTATGGAAGAGTCAGCTCCAAGAAGTGTGCCAAGCAAATGATGTTGGCGGTCAAACCCTTTGTCAAGGGCATGCCGCAGAGTGCTGTATGGCTCAATGTCGGGGACATCATTCACGAAGTAGACGAAACCGTAAAGCTGTAATACTTAATTATCGACCAGTTCAGGAACATTGAACGGAAGCAATCTAGATAAGATTAGATTGCCTGGAACGGCCGGGCTGATAAGTGCCACGCCAGCGAGAGGACGCGCTTCCCGGACTTGTGCTGCTCGTCGTTCTCCGCAGCGAGCTCGCTTTCGACATGGCTCCTCTACACCGTACCACGATGTTGTTGTGGTCTATTATCGCGTCCATACTTGTCCTAACCACCGTGAATGCCCAAGAGCCCGAGCACACTGTATCTTACTTCCATAACTTGCCCGCTCGCTTGTTCTTCTTTGACGATCAGCCAGTGAGTCCAGTCGTGTGGTCATGCAATAGCGTTATACTAACCCTGCTCCCCCAGTCCTTAATATATCACGACGTTGTAGAACAAAATATCTACGTATCAAATGACGAGGGAAGATCATGGACTCGAGCAGACGATATTCCAGAGCACAAGGCTGCTATGGTCATAGAGCACCCGTTCGATAACAACTACGTGTGTTGCCTGACGCTTTTCGTCTTTTTCCACTGACTGTATGTAGGCTTTTGTGTTGACCAAAGGAAAAGTTCATTATCGCACACAAGACCGAGGCAAGACATGGAAGGCGTTTGATATGCCTATCGGACCTGCTCTTGTCGGTCGACCACTTTCCTTCCATTCCGATCCAAAGAAATATGGCTATATTCTGTATCAAGGTACGGCGTGTGAAAGGGTTGGACCTTGGGGTGCCGTATGTCATGACGAAGTATGTACTATAACTTTTTCCAATGCTACTCTCACTGACATTTCGATGGAGACATATTACACGAAAGATGCGTTCGGAAGTGCCCCACAGAAGCTATTATCAGAGACCTCTCGCTGCCAATTCGCGCATAGTAGCAAGGATTTCAAGCATGATGCGCACGAAGACTTGGTGTACTGCGTCGCATTCGATACCACCGCCAATGATGGCGTTCATTCCCTTTCCTCCAGCCGACTCTTTTCCTCCACAGACTTTTTCCAGAGTGACAGCCGCGTCGAGGAGCTTGGCATTGGTAAGAACGCTCGCGGTGTTGTCGCATTCGCGATCGTATCCAAGTTCGCAGTCGTGGCTATGAGAGATTTGGCGCCAGGCAACAACGGAGAAATGCTCCTATACGTCTCTGTAGACACCAAGACATGGGCACAGGCACAGTTCCCTCATGCGACGTCAGCAAAGCTTCGCGAGAATGCATACACTATCGTTGAGTCAACTACCCATTCCCTTGCAGTTGATGTGATGCTTCAAGACCAGAGCACAATCGGCACCCTATTCGTCAGCAACTCCAACGGAACCTACTTTGTAGAGAGTTTGAGAAACACGAATCGAAACGAACTAGGCTATGTCGACTATGAGAACTTATACGGAGTTGAGGGCGTTGGTCTTGCCAACATCGTCTCAAATGCTGAGGAGGTAGAGGCCCACCGTGCTTCGAAACAACTTAAATCTAGGATTACATTTGATGACGGTAGGTTTCTTCGTATTGAAACTATCTAGCGTTTGGGTGTACTCAGAATGCCTTAGGTCGTACGTGGTCTCGCCTTCGACCACCCGCGGAAGATAGTGAAGGTCGTCGAATCTCCTGCAACCCATCTGACGACGAATGTTCGCTTCATCTCCATTCCGTCACTCTTCCCCATAACTTTGGGCGAGTCTTCTCGTCTCCTGCACCCGGTTTCGTTATGGGAGTAGGCTCGATCGGCGAATATCTCCAACCTTATGAAGAGTGCGACACGTTCTTAAGTACAGACAATGGTGTTACATGGAAGATGATAAGAATGGACGCACACAAATATGAGTTTGGTGATTCGGGAAGTATCTTCGTAGTCGTAAACGACGAGGAAAGCACCGATGAGGTCCATTATTCGACAAACCTCGGCAAATCCTGGTCCGTCACTTTCATCTATCAACGTTCTGTTTCTCGTATTCACTATGTGCTTTTGCAGGAAGAAATACAAACTTGGCCTGAAAGTCCGTGCCCGAGTCCTGACCACCGTCCCGGATTCTACTTCGCAGAAGTTCGTACTTCTTGGTCAGATCAGCAAGAAAGATGCAAAAGGAAACGACGGTCGATGTGTTGTCATTCATCTTGACTTTGCCAAAACACGTCAACGTCAGTGTACAGAGGACGACATGGAACGATGGTACGCACGATCGGCAACAAATGAGGAGTGTCTCATGGGTCACAAGGTGCGCATATCTTGGTAGGAACTTCGTTTCGCTATTTATGCAAGTGACTTTTCGCAGCAATGGTACAAACGACGAAAGGCAGACGCTGATTGCTATGTTGGTGATAAATTCACGGACCCCGTGGAGCATGAAGACAATTGTCCCTGCACGGATGAAGATTATGAATGGTACGGTCTTTATAGCATCACATCTTTTGCGTTGAATTCCTAAGTATGATGAACATAGCGATTACAACTTCGTGCGGCAGAGCGACAAATGTATTCCTGCGGGTCCCGAACCTATCCCCGCTGGCATTTGTGGCGATCCTACCAAGACATATATGGGATCCTCTGGGTTCCGGCGCATTCCTGGGAATACTTGCGATAGAGAGAAAGGTTTGAAGAAGGATGAACCAAAAGAAAAGCCCTGTTCAGCTGGTATGTACGTTTGACTGTATCTCCTGCATAGTCCTTCTAACTTTCGACCAGCTCAACCTGCGGAAGGCGAGATCGTACACCAAACGGCGCGTATATGGCCTAGACGATGCAGTCGTAGTTCGCTTATCCCCGCTTTGTAGTTTGACTTCCATGCGCCGGTCGCGCAATATTCGTACTTCAGGAATTCGAGAGTAAGCCGTTGGTATACTGCGTACGATCCTTTTCTGACACTTCGTAGACCATTCTCGTTCGACTCCGTGACCACACTATCTGGCAATCAAGCAACGAGGGGTACACATGGGAGCAACAGCACCCGGAGGAACGTTTCATCTCATTTTACATGCACGCCTACAGCAATGATCGCGCATATCTTATCACCAACACGGAAACTTTCTTCTATACGACCGATACCGGCAAAACATGGAACAAGCTCAAGGGTCCAACAGCACCTAACCCGCTGGGTCTCGACGTGCTTCATTTCCATCCAATGAAGTCCGACTACCTTATATGGTCCGGTGGACAGGATTGTGCTCACTTCGGCGAAAACTGCCATGTGGAAGCTTATTATACCACGAACAATGGGCGCAACTGGAAACTCGTTGATACCTACGTTCGCAATTGCAACTGGGCTCGCGATGCGGAACTGTTGGCAGACCCGAACCAAATCATTTGCGAGTCGTACAAGAACAAGCAAGGCAATCAGCTGTTCTTCAAGATGGAGAACCCTTTGCAACTCATAGGCGGTACGGACTTCTTCAACAAGAAGACTCTTCTCTTCGAACATGTCGTCGGTTTTGCCAAGTTCTCCGAGTTTTTGATCGTCGCTGAGGTGATTTGTACACTGCTTATGATGACAAACAATTGCTAACGCGTGACAATAGTATCAAACTGACCGAGGATCTTTGGATCTCCAAGTTTCTCTTGATGGCAGAAGATTCGCGAGCGGTTTATTCCCTCCAACTATGCGACTCGAACAACATGTATGTTTTCCATGACCCTTATCTGTACATCATTCACGTCTAACACTTTTCCTAGGCTTACACTATCCTAGAATCGAGCACGAAAGCTGTCTTCCTTCACGTCACAGTTTCGGAGCCTCCAAACCCCTGGTGGGGTAACATCCTAAAGTCAAACTCAAACGGGACATATTTCGGCGTTTCCAGTGACTACGTCAATCGCAATGAGAACGGGTTCGTTGACTTTGAGAAGATGATTGGCCTGGATGGAATTGCTCTCATAAATGTGGTGTCCAACCCACATGAAGCCCCTCTCACTGGTCGTAAGGAACTCCAGACAAGGATTACTCATAACGATGGTATGACAAATGAATATTACTTTCGCAAGTGACTCTGACTTGGCACTCTAGGTGGTACTTGGAAACCTCTAGTCCCTCCAAAACTGGATTCGCAAGGAAACAAGTATGCTTGCGATCGAACAGTAAGTAATTTTCCTTGGCGCTATGATCAGAATTGACTGTCCTTGCAGAGCTGCACTCTCCAAATTCACGGTTACACAGAACGTTACGACGCGCGGGCTACGTATAGCACACCTAGCGTCCCTGGACTTCTTATGGCGGTAGGAAACGTCGGCGAACATCTTGCTGAGTATACTGAAAGTGATACATTCCTGAGTCGGGATGCTGGTTTCACTTGGGAGGAAGTACACAAAGACGCGCACCTCTGGGAGTTTGGGGACTCGGGCTCAATTCTCGTTATGGCGAATGACGAGGAAGCTACCGATCACGTACTGTTCAGCACTGACGAGGGCGCTAGTTGGCGAGAATACCGATTCAGCAACGACAAGATTCGCGTCAAGGCCATCGTCACCGTTCCCTCAGATACGAGCCGTCGATTCATTCTTATGGGCTACTACCCTCGAAGTCCGGATGCCGCTGTAGCAGTACATCTAGACTTCTCTGCATTAACTAGCAGACAATGTAGGTTCTTTTTAAATCTTGACTTCTATATACCTCATATCTAACCTCTCTTGTGATAGGTGTATTGACCGTCACCAACGGCCCTCAAGATGACTTCGAGCTATGGAGCCCTAGCGAAGAGCGTACGGAACGCTGTTTGTTCGGACGTCGGGTGCGAATCTTGGGCTTCGTGCCTCTTACCTTCTTGCTAACGCGCCGTTCATTAGACATATTACCATCGCCGCAAGAGAGATGCTAACTGTGTAGTTGGCGAACAAGAGAAACAACAAGACAAAATTGTCGAGACTTGTGCTTGCGATTGGGTCGACTTCGAATGGTCTGTTTGTCTTCATGCGAGGTTCTAGCGCCGCTCACTTCCGTCTCTGTAGTGAATTCAATCATCGAAGAGATGCCGAAGGCAACTGTGCACTGATACCGGGGACAGAGCCGTTGTCTCCAGACGATTCGTGTCATGGCGATGACGAGTATTGGTATGAACGGACGGCGTATCGGAAAATCCCTTACTCGACGTGCGAAGGTGGCATTCGCCCCGATCGTGGAACAGCACATAGATGCCCAGGTTTGAAAGGCCACGGCGCGCTGTTTTGGCTTTTCGTCCTTGTTATTCCTTTCCTCTTTGCCGCCCTTATTGGATACTATTACTACCGCAAGAGTGGCTTGGCGAGAGGGTGAGTTGTGCAAAGCGTATATCGGAGTTTACACTGATTTTGTATCCATAGGACGATCCGTCTTCCAGGTGGCGACACCGGTCCTTTGTATGCTCGAGACTCTGGAGCTCTGGCGACTTTGGCTTCTGTTCCATGGTTCCTCCTTGGTGTGGCTGGTATCGCATGGGAATGGGTATCATCTCGCTTTGAGCTTCTCGCAACGGGTTTCCGTTCACGAAGGGGGTATCGAAATGTGCCTGTCGACGAAGATGCGCACATCTTAAGATTCGAGGACGAAGATTGAGAGCTAAAAGTCGTATATCGAGATATAGAGACCATACCAGCACTATTATTGCCACTACTATAGGATTGTCCTTGCTTTGTATCGTTATTTATGCAACTGTTTTCATTACGCTTTCCCGGAGGATATCAATATATACTCAGTACACGTCTTGGCGGACGTTTCCTAACTCTCATAGTGGCTTTGTATAAATATTTGACGTAATTTGGCAGAGGGCGTTGGTTGGATTCGCGCTTTCTCTTTCTTACGCCATGACATCGAAACGGGCACGGACACCACCCATTTCGTCGTCCTCGCGAACGCCATCTCCAGAACCTACTCCCAAAGCTATTCGAATAGCCTCATTACCCAAAGATATCCCTCTAAGTCGTCCTCTTTTTTGCACCCTACCTCCCACATGCAATCCTCCCCACAGGCCAACGTCCCTGGCAAACTCCAAGGAGTTGGAAACTCATTATGCTACTCATCATGCTCATGTCTGTGAGGAGAGAGGCTGTAAATGCGTCTTTCCAGAAGCTAGGTTGTTAGAACTAGTGGGTCCCACCTCAGCTCACTCTTAGGAAACGCTACTGATGTTCCTCCCCTAACGAATGAGTAGCATCAGACTGAATGTCACGATCCGATTGCAGCCGTCCGCAAAGACAGAGGAGAAAAGATCGTGAGTATCGACTATGCTGGTGAAGCCATGCAATATTCACCACTTTCTCCCCAAATTCTTAGTTTGCATGCCACCTAGCCACCTGCCCTCGTTTGTTTGCAACCCCAAAATCGCGTCGTTTACATCTCATCGAGGCTCATGGATACCCCAAGGAATACTTTTTCGCCGTGACAAACAAGGGTGTAGGAGGTTTGTTGAGGAAGTGGGGCGAAGGTGCGAGTATGCTTCGTGGTCAATGGAGGCCCAGGCACGAAGCAGATGAAGACGATGACGGCGATAACCGCAGCGATGTTGAGGATGATCGAAAGGGAGGCAGCGAGCAGGCTGATACACTGCCTGGTGCATCATCCGATTCGCAGATTCCTTTGGTCATTGAAGACGATTACGAACCCATCCCAGCACCAAATGACACCGTTGATACAATCACTAATGCTATGGACTCTCTAAACCTTGTTCCTTCGACAATTCAATTTGGCCGTGGTGCAAAACGAGGAGGTTTCTCTGCTCACGGTCGACATGGCCATATACATATGGACATTGATTCGGAATCAGGCAAACTTCCTGCACGAGGTGGTTATAGGGGTCGTGGAAGGGGAAGGGCTTCCGCACAAAATGTTTCGCTGCTGCCCTCTGTTCCACAAAATCACCATATACCCGTACAACCTTCCGGTCATGCACGAGGATTAGGTGGCGGCCATAGATCCGGATTTCCGAGAAGGGGTAGAGCGATTGGACGAATGGTTGCAGCTCGAAGAGATTGGAATGGAAAAGGCTTATAGCACCGGCGCAATGATGATGACGGATGCCTTCTGTTTTATACCCGCAATCGTAACGACGATTGTCTTTGATATCTCGCTCGAACATGTTGCTGATCTTCTCTGCAATGTAGCATAGCAATGAATCCTGTATGTGTATGCTCTGTTTACAATGTGTTGTATGTTCTGTTGATTGGTTGTTTTGAATAGGTTGATGTATTCGCTTTGTATACCTTTGATCGTCGCATTCTCTATAGTTGCTAAGGCACCCTCACTTTGAAGACTGTCTTGCAATAACTCGACATGATCCTCTTGCATAGTCATGCGGTGTTGTCTCTTTCAACGAAACTGTTCCGGGCCGCATTGTGTTCCGTTGCGTCCCTCGTGATGGGAACTATTTCAGTCTTGAATTCCTCTTGAGAAATTCTTGGAGCTTCTCTCTGTGTGATTCTGGACGTTACGCATGGTGGTATCTCCTCCAACAGGTACTTCGTGTCGACACCATTTTCTCTCGCGGCGCGTAATGGCAACCCTTCTGATAACGTCCTCAAGCTATATAATCGATCTCATGGCTGGCTATCTACCCAACCCTCTTCTAGTGCTCAATGAAGGCCTCATCTTCTGCCTTACCAGTTGCGGTCGTGTTTCTAGCATGTACGTGCTTGCCAACACTGATCAATGCTTCGCAATTTTCCTCTTCCCAAGAAGTACCTTCTGTTAAACGCGAAGAGACCGCTGTCAATCATCCACTATTCTTTGACGTGCGTGGCACGTCTTACTTCTCTCCCTGCAGAACCTGCCAACAGAAGTCTTGTTAGATGCCGATAGATCATTTTGGCAATACTTCTGGCACGTTTAAAAACCGTTACTGGGTGAACGATACATACTATCGTCCAGGTGGACCTGTATTTCGTTCGTTCTTCTGTCAGACTTTCATGAATTGGGATCTCATTACGACCGTCTAGTATTTGACTCTGGAGAACAAGATGCTGAGCCCCTGCTGCCGTATTATCTCCAGGTACAGACATTCATTGGTGAAGTTGTCATGTTATTCACGATTTTGTAGGAATTTCACGGTCTTTCGGCCACCATGCGTCTAGCAAAGCGTTACAGAGGGATAGCTCTTCTTTGGGAACATCGCTTTTACGGTACTTCACTGCCATTCCCGGTGAACGTATATAGAGTCTTCCGCGTTCCTCTATAGTGATTGCTGATAACTCAATCAGGCAAATACGACTGCAGGTCAATGGCAATTCTTAAATACTGAACAGGCTTTGGAAGATGTCGTTTACTTCGCTAATCGTTTTGTTCACTCTTCGACGAAGGTGTCACTTCACCCTTCATCGACTCCGTGGATTTGGATTGGAGGTTCCTATCCTGGCGTTCGGGGTGCTCTGATGCGGGTTCGCAACCCTGACATCATTTTTGCTACTTGGGCAGCATCCGCTCCTGTACAAGCTGAAATTGATATGGCCTCCTACTACAAGGCTGCGGAACGTAGTCTCACTAGGAACTGTTCCGCCGATTGGGTTGCCGTTACGAAGTTCGTCGACCAAACGCTGATGACTGGCACCGAAGATGAGCAAATCGGGCTCAAGGTTCGGTTATGGAGCGCACGAGAGAGTGGTCCGACCAAACGAGTCAATGTTTCGCGAGAAATAGCGGCGTCGTTGAGCAACGTTCAAGCTGCTAGCGTGTTGATGGACCCTTTAAACTTCTATCAGGTCTGTATGAACGTTCAGTAACCTCTTACTTGCCGTGATGATTGTTCCCCCAGTACTATGGGTTTGAAGCATCGCTTTTACCATTCTGCAATCTGCTTGAAACTAGAAATTTCACCACGGATCCGCTTGAACTGGGGTTGATCTCCTCCATAACTATCAATGCCACTTTGGACGCTTTCCTCACTGCTATTACGCAATTGGATTATGATTCCATTCGAGGGGACGCAGATGATCCTATCGGGGATCGTTCTTGGATGCGACAGTATTGTTCAGAGTATGGTGCGTATTGATTTTAATGGAACGTCAGGGGTCATGGTTGTTGAATGATTCTTCAATCGACCAGGCTTCTATCAAAGGGGCGATCCAAACAATCCCCTCTCTATTGAGACTTCTTTCCGGAGTTTGGAACTGTTCCAACAGCAATGTAATTTGGCGTTCCCCACTGGTCTACCCCCTGCTCCGCAGGTTGAACACATCAATAAATACGGAGGTTGGTTTATGAATGTATCCAACGTGTTCTTTACCAACGGAGAATGTAAGTGAATGAATCTAGCTGGGGTTTTGAAGTACTAATAATTTCGAAGTCGACCCATGGAGGACCATGGGACTAGCTTCAATTGAACCGAATTCGCCTCAGCGACAGCCATCAACCGCTATTCCAACGTAGGTCCCATGCCATGAATCCTGCTAACCTACTATTGACTTCGATTTCTCAGATGCAATGATGCGCCACCGTTCCCGTCATTCTTCGGTCTCACTCACGCGAACCAGGTGCACGTATCCGATCTACGCGTGCTTCTTACACCGGACTCCAACCACACAAACTTCAAAACGGTCGGTTTCTTTAGCCCGGTCGCGACCAACGGGGAACCTTTCTACGCTGGTTTAGGACTCTTCGAGATGGCTTTGGATGAGTGGTTACCATGCTTCGAACCCAAAGGGAAGATTGCCTCATCGCAGGAATCGTTGAATATATAGTCGGACTGTGACGCAAATCTAGTGTTATTTATTTTATGATGTTTTTGGTGACGCAACGCACCCTAAGTGATCGATCATTGACCTGAACACCAATTATTATCTATTCATGACCTTCGCTACGTTGACCGCCACCACTACCTAACATCAATTGCTCACTTTCTGAATACGTAAGAAAAGTCACCAAAGGTCAGCTATGGCATCATCGAATATTGAGGCTTTCCGGGAGGCTTTGCGATCATCTAAACACATCATCTGTCTCGCGGGTGCTGGCCTTTCTGCAGCCTCCGGTAAGTATGAATCCCGTCTCCTCGTCCGGTAGCTTTAGGGAATAAATCATCACTTATAACCGATCATGCACTTTTGGAAACTCTAGGCATTCCCACCTTTAGAGGTGCTGGGGGAATGTGGCGAAAATACGACGCCATGTCTCTCGCCACCCCTACCGCATTCAGGAATAACCCCTCTAGAGTGTGGCAATTCTATCACTATCGAAGGGAGAAGTGAGACTGCCATTCTTCTATGGGTCTTTTGCAGGCTCTGAACTTAGACAAATGCGTAGGGCTCTTAAAGCACAACCGAACGCGGCTCATTATGCCATAGCGATGTTATCGCTGCCGATCTTCCGCAACGCTATTGTGGCTTCAGATGATTCGACCTTCTCGCTCGTTACTCAGAACGTAGATGAACTTAGCCGGAGGGCACTTCGGACGGTTCAATCAAGGTTGCGTTCACAGGAGGGAACGCCCAACTTAGGCGGCTCCACCATCAATAACGACCCATCACCTACGGAGCTGCTTGAGATCCACGGAAGTCTCTTCGATCTCTTATGCACTTCGGGATCATGTAGGACCGTGGAGAAAAATTACAACTCCCCCATTTGCCCCGCGCTGAAGGGTACAGAGGAAATCTACGAGAGCAATGCTAAGCTTCCCGAACCAGACATACCTATCGAAGATCTTCCTCGGTGCAGAGTATGCGGAAGTCTCGCTCGGCCAGGTGTCGTATGGTTTGGAGAAAGTGTACCACAAGTATACTTGATGCATAAGATTGCGATGGAAGCAGACCTTTGCATCGTTGTCGGTACATCTTCTGAGGTAAGCTGTATTTTAACCCCCACGAGAAACTTGATGACACCTTGTGGACAATATGGCAGGTCTACCCGGCTGCTGGTGTTGCTCAGATCGTGCGGGAAGCCGGCGGAAAGGTCGCTGTTTTCAATATTGATCGTACCGCGGGTGATGAGAATGCAGACTTTCTCTTCTTGGGGCCATGTGAGGAGACGTTGCCCGCTGCCCTCGGTCTAGAAGTACCAGAAGGATAGAATATAGGGTATGTATCTATGTTACCTAAAGCATGTATTGTAGAGGTAGTGTTTTATTAAGCAGCTTGATGGCGTGTATTCGTTCCATAAGAGAAGGGCGGAAGAGGCAACGGCGTATCTCTGTTTGGCAGCAAACTTAAAGGTGGCAAGAAGCTCGATTGCTGGGAAGAACATCTGACATAGAGAGAGGTCGTCCAGGGGAAGAGTTGCAGGCTGGCGTATCAGCGACACTCAGTCGTTGACACGTTATACCCGCCTTGACCTCCTTCATCTTATGCGAAAGCTTACTGGGATGGGAGAAACGAATCCTCCAAGTTCTCACCCGCGATCATCTTCGCCAAGCTGAGTCGGTAGTTGCCGATGAACCACGATATGCGGCAATGCGGGCCGTCCCGGACTGGAAGGTATCAAGAATGAGTGGATTGTAAGATTGTAACCTTGACTTGTACTTATGTGGTCGTTATCATCTATGCGACTGGGCAGCATTGTTGTTCGATCATGTAGGAGGAATAAAGCTCTGGTTCAATGCCGGAAGGCTACAACCTCCTCAACGTCCCCACGTTATCCATTCCCAACGCATCCACGACCTACCCCGCACGAGATATTTCACTTACCAGCTGGTGCTTCGAAGCAAGATGTCAAGACTCGATGTAAGCCTTGTGCACATACCATATGCATCTCTGACCTGTATATTATTAAATATCTTTTGAACCAAGGAAGACTACGACTTAGTCCGAATTCACCATCCCGACTCTCCACACGCACGCCATCTGGATCCCTCCGTCAGGCACTCTCGCTTTCAATCAATACGCGCCGCATATGATACACTTATGGGCAAAGGCTATGGCTCAGGCAGTACCATTGATCCCGTCTATGCTGAACTTGAACGGCGACGACGAACTCAGGAGGCATATAGACGAGCACGACAGCGGGCGGAATTCGCTGACGGGTTCCCACAGAAGAAATGGGAGGCCAGCCCAGACGACAGGTGGAAGGATAGAGTCATATTTGCCGTTGGAATACTGGTGTGTAACACATTCAATGAGCACTTATTGCGCCAATTCACTTGGCTCTTCATAGTGCCTATTCGTCGGCATAGGACCTGCAATATGGTCACCAACTCATGGTGCTGACCAGGTACATGCAGCGGCATCTACGAATCTCGCTCAAGCAAGACGTGAAGCTCGAGAGTTTGGCGAAGAGCGAAGACAAGAAATTCGACGGCGAGTCAGAGAGAACCAGGAGCAATTGGCCGCACAAGAGAAAGGGTCTTAACGTGACGGTATCTCATAGCGTCCTCATCGGCACCTGTCGCTCAGTTGTATTTGTATATTTTATGTATTCCTATTCTTGCCATTTCGATCTAGTCTGCACCCTGTCGCGGAAGCTCCAAGTCCTCTGGCCCGAAGCTATGGGGAAGAAGCTCTGCAATGCTGGTTTCCAGAATGCCATCGCCCAAGCCTTTTGCTACACGCTCGTTGTAATCAGCAGGCACCAGAAGGATAGGCATATTCTGAGGGCAGAACTCCCGGATTACCTGACGGCACATTCCGCAAGGTGAAAGCGGAGACGCGACGTCACTGTAAGTGGGGTTCAATTACGTGCATCTTAAAGCGAAATTCGATGAATTAAACGAAGCTTCACGTACGTGACGACCGCTAGCGCAACGAATGACATCGTTCCTTCGCTCTATCAACGCAGCGTTTAGATCTGTTAAGATAATGAGAATTCAAACAGCGTTGAACGTACGACTGCCTTCACAAAGGCTGTTCTTTCAGCACATATAGTTCCCCCTATTGGCGAGAAAGACCCAGCTTCAAAAAAGCAATTTTTACATAACGCTGTAGAGCAACGTACCATACGATGCATTCTCAATGTTAGCTCCTTTGATGATCTGACCGTCGGGGGTAAGGAGTGCAGCACCGACTCGAAATTTCGAGTATTTAGAATAGGCAAATTCCTTTGCTTCAGGACACCCCGTTAATACCTAGCTGTTATTACTTCGTGAAGCTCGACCACCAGTCCATGAAACATGAAGCAAACCTACCGCCTGCTGGTCGATCCGGATCGATCACGTACCTTCGAAGGCAGCCTTGATCAGTTTCTCTCGCGAAGGAACGTCCAAAACCCAAGTCAAAGCAGACATTGTGACCTTGTTTCTGGTTTGATACCTTCAGTCGTTGTTGCTCAGGGATCAGTAGTATTGTAACCAGGAGAGTTCTGCACGAAGTCAAACGATCTATTTATCTTCTCACTATCGCGGAGTTTCAAATCTACTAACCCTAACCAAGCGTCACTTACCAAAGTTGTTCATCCTTGAATCGACTTGAACCTAATACTTGTTCTCATTATTACTCCGAATAATGAGGCCCAGGACACTTTGCATCTCAACTGCCGTTCTAACGATTTCCGCCGCTAACATGACTCTATCCGTCTGACTTGTGACGCCAGGTATTAATGCGTATGGGGCAATTTCCCTGATTCGTGGTCGAAGGTCTGGGACACCAAGGTTTATGGCATGTTTGACCTATGTAGTCGATATCTTCAGCCTCTTCCAGTTTATGCACCCCTGCCAATTTCCCCGAACCACATGTCATAGAGCGTGCGGAAGGAACACATCGGCATAGCTGACGCTTCCAGCTAAACCGCACCTATGGCTATAATACCTCAGCGGCAGCCGCACTGACCTCGTTGTGTTTATCAAGACGCTTCCCTTTTGCGCAAATATTGCCATTCATCGATAAGATGTATGACAGCCCCATTTTATCACCAGTTGCGAAAGGGACTCACAAGAGATAGCTGGACGGAGCCTGAGTGGACGAGCCTGGAAGGAGCGGGAGGACACAGCCTGGGGGAGATCACCCCTGCTGTTCTTTTTTGCTCGACATGAGTGCCCGTTCCCCGGGACGCATTGACCCCTTACCTTCTGCTTCTTAAGCTCCTTTGCGTTTCTTCGCAGATCCAACCGCCCTTCCTCGCTTCTTCCTAGGAATCAGGAATGTCGCCCTCTGTGGAGTCTGCGGATACCTCGCACCAAAAACGAACAGCTGTACATGTTCATGGACTTGCTCTGCTCACGCTAAGCTTCCAGACGCTTGGTAAGTTCTCCTCGACGCCTTGCTGTTGACTGTCAGCTCACATACAAGGTTAGGAATTATTTATTCAGACATCGGTACTTCCCCCCTCTACGTCTTGAACGGTATTTGGCCCGCCACTGGACCCGCGCCCTCAGAGGAAGACGTTATCGGTGGCCTGAGCGCGATTATCTGGACACTTACGCTATTGCCATTGCTCAAATATGTAGGTAACTATCGATCTTCATTTTCTCTTTCTTGCTGATGAATGTTCATAATCTAGGTATTCATTTGTTTGCATTTTGGTACAAACGAAGGTCTGTGCAGTGATGTTTCTCAATGCTCATAAGCTGAGCATCGTATTAGGAGAGGGAGGAACATTCGCACTATTCCAAGGTCTATTTCCCCCTGAAGAAACGGACTATGATGCGGATAGAAACCTCACTGGCGATAGTCACAGAACCGAGAAGCCGTACAATCAGTCCAAGCTCTCAATGAAGCTTCGTTGGCCGCTCCTCGTGTGGGTGAGTGATCAACGAATAGCGAAATACTTGCAATGACACCAATAGCTCCCAAAGGCGCTTTTTGGTACCAGTTTGACCTTAGCAGACGGAATATTCACGCCGGCCGTTTCAGTCACTAGCGCTGTATCTGGTATAGCAGTCGCTAAGCCTGAAGTGTCCAGCGAGGTTGTACCGATATCTATTGTGAGGCCTCACATTCGAGCCCTTGGACAATGTACGCTGTAACTCATGCTTTCCATCTTAGGCTTTCATTGTTGTCTTGTTCCTTGTTCAGTCACGGGGAACATCCATTCTAGCATATGTGTTCGCACCAGGTACCGTAGTTCTTTCCGCCCATCCACAGATTAGATCATATCTCACTCCCTATTACGAACCCCGTAGTAACTTTTGCCTGGCTCGTACTCCTTGCTGCAACCGGTATAGTAAACATCGTATCTTTTCCCGGTATATTCCGCGCCTTCGACCCCTCGCGCGCGGTGCTGCGTATGTCATGTCCTACATGGACCCCCGCCATAAGCCAATACTGAACTTCATGTACCCAGTGTTCGTACGAACGAAAGATTATGATCTTTTGGCTGGTATCCTCCTATCCGTCACCGGATGTGAAGCGTTGTTCGCCAAGTATGTCTGCAACTGCTATCGTTTGGTCTTTAATACTCATTCGTAACCGTAGTCTTGGTCAATTCAACATGTTGTCCATTCAAGTTCGTTCCACATTATGACTGCTTTTTCGAATAAATGAACTTACCTCTCGAGTTTCCATTATAGCTTTCATTTGGAAGCTTCGTCTATCCCAGTCTCGTGCTTGCATATCTCGGACAGGGTGCGCGACTTGTCGTGGACAAGGAAGCAGTACTATCAAATATCTTTTACAAGACTATTCCAGGCCCTCAAAATGGACCGTTGTTTTGGTGTGTGTTCTCACCATATGTCTTTTCAGCACTCTGACGGTATTGCGAAGGATCTTATATGTTTTTGCCATCCTTGCTACGGTAGGCTCCCTTCTGACTGCCCTGTCACCAACTAAAATGTTGATATCTCCTCCAGCTAATCGCATCTCAAGCTATGATTACGGCAACGTTCAGTTTGATCCAACAGCTAGTGAACATGCGCAACTTCCCACCGTATGTTCGCCTGAGCCCTCACTTATGCTTCCTCACTCATTCACTTGTCGTACCCAGTTTGCGGTTTAAGTACACGTCTGAAGTCATCCAAGGTCAAATATACGTACCAATCGTCAACTGGATACGTTCGTCCTTTTTATTCTGTCGTGTTGAGCAGTTCTCTCATTTTCAAGCTCAGTTATGATTGCGATTATCATCATTGTCGCTGCCTTCAAGAGTCCCACTGCTCTGACAAATGCTTATGGGTCAGTTGGGATTGCGCTCTTACCTTCATATTTGCTGACCCTATGTCTAGTTTTTCTGTAGCAACGGTCATGTTCGCTACAACGATCTTGATTTCGATTCAAATTGTATACGTCAAGCGCAAACCCGTCATGCTCGCGTTAGCTTTCTTCTTTGGTTTTGGGTTCTTAGACGGTATGTCTACTTCACTTTTTAAGGCATATCCTGAGTCCCTCACACGTGTTCAGGGCTATTCTGGGGCGCCGCCTTGAAGAAGGTTCCCGAGGGTGCTTGGGTGTCATTGATGATTGGCCTAGTTTTGTATGTTTTGCTCTGTTCATATTTAAATCATCTTCCCTTTGTGACTCATCATTCGCAGACTAATTATCACGGTATTCTGGTCTTGGGCAAAGGTGAGATGTGTCGATTTTCTCCTTCTGCCTCGTTATTGACTAACGCGTCTGGCAGGGTCTTGAAGACCGATTTGACGGCAATAACCGACGCAACCTTCGAGATATCATTATTCGCAAGGATGAGTCAGAAGAGAGTGACATGGTCGCAGTCCGTGTTCATTCACCCGATATTGAAGATATTGAGGATGACCACGACGACCTCGAGTCAATGAGGAAATCTGAACGGTACTACGTGCTTGATGACGTAGGTCCCGGGTCTGGCCTTCGTGAAGTGGACCTCCATTCCGAGCCAGCACTGGGCTTGAAAGCAATGACCCGCATCCCCACCTGCGCTGTGTTCCACAAATTAACCGCAGGAAGAGGTGTACCTCATACATTTGTCAGTAAGTCCGTCGTGATTGTCTAAATCCAAGCGGCATGAACCATGGTAATTCACAGGTTTCTTCCGCCAATGGCCTGCATTACCACGAGTTGTAGTATGTGTATCAAATATTGTACGTAACTTTCTCCTGATGTATTGATCTTCCGCAGATTTTCCTGTCTGTTCGTGTTTTGCCAATCGCTCGCGTCTCCTTGGATGACCGGTATATCGTATCGAAAGTTCGAACTTTGCAAGGTCTTGTCTCCCTCCGAATCCTTGGTCGAATCATGGCTGACAGCACCGACAGGCTTCTATGGCGTGACTTATCATATCGGTTTTCGCGATGAGTTCGATGTCAATGTGGGTCTGTCATCCTTGTGGATGCGTAGCATATCAAACGGTTGACATCATAGGTTGACGATATCATCGAACGGATATGTTCGCTTGAGGCGCAGAGCAGCCTTCCAGAATCGACTTTACTTATACAGGAGATTAGGAATGTCGCGAAGAGCTCTACCCACATGTTCGTACTCTCTTGGCCTTGACCTTGCCCCTCACTTACCAATTGAATCCGGTCAGCGTCCCTCACTACGTCGTCTCGAGTACGCATCTTGCAGGTGGAAAATTGACCAAGGTTGTCAACTGGGTTCGCCGCTTCCTCATTGAAGATGTTTACCGCAGTATAGGTAGGTCCAGCAGATGTTATCAATTTGGCTCTCTTTTTAAAAACCTTTCGCATCAGCTACCATGTTCCCGGAGACTGCAAACTGGCTGGGTTCTGCAGACAAGTGAGTGTATGTCTTTCGCCGCAAGTCACTTATTCATCGTTGACTGCCTCAGAATCATACATGTCGGGATCAGTGCGACGATATGACGGTTAACGGGTGATTGCCGTAAGAACACTGTAACGTTTCGGCGAGAGGAGTTTGGTGTCATTTTTTCCTGTTAGACTGTAGATTATTGTGTGCAGGTCATAGACTGTGATATGAGAATACTAAAGGGTAGGATCTTACGTCCCCATATTAAGTACCATCCCTTGAATGTCAAGTATCAGTTAGGACACGACGCGGGACACTTGTTACACCCTTAGGTCTCTGCCTCAATCAACTCTCCGCAAGAGCGCTTAAATTGTCCTCCTGACAGCAGTCGAGCGGTCGCAATGACACTCACCGAGACTGCCAACTGGCTGTAAACAGCTGATGGGCGAGCTTCGCTTTCACGCAGAGTAATTCACGTTGGCATCAACGCAATCACACGAGAAGACACTGTGTACCATCGAGACGGAATATCATGACAGTTCCGTGCGTGTAAGTAGATGGTGATCACAGATCAGGCTACCCTGCAGTGCTGTGATGGACAAATATATCGTGTTGAACAAGAAGCGAGTACTGGCCCATAAAACCGCTAAATAAAAATTAAAAAATAAGTTCAGTCATGCTTTCAACTCGCCCATGGAACAATTTGATGTCGAGATTGCCTCAAGCAGGGCAAGCATCTCCGCCGAAGGAGATACCGTTAAAGTATGGTCCCAGATGGTTTGGAATATCCGCGTGCAATGGGCTAGTCGTATCCGAACAACTCTTGACATGCAGCATTAGCAACGAATTAGATAGACGGACGGAGATCGTCGGGACTAACCTCATTCTCCTGCCCCGGACATTCGAGTATAGTCGCTTCGCCTGACTTATCATCTACTGCTGTGATGTGCACTTCGCCTGATGCGTGTTGGTAGGACAGGAAACGTGGGGGTACAATCGGAACTGGGTCTTTCTGGTTTGTAACATGAGTAAACGTAGGAAACTAGAGAGTGTGTGTTGAATAGTTAGCGACAGAGCCAGGAAAACGAAATACCAACATACCAACTGATCAACCATGTCTGCAAACTCTTGGTTTCCAACCCTCGGAAGCCCGAACCCAACGGCGTCAACTGTGACGTCGGATGGTAGGTTCATCCTCAGCATGACACCGTCAAGGGTGGCAACAGCAGCACCCAATGAATGACCTGCAGCACGCCGTTTAAAAACAGGAACGAAAAGTCACCCCGAATGGCTTACCCGTGACCAAAACCCGCTTGAAGCCAGTGCTGTTCAAGCTATTCTTAACAGCCGAGAGGACGATATCGGCGGTTCTCCCCTGTGTTTTATGAAAACCATCATGCACAAGTACTCCCTCTGATACATTGGAAGTCAAATTTAATACCCAGGTCTGTATACGGAATGACAAGAAACGTACCGGCAGCTGAGGGAAATAGTGTCGAATTCATCTTCACTTGGGCGAACTGGACATCATTTGCGATTGAAAGAATATTGTCAGGCTCCGTCCCTTGATGAGCGACTACGACACTCTGGGTTGAAGGGTCGGTCGCAATAAAGACTGCATGAACAAATCTTAAACTAAGGGCGAGAATTTTAATAATTTCGATGGAGACCTACACCCGGGGATTTCTCCATCATCACCACCTGCAGTGACTACGCTGATGCCCTTTACAGCATCGCAAGGTGCACCACAGTTCAGAGCCGTAACACTGGGTGCACTACAGTAGGCCACACGAGAGAACAGTGCAGGACGAAGAAGTTGTGAGCTGATAGTAGCCTGAGAGAGTGTGGTAGGCTTTGCATCGGAACTCGTTCCTGCACCAAAGTGGATTCCAAACAAGGGTGTAGGGACAGGCGCTGCAAACGAAAAGAGTGAAACGGCCGAAAGGAAAGTGATGAACCGAAGCATGACTCCAATGGAACGTTTATAAAAAGCCGCCTGCAGGAGAAATCGAACAGAAGAAAGACCGCCGGGGTCGCTGAATGATAACAATGGGGGGAAGGGGAAAAAAGGGGGGGAAGGATTGCAAGTAGCACCAGGCCCGCTAGATACCTATGTTCAGCTGCTCGGCAGTCTTATGCATATGGGTCGCGACAGATGCCACGGATGCCCAACATGGCTTATAGCAAGAGTTCACAGCATCATTCCTGTTATTTGTGGAGCAGTTGGATGGCACGAGGAAGCGGATCCGATAGGCCAGGAAGCATACTAGCGGCGATGCGGGAGAGATGCATTGGGGACGGCAAGATGGGAACGAGAGTTGTTAACAAGAGTTGTTCGCCCAGGTTAACCGTTCACATCATGACTTGCGGGAACAACTGTCCTCACAAGCGCTGTCAAACATATTGAGATCTTTTCCTGAATGTTGGTTGTGATGCCTTGTATCGTTCATGCTGTGTAAACTTCAATACTGTAAGGTAGAAGAACAGTGAAGAAGGGAAACTGTCATCCTAACCATTGACGATAACAATCCAGTGGTAAAGGTACCCTGTCGATGCCCGCCTGGTCGGAAGACATGCAAACATTCAGGAAATTGAGCTGGAATCTGGACGGGGGCAAGAAATTCATACGAGTTGTCATGACATCGCGGGAGTTCCAGCGGTAGTTACACCAGCTCCTCCTTAGTACCTTAGGCCTTAGCACCCCATATGTGGCACTTCTCACGGCCATCTAATACAGTTTCATAAATTCGAATTTCGGTATACCCATGTCAACAACTTTGTCCTCTAGTATACCGGTTTATGCTTCGAAGGTTGACAACTCTTGTAAATTCTTGATAGATGGATGTACAATTCTGATTTAGAGCACATGAAGCATAGAAATTGCGAATAGATACTGAGGTATGGATGAGTATGCTACCGTCAAGAAGATGGGAGAGAACAAGAACAAAATAACCGCACATATGAGAACAACAATATGAGTACGATATATGCAACAAGGAATAACAGCGTTGAAAAGACGAGAGGCAGAGAGGAAAAGCGGTACTCTCATATTCTAGAAATATCATCTCTAAACGTGCACACCTCCTTCAAGGCTACAGCGTCGGAAAGGTCGACGGCATTGGTTCGGATCTGGCGGGCAATCATTCTCTAGAATGGGAATCCCCCTCGTGAAGAATGACTGTGGCCAGAGAACCCGTGGAATTGAGCAAAGAGCTCTGAGAGGTCCATGTGTTGCATGCCACCCATACCGTCCATGCCTCCCATGCCGTTGTCGTCGTCTTCCCCGTTATCATATCATATCTCCCCCGCTTCATAGAATCCGAGAGGACGGAGTGAGCTTCAACGACCAATTTGAACTTCTCTTCGTCACCACCCTATGAATACGAGTGTTATATGAGAGAAGTGAGATTCGAGATTGAGGTATACGTGCCTTGTCTGGATGATGCTTCAAACTCTCCCTTCTATACGCCTTCTTGATCTCCACCTCAGTCGCCTCTCTCGACACGCCTAGGATCTTGTAATAATCCTTCGATTTGCTCCTCTTCAATGCAACCTCGGCTTTCTTCAGCTCCGCCCGTAACGCCCTAACATCAGCATCGTTTCCCTCAAACTCAGCTTGTTCGATCGCGCTCTTGAAATCCGCAATACCTGCGTCGTATTGCTCGAGTTGAACGTTGATACGGGCACGTGTACGGAGAGCTTTGAATGAACCAGAGTTCAAAGCGAGGGAAGCTTCTGTGTCCGCGAGAGCATCTTCCCATCGTTCAAGCTGCGAGATGTGTTTGATAAAGATGATCAGAGTACACAAAATAGTACGATATTTACCTTGACGAGTGTTGTGGCACGATTAGACAGGAGCATAGCACGAATGTGCCCACCCTTGCCCTCGTCCTCTTTCTCGCCCACGCGCTAATAGAGATTAACTCGTTAATCGTAGAAAACGCAATCTGAATACCGATGCACACCTCCAGAGCCTCTGAGTATTTATCAATTGCGTCTTGTAGCCGACCAGCTTTGAATGCAATATTGCCCTCTTCTTTCAGCCGATCGACGTCCTTTATCCGTTTTCGTAATCTTTGGGCAGGTACGTAGCTAGGATCCAACCGGAGCGCGGAAGACACGTGCTGCAAGGCAGACATCGTCTTTGTCGAAAGGAACAGGATGAGACCACGAAGTGTAAGAACATCTGGTGAATTGGGTTCTGACCGCAGAGCGTCGCTGAATCCCTTGATGTCAATATCGGGGAGAACTCACGGTAGACCTCAGAGCGAACGTACTTGGCAGCGATACCGGCCTGATCCCAGTTACCCTTTGCAACCTCCAATTCCACCTTCCAGAGCCTCCATTGTGTCGGAATATCTCCACCCTCACTCTCAATAGCTTGTACACACTTATCCAACGATAATCTCGCCATCCCCCATTCCTTCTTTCCTTTTGCAGTTTCAAAGTTCCTGAGATGGGTCTCCAATTCGTTGACTTTCTTCTGCAGTTGTAGCGCTGCGGTATTTTTGGGATCGATTGCTAGGACAGCACGAAGCGTGGAGAGCGCAGGAGCTGTTGAACCTGTAGAAAGCTGACACCGAGCTAGTCGGACAAGTGTCTTTGGTGAGGGTGATGCAGATTGCAGAGAGGCAGCTTGTTGACAGTCGGTCAAGGCTGGCTTGAAACGCTTTAAAGCCATATGAGCCGCAGCGCGATTTGTAAAGTATGTGGGTTCCAGGGGGTTGAGCTCTTGGAAACACATTGAACAACTATAAGCATTACGACGCTCATGCGAGTACGAGAATGAGACACACCAATGGCTTTAGTGTATAGGTCGATTGCATCTTGGAAGCGCGAGGCTTTGAACGCGGTATTACCCTCTTCCTTCACCTTCTCTGCCGCTTTGATAGGGTCTACTGGTTCCGAAGGTGCGGGAGGTTGAGGTGTTGGAGGCTCGACCTCCATGACTTCGTCGTCTTCGTGTCTGCAAGATCGCGCATAAGTATTGGATACAAGGGAATAGAATCCATATTCTGTAAAACCACCGAACTCACGATTCTACCGGAATCGGTGGCACGGAGCCATTCGGGGTAGACGATTGAGCAGCTTCAGCGGCCTTTGCCTGCTGCCTTTTCTTCTGTTGCGACTTTTTCTTGTTTGCCATGGTGTCTATTGAATCAAGACAGGAGGTCGAAAGGAAAAAGCAAGACGAAGTATATTGAAGGAGGGTACGTTAGAGCAGAATATCCAGCAGGAATATGGCCGTAAAGGGCTCAAATTGCCATGAGCGCCCATTTCACCTCTATAGAAGAAGCGCGCATATGAAGACAGCTTACTTTGCTAACACCATGGTTCCCCACACTCACAACGTTAAGTACCGCAGTCATAAAAGCTTCACTATAGCCCTCTAGTTGAGGCTGTTCGTCATTCACCCGTGACCAACTAAGCTAACGACAAGTCAAAATGAATGCATACAACCTCGGATTGGCTCCTGGAAGCAACAGATTCAAACGGACGTTTTCTTGGATCGATTGGCTTTCTCATGGAGGTCCCGTGCGCAATCCACGGTCCTGGCACATGCAACAGCCATGATGCTTTTTGCTTCATAACGATAGTTCGATTACCGATATTCCGACTTGATGGCGATTTCATCATCGGGCAATGCAAACAACGCGTCCACTCCCAAGTAGCATCTCTCGAATGTTCACGGATCGACATTAACCATGATGTATATCCCCTCCATCTCCCTTCACGGCCCACTGGCCCGATAAGCCTATACCTTCCTACTACACCGATCTATAGCATCTTTCGTATGTCCAGATTAAGATGCAGAAGACTGCATGGTCTGAGCGCGAAACGCACAAGTATGCCGTAAAGATAACTCTTTAGCATGCCTGTTCATGGCAGCCGGACCTCCGTAGTCAATCCTTCGTACGTCTTATCCGCCCCTTGGTCTGAGAAGCCGTCTAGCCTGCTTACCCCTGTGCCGACCATATGCGCCTTTTTCAGATCCTACGTTGTGATCGCCATATAGACCCTTAGAGGCCCTTCCGTCAGCTGTCATGCCACAACGCTCGGTTAGTGTGCTAGACCTGTTATCGTCTCATGCTACTCTTCCAAGAGGCTGCCCGCGTATGCCTTCCTCTATGTTGTCGTCTCCGTCATGCCATTCTAGGCAATGCCACATTTCGTTTGACCAGCTAGTCGAACAATGCCGAATACTTATCAGTCCACCATCCATCATCGAACACTTCTTTCCTTTCTTTTCAGCCATCTTAGCAGGAATCGTGAACACCATCTCTGGTCCAACGTGCTTCGCGGCTATTAAATTCGTCACCTTTGTCTGTCGTTCGTTTTACAGTACTAATGCTCCCGTCCTTACGGGCGTTCCTCTGAGCGGATATAATCAGCCAACGTTCTTCTGTCTAATTTGATACACCGTCCGCGTCCCCAGCATCGGTGGCATTTCAAGTGTCCTTCTCCAGCACCCATCTTTCAATCATGACAACCGCAGCTTCGAACCCATTTACCGAGCTCGACGTCCTCGTCTCGCTCATAACGTCATCCGTAGATACTATCAAATCTGAATACACTCAACTCAACACTTCTGCCGCTTTAGATCTCTCTCTTGATTCCACAGAGAAGCACCCTCTCGACCTGAAGGCAGTTCCCCAAACTCTCCAAGATGCGCTCCGCACGCTTCAAGGTTCCTGTGCTCAACTGGGCAACATCGTCTTGCCACCTGCCTATACCATCGCCACAGTAAGTCCCCGTCTATCTCATCAACCTACTCTCCTCATTTATGATATCATCGGAACTGATATATTTACACTGCGTACTTCTAGATGTCTATGAGTGTGCGTGTTCTTTATCGCTGCTAGTCTATACTATTTACGATTAGTCTTAACGCCCTGACCGTTTAATCGTGCAGCACTTTACAGCGGCCTGTCTCAACGTCGCCGTCACCACTAAGGTTGCAGACCACCTTCTTCCTTCCGGCGCACAAGGTTTACATGTTAAGGATCTAAGCAAACTAACGGGTATTGTACCCAACAAACTAAGTCGGGTATTGAGATTGTTGGCAACCAAGGGATGTTTCAAGGAAGGCCAGTATACCCTCGATTCATCTACTCATGGGTGTGGGGTGACTGACCTGTGTTTTCCCTAGTCGAACCCGACGTTTGGGCCAACAACAGATTGAGTGTGACTCTCCTCAAGGACGAACCTACAAGCGCGTTGGTCGGTCTCTTGTACGTACCTTCTCTCTCCTCTCAAACATTCACTGACTTCTCTAACTCCCACCAGCACCGATGAAGCTTACCTCTCCGGAACGTCCCTCGCGAGCACACTCACTGACCCACATTATGGACCCTCCCTCAACCTAAACGAAGCCTCTTGGAACCGAGCTATGAACTTTAAGGGTACCCTATGGGATTTCTATAAAGACGTGGACCCTGCTCGAGGTAAACGGTTGGCGGAGGCTCAAGTTGGGTTTAGCCATGTGCTGACTTTTGAGAGTGTATTGCATGGTGCGTGTTTTCCTTTCAGTCGTTATCTATTCATCAACTCTCCCTTCTTCGTTCTTCCTACTTCTATCTAAGGCGTGCACGAGCTGAAATTTATAAACTTCTTTTCTTAGGCTTCCCTTGGTCCACCCTTCCGGACGGTACAACCATCTGTGACCTTGGCGGAGGATTCGGTCACGTTTCAATGCATATTGCCAAAGCATGCCCTCAACTCCGCGTCGTTTTGCAAGACCAACCCTCCACCGTAGCCACTGCCAGAGAGTATTGGAACAAGAGCGCGGCTGAAGTCGTCGAACAGGGCCGAGTGGAGTTTGTAGACATCGATTTCATCAAGGAGGCGCCGAGGGAGGGATGTGATTATTACTTCGTGAGTGATTTTGATTTCGTTTTTGGTTTCATGTGAGATGCCTTGTGGAAGCGTCGTTGATGTTTGCTCTCTGTTATGACAGATCAAGAATGTCGTGTACGTCTCCCTTGTTACCTTTCTTTATTTTAGCAGATAAGTTGCTGAGCTTTTTGATTCATGTAGTCATGATTGGCCTGATCATGACGTCATCACTATTCTCTGCAACGTCAAGAAATCGATGAAGCCAACTGCCAAAGTCCTCATTCGTATGTTGCCGTTGTATCCCCCTCGTCCTTGACAAATCGTCATTCGAATACGCATGTAGACGAGTTCGTGATGCAACATGCCTCGTCAGATCCCCATTCTGAGGATGCGTTCCTGAACAAGGTAAGTTGGTTCAATATTATCTGCTAGTACTACACCCATATCTATCCTTCCGATCATCTACTGCATTTGTACTTTCATCCAATTCCTTGGATAGCCCGTCCCTATGCCTTCACTTTCCTCATCCTCGCATCCTCTAAATTCTGCCACTCTCATCTCTTTGACCTAAGCCCACCTCTGTTCTGAGTATGAACTAACCTTGCTTCGTTCATAGGCTCCCAAACCTCTCCTCCCAAGCTACGGCGAGGGACGCGTGTTACAGTACTACCTTGATGTCGGAGTAAGCTTCACTCTGCTTAATTCATCCTATCAAACGCGTACCTAATCGCGCTTCTGTCCTATAGATGATGGTAAGCTGGCCCTTCTGAGTCGGGCTATAATAGCATTAGTAGCTGACATCGGCGTGGGTAGGGTGTGGTCAATGCCAAGGAGCGTACTTTCTCTGAGTTCAAAGCAATCGGGTAAGTCTTTCTCCTTCCATCCTTTATTCGTCGGCACCCTCCTGCGGATATACATTTGCAGTTCACAGCTACCCATCGACATCACTCTCGTTTTCCTTTCCGCTTCATTTTACTGATCACGTTGATGTCTTCACAGGAAAGAAGTCGGCCTCGAACTCGAGAAGGTCTGGGAGTCCGGTCAAGCGAGTACCATCGAGTTCAAGCTCGCTGAAGGCTCAACCAGCAAGTGAGACCTAAGCTTATTGCATCGCTTAGTTCCTTTAGAACGCCTCCGCTTTTATATCACGCCCAAGTCAGCTTGAGAGTCCAAAGCTATTGCTTCTAATCCAGCTTCATCCCGGTATTTCTTCCAAGATGTCTGCAAGGTCTACTAATTGTTGTCGAGAATAAATGTTTAAATGTATAACCCTATGCACGAATTTCGCCGAGTTAACATTTTCAATAGTGATATGAATTTTAATAAATCATATGTTATATGCCGGAATAGCTCAGCTGGGAGAGCAACAGACTGAAGCGGCGCTTAAAGTGCATTCTGGAGGTCCCGTGTTCAATCCACGGTTCTGGCATTTTCTTTTCTTCAGCCTGGCATCTTATTTTCTTCAGCAGACGGAAGGTACACTTGCATACCGAGTTCAATAATCTTTCAGCGTCACATTGAAATACGAACATGGTGCAATCCGACGGTTGTCTTATCATACATTGGAGAGATAGTGGCGCAACGAAACGGCTGCAGCTGCTAATAGGAATATGTCATGTAGAAGGTTAAACTATCAAAGAGTGGGACGACAAGTGGAGAGCAATGACGAGAGCGTAGGTATTTTTGTACAACATCAGTACACGATCTATATAGCATTAGTCACTCGACACAAAGAAATGAACTAAGAAACCCAAAAGAAACTAGAAACAGCTATTTAAAAACCAGTCTAGGTGTGGGAGAAGGAGCAATTAGACAAAGTTCAAGATAGATAAAAAGACATAATAAAGAGGGTGACGGTGTATGGTATTGGAATAAAATTATTAAAACAAGTGTCCGAGGAAAGGGGTTAATGTCTATGAGGCCATACCGGATGGTCCTGCCGTGAAGTGCCTGAGACTTCGACGACATATGTACATAGTTCGAAAGCGAATCTGGCGCAATCGAAGCACGTCGCAGAGGTTATGACAACCGAAAGATGTTTAGTTTTCTTTCATCTGGGTGTCCCGGTCTGCAGAGAAGAAATAACCCGTGATGTTCTTCTCGTCAGGTGTCTCGATGGGACTAGGATAGTCACGACCACCGGTTGGGAAGCCAACATTAGGAGACGTCATGCTGAAATCTTCAGCACCGGAGCGGGGTGATGAGCGAGACATGGGGGGAGTTTCGATCGGGATAAGCAAGTTATCGGTCGTACGAGACCGGTGTGTGAGGGGGCGACGAGGCGTGCTTGGTGGCTGCGAGGACGAAAAGCCAGTGGAAGATGGAATGTTAAGTGTAAGCATTGGCGGGCACGGCGGCAGGGCAGGAAGCGGTACGGTGGGCGGAGGAGGGGCTGGTAAAGTTTTTCGGAGTTGGCGGCGAGGGCTATGTGCATACGTGTATGAGATAGAATTAATAAGGAAGGCATCTGAAATGTTTTACCGTAGCGCAGTCCCAATACTTCCACTCCGGAGGCGACCCATCAGACTATTGCCTTCCGTAGCATCGTTTGCTGCAACAGCCACCCGACTAAACACTGACTCGTGAACACTGCCAGCTCTGGCCCTTAATCGCATGCTGCCTTGTCCGGAGGAAGCGCTCATAAGGGTATGGAGCTTTTGAGCGGTATTGGCAGAAGAACGGGCCTTGATTGACGAGACCGGAGACGCGCCCAACGTTATTGAGGAACGACGCCGGCGAAGTACTGGTGCAGGCGAAGGAGCAGTTTCGACTATCGACGAAAGCGTGTAGGTGGAGGATGATGAGGTAGCGGTGGGTGTGGTGTCCTCGCTGAGGTTAGTGGCGTTCGAGCGGGGAGTGGCGGTCTCCGGTGTTGAAGGGCGAGCGAAAGGATCATTCGAATTGGCAAGGAGCCCGGACGAAAAAAAGGCAGAATAGTATGTCGCCATTGTTGGAATCGTTCAGAAGAGAAAAAAGGTGCTTCGGTGTGGATACAGGATGGGTATATCTCGTTGGTTTCGTGAGTTCTAGTGAAAGTATTAAGCACCACTTGGCCTGAGGGGTATGGTGAAGGTATCTGAAGAGGAGTTCTTAAGGATGTCGTGGCTAAGAAGAGAAAAAAAAATTGGTTGCTAGCAGGAGAGCAATGGTTGGTTAAATGGAGCGGATTGTCGCGGCTGTAACCGGCACGTAACCGAGCTCATGTTCGCTTGTCTAAAGCTCATCGCGTAAGCACGACAAACAACGCGTAAATAACGCGTCCTCGAAATTGAAATATTGACCCTCTGTATCCATTGTCTTGGTTACATATGTCCTATTCAACTCATTCACTTTTTGACAAATGTAAAGCAAGAGGACTAACAGAAACTAGCTAGTCAGATTCATTCATGTAGAAAACGGTTCGTTGGCAGTACAATCCGTATGAAAGATATAGAGTATCCATCAAGGAAGATTCTTTAGGAAGTACAACACTCCTCGTCACAGAGAAACACACAAAGGGTTGTATCAGTGCAAAAGTCAGAGCATTCAAGTGATTGATGTGTGGGACCGGCCATTGCGCCGATGCCAAAGGCGACAATGACTACAACAATTCCTAAGAATCGCATCTATGAAGGGTCAATCACACGAGTCTAGTTCTGGGAAAGGAAAACGTACCGTAGGATCAGAGGAGTGAACTGCTGAATTCTCAAAGGTCTATGCATTTATGCCAATCCGAAGCCGCCCATTCTGACATTCTGAGTTATCCTTCATACCTCCTAATACCATGCATGCTGTCACAGCCGCAGACGAGAACATCCAAAGTGCCAACCTGTGGTGCCCATCCAGGCACTGACGACACTCATCTAACAGGATGAATATAATCGATGACCATTGTGAGTGCAATAAAGTGAAGATACGAGAGCTACTTATCAGATACTAAGCAGCAGGCAAGTATGGGAGTGACAACCAGCTGAAGTGTGGTGTATACACTTCTGTTCAGCAAATCTGACGTTGCTTGCAAATCTTTGGTTAAGTGAATGCCTTGGATGATCAAGCACCGATTGGATAGAAAATGCTCAAGCTCGACAGGCCTGCAAGCCCAATCAAGATGACAAACAAAGCTCCGAATCTTCTCAGATGGTTTTCCATTGAATGATTCCTGGTCTAGTGCATTTACAGTAGATACAGAGCCAACAAAACTAGAGAGCTATATGCTTGAGTGATCGATGTCCACAGCTGATTCCACCTGGCCTGACGGATCGGGATCAGATGATTCAGTACGAGATGAGGCAACACACAGACCATGACTCTTCAAGAAGCAAATAATACGCATGACTGTCTGCGAAGCAATAAACAAATCTTTCATCAACAAATGATCGGAAGGGCTGATAAGCTTGTGCATGGAAGCGAGAAAGGTCAAAGTGCATAACTGCCTGTTCATGCCCATAAATATAATTTAGAGAGGGAGTGGAAACTTTCAGTCGAGAACCCGAAATTGCGCCTGGAAGCCTGCCAGTGGAACCTCTTTGTAAGAGGCCCTCTCCTTCAGCCTAGCGAAGTCCTTGATACTGCACGCCAGATCATAGGTTGTCAGATCCTAAGAAGTAGTATAGGGATGTCAATTTCAACAAAGAGAAACCACTCAGTTATTAAGTGAATGTGAGTCCTCATGCGATCAGTATACAGTGGTCATCAATTCGAAGTGGTAAGCCTGAAGACAGCTGGTAAGAGATGCCACCATGCCGACACTCCCATGTGGCATTTGGCACCGCATTCATCATGATCTTCCCCAAATGGGAAATGATGAACTTGTACTCAAACTCCTTCAATTTGTCTCCTTTATTAAATAATGTAGTTGGTCGATGGCGTATTGTATCAAATGGACCCTAGTGATCAGTGAAAGCTGGTTTACTGAGCAAGAAACAAGCATGAACTGTCTTCTGACACTCAAGTAAATCGTGAATCCCCTGCAGGATCCACAGAAGCGATACAACAGTCCCTCTAAAGGCTGATTACATATATCACTGAAGGCATGCAGACTCCATGATACTACCCGCAGTCCTGCATGCGGCCATATGATAACATTGTATAGAATTTTTTGCACTTCGCTCATTCATTCGAAAATAAGCATTGAACCCTTCTGTCTATATGGAAGTTTTGAAGCAACAGTTTCTCTGCATACAGTGCATATTCTTACTACAAGCATTCCCTTCATCGGCACAGACAATGTTATGTATGGAGTTGTATGGAAGCCTCAATGCTATATAATGGCAGGCATGTGGACTAAATGGCATCAACCACTTCCTCGAGTGCATTGATTCTGAAGCCCACGGTGCAACTGAAGCTACAAATTCACAAGAATTACCAAATTTTACTCATCTTCTTGATCTCAGATAGCAATGGCACCTCCCAAATCAGATGATGCCTCTCAAGCCTTGAAGCCAGAGATGAAGCCTGCACCCCCTAGATCTAGTGCTGACAGTACCATTGCTAAACCCACACCTGATGGGATGGGCAGCGAGACTTCTGTTAAAAAGAAAGTCGATCCTCTTCCATAGTTCAAGAAAACATGTGCAGATATAGTCAAGCCGAAGAAGACCCTCAATTCTGAGGAGGATGACGATAAGGTGGTGGATGGGTCTCTGGCACCTGCTCACACTGTTCTCGCCAAATCTGGTCTCCTCTGGCATCAGAAAAAGGTACATCACAGTTTTCAAACCCTGGTCTCACATAAACTGACACTGTTTGGTTCCAGAAACTTACCTACTGCTTCTTAGGCAGAAATGTGACCCAACAGAAGAAAGTCAGTAATACTGTGAACGAGTGAGAATGGTACATGAACATCACGTTCGAGCAAGTGCAGGATGGAAACAGCGACATCCATGTCAGCTTCGATGGGGATGAGGGTTCGTGGTCTTACATCGGTACCCAAAATGAGAGGATCAAGCAGTCAAAGGTGACCATGAATCTGGACTGGGTCAATGGCGACAAGGAAGAAATAGATGATTATGAGAAGGGTACCATATTACATGAGTTCAGCCATGCTCTTGGTCTCATGCATGAGCACCAGTCTCCTGCTTGTGGTGGGAAACTTACTCTGAAGGAGGACAGCAAGTATCTCTCAATTACATTTCTCATTTCTGCTGCTTACACTATTGTTGTTAGCTGTCTATGAGTATTACGAGTGAATGCAAGGTTGGGACAAAGAACAAATCAAGTCGCAAATTATCGATGTCTATAATCAGAAAGATGTCAGTAATTATTCCGCACTGGATACCGATTCAATCATGATGTAAGTCTTTCAGATGTTCAATTCATCGTGATTCTTTTTTCACATCTTTTCTACAGGTACTTTATGCCGGGAGAAATGAACGTGGAGGGTAAGGATATCCCACCTAACACCAAGCTCACAGACATTGACAAATCATTCATGTTGCTCAACTACTATCGCAATGAGCCCCATCCTAAGGCATCTGACTGGACCCTGGATCATGCCTTGAAAGTTGCTGGTGTGATGGGCACCGCAAAAACTGATATCTTGAAACTTTCCTCTATCGTGGCCATACACGAGAAATTCACAACATGGAATATTCTGAACTGAGGATCTTCTGGGGGTCCTCAACACAGCTTGAAAGTTGGAGCACCTCAGCATGCCCCTGATGCAGGAGCAGGAGCTGATGAAAGCAACCCCACACAATTCCTTGATGTTTTGCTCAGTAAGCTCAAGTTATTCTTCAAGCCTGGAGGAAGCCAGATATTCTCCCTACAATTCCCCAGATGATTCCTCCAGAAATCTTTGTACGCATGGGATACTACTACCGCTGGTGTCTACGGGCAGTTCATTAAACCAGTGGCCATCAATGAGAGCAAGTTTAGACTCGTGGACCAGCTTTACGAAGTCACAGAGATCATTGGTGCTCCAAACAGCTTGAACCTATTTATAATCTACGATGAGATCCTGAACAACCTTCTTCCTGCTTTTCAGAGCCCCGAGCTCTCTAAGCAACAGAACGAGATTCAGAAGTGGCTGCTCAAGAAGGTCAAGGCACAACCCTGGATTATTAAACTGCTTGAAACACAGCAAAGCAGACATTCGCTGCAAAAGAAAGCACCTCAAGGTGCAGCAAGTGCGCTCTCGAAGCCCACTTTTGCCATCAGTAACAAGCTGACTGAGGAGAAGAAGATCAACCATCTCGAGCTTAGCACTGCTCTATATGAGGAGTATCTCTACGCAAAGCAGATCTGGGAACTCGAGTGAGATGCACTTATGGAGAAGGCATTGCAGATCGACCTGGGTACTCCAGAGTCAATGAAGGCTCTCAACCAGGTCACCAGGACCCTCGCACATACTACAGCAGTTCGACAGGCTCAACTCGTGTCAAAGTGGGGAGACGCCATTGTACGTGGATATTACCACAATGTGCGAGAATACATGGGCTACATGGACATCAAGAGTGCTTCTGAGGCATTGCAGGATGCAAAAGATTCTCTGCGAGAGGCGGCCATGAGTTCATTAGATGGAGCTATGAAGGTCTATCCTGTCCAACTCTCTCCCATCGATTGGTTCGAAGGTCTCTCTACATCGTTCACAATGGAAGATCTCACGGAGAATTCTGAGGTCATCAAACAGCAGATTGATGTGAAATCTCAACAGCTTGATATGCTAAACGCACAGTTGGCTGCTCTCATTGGAAACATAAAAGGAAATGTGCAGGAGCTCAAACAGAAGGTCGATGCTGCACAAGGCAACCTGGATACAGCACAGGTGAAGCTGGCTTCGAACTACACCAATAACATGGTATCCATGGCGAAGACTTGTATCAATGCTGCGGGCCAACTGAACAGGCCACAGTTAGACATAATCGGGGTGAGGTTTGGATTTGCTAAAAGCATCATTGACGATCTAGCATCAGGTCTTCAGGTGACTGCAACTGCCAATGACAATCTTACTAAGGCTGCTTGAGCATACACCCAAGTGCTTTCTGGCCTAGCGTTAGCGCAGGCAACAGATATGAAACAGCAACAAGAGCAAATCAAACTGCAGATTACGGGCACTCAAAAGCAAATTGATGAGCTTACTGATCAATACCAAGCTTTGAACAAGGCCGGCACAGGTGCAGGGGGACCTCAGGCAGTCAATAAAGATGGCAAGAAACTACCAGATAAAGGGAAGGAGCTGTTCAAACTGGAGTCCGGCTCATCTGGTGGAAGTAGATGGCAAGAGATCACAGTGTTCAGTGAGATTGTGAATGATGTTACCGAGACCCATTCATCATCTTGGGTGAAAGTGAGCCAATCTAGCCTCAATTTGTGGCTTTGAAGCAAGAACTCAAAGAGCGAATCATCGGGTGGCCAGTCTAGCTCCAAGACAGAGAAAATGCAACACAAGGTGGAGATTGGATTCCGCGCAATGATGATAACTGTGGATCGCGGTGGATGGTTTCAACCTCAATTCTTCAAGCAGTCTGACAAGTTCTACCATGTCAATCCTCATGCATGTTGGTCCGTTTGGCTGGAGAATCTTGCCAATGACAAGGAAGGTCACCTGAAACTCAAGGATAATCTGGAGTCCCTAAACAATCCTAATTCTCAACTTCCTGGTTATCCTGTAGAGTACATTATTTGCAAGGCAAGCAAGTCTGCTGCTATCTGTTGTCACACGTATACTTATATGCCCTCATGCAGGACATTACCATCAAGATTCATTACAGTGCCTCCAAGGCGGAAGACCAGAAGAAGGTCTTTCAAGAGTCTGCCTCCTCCTCAGGAGGATGTCTATGCTGGTCGTGGAGTGATAGCAGCTCATCTAGTTCTGAGGATACCAGCCATTCATTCCAGTCATATGCTGATGGTTGCATGATTCAAATTCCAGGTCCTCAGGTAAGAGTCTCCACACTGACCTGTCACTGTATAATGACCCATCGACACAGATATTGGGCTACATTATTCAATTGACATCCAATGATCAAACTCAAGACATGCCCAAGGAGCTTCCCAAAGGATTTTTCATTTCAGATACAGACTATGACGCTACCACTGCAGAAACAGATGGAAACACTGGGCCCCAGCATGGCCTAGGATACCCTCCGCCTCGCCCTCCCAAAGAGAAGACACTTTTCGAACATCTCACTGGGGTCCTCGAAGAGAACAGCATCACTGGTGCTCTTGCTGAGAAAGTTCATGATGCCATGAAGCAAGAGCTTGGACAATTTTCCAAGGAAGTTAACATGCGCATTGGTGCTATATCTGAGAACGAGTGAAGTAGGTCCTGTCCTTCTTGACAGTGGGCACTACCTTCATTGGGCGGAGAAGGTGGTACTTTTTGATAGAGCGGGGATAAGTATGCTGTTTTGTTCGTAACATGTCAATTGTTTACAATTGCATCCACTTGTTTCATTACCTGTCATTGCCGATTTCGCATTTCGAATGTATATGTATGTCTACGAGGTGAAGTAAGGGATGTGTTCTGTAGAGCGAGCTTGTATGACGGCCGGCTAGCAAATTACTCTTTATTTGAGCCTCAAGGGTATACTGTTTTGTCTTGGGAGGAGAGTTTGTGATTGAGCTCAAAGCATCTGCATCATGTCATACCCCCTCTGCATGTAACGTTTTTCAAAGGCAGCTTAACGTTCCTGCAATAGAAGGATAAAAATATGCCAGGACCGTGGATTGAACACGGGACCTCCAGAAAGCGTTTTAGCCCGCTTCAGTCTGTTGCTCTCCCAGCTGAGCTATCGCGGCTTTGCAACAAATCAGATCAACAACTATCTCCAGGTAGCCTTGTAACTTGTGTAACCTCAAGTTGTAGACACATATCTCGCACATACCAGCCCCACGGTTATTGTGAGTAACTTGCACTGAACGTTGGGTTCCTTATTAATTCGGCGAGCTGCACAGTATATAACTCGTGTTGATCAGTCAACATTATTGGCATGCTCTGCGATATCCGATAACTATCGTTCATTATGAATTTATTCCAGACTCTGCCAGGGATTGAATGACCCAAGGGCTGAAGACGTCAAGGCTACGAGAAATTTATTTTTCCTTTCATGATCCATGTCAGTCCATCGACCCAGTCTTTCAGAATTGATATCTAATTCAAAGTAATTTTTCGAAGACGCGGATGCACATCTCGAATATATTCACGGATCTCCGAAGTCCTCTGTGGAAAGCTCTGAACACGAATCATAGTCAACACCGAAATCAACAGACACGACCGCCGCCAATCTTCGGGGCCTAGCGGGTTCTACGCTTCTCTGGCCGCTTCACTTGATACCCAGAATATCCCTCTTGTTTTGATCGGACGTAACGATTGTAGTGAATCTACCTCTGAACTTGGGGGCCACGGCTGTGTCTCTCTGTATGGTCTCCGTCTTCGTAGACTTGCCTTCCCACTTAACGCCCTTTGACACGGGCCCGTCTGTTTGTCCACGGTCAAGTGCGTCTTCATCTTCCTCAACTCGTTCTGGACGATGCTCTACAGCGGCGACCTCAATGTAACCTACTGTTACGTCTACGGCGGAATTGGATAATGCTTCAAGGGAGACCCGAGCTCGTAAACGTCGCCGCTCGGACTAACTTGTGACGGCTTGTTATGCACTTAGGAAGGTACCGCATAACGCCTTCGTTCTACGACAGTCAACCCTCATCCTCATGTCTCTTTCATCGCTATCTTCACATCCTGCTATCCTACGTTCACGTTCTCCTGGATTATTCCCTCGCCACATCGACATTACCTGTGGCTCATAGCCTTCTTTTCCATGCGCCTGAGACTCATTACCCCATCTTGCCCCACAATACCTGCATTCCGGTACTCATTCCCTCAATCAACACATGCACGATATAATTCCTCCGTCTCCAAGTCGACAATCATCCTTAAATATTGTGAGTTCCGGATCTTTCAAGTTTACGGCAAAGGTGGGAGATGCGCTCTTCCTGCCCAATTATATGAAAGCGTCACCGGAAGTTATGCTTCTAAAGCAGCCCAACATGGCTGCACTCTAATAGGCACGTTATAATCTTCTCTTCTCCGTTCATCGATGAGTGAAGTATCTTCCAAGGACAAAGAGCAGCCAGGCGAGTTGGCGAGCAATGGCATGTACATGTACACCGTCGAGTGAAAGTCAGCATCCTCCGAGTCAGGCTCGTGAGTCGTAATCCTTGTTATCGGAGGGATGTGAAGAAAAGGTACGTCCGGCACTAGTTCATGCTAGAATTGCTTTCCGAGTCTTTCACACCGCACGAAGACTCTTTCCAAGAAAAATTTTCGACCGTTCGAAGAATTTCAATGACTATAATGTTGTGTTGCCCTACGCTGAGCCTATCGTTTTGCATGTAGCTAAAATAAATAAAAATAGGTGCTAACACTTGTGCTTCAACGTCCAGAGACCAAGTAGTCACTACTTCCTACGTTTCTTGCGGGAGACGTCGGGTATCTCAGTAGTCTCACCCTCACCTCCCGGATTCAAAGTTAGAATCTATTCTCACTCTGTGATACCACTCGACGGCTCCTCGACAAGGACAAGCAAGGCGTCCGAAAAAGTGTTATACTGGTGTCTCGTTCAGAACGCTTCGAAGCGGCTATTGGAGACAACTTGAACTCCAAATGGCAGGTGCAGTGCCCTCGTCACTAGCAACTCGTTGAAAGTTCGACATGGATAAGTAGGGAGGGAGAAGCAGGCAAGCGAGAGGCTCACATTCTTCTCTTTAGAGACAAAAAAGCATACGTGACGGTATTTCCATAAAACCTTGACCCGCACCAATTTGGAGACCGTTTTGAGGGTGCGCTGTCTCATTACACTTTGAAACTGCGTTGGACTCTGACAAAGAGCTTGTTGAAGGAAAGATAAAATGATCCGAAAATCAAGCATGGCCTTGGCGACGAATGGGCCAATGATTCGGAAAATGCGTGTACGTTGAGATGTTTGCTCAGGACCGAAGTACTGTATGTAACTTGTAGGCAAAACTGTATCTCATGCACAGGATACACTAGCCAAGGAAGAAAAAAAGTGGAGTTACAATAGGTGCTTCCATATCCGGGATTATACAACAGCTTGTACAAGATCAAAAAAAGGTATCATACCATACAAACTAATGGCGTATCAAGATAGTGGACCGTCCGTCAGCGAATAATACAGCTTGTACAGGTAATGGCACCAAAAAAAGGAGAAACCTAATAGCTACAAAAAAAAAAGACTAAATACAAATGAACGTAAACCGTGCTCGAAAGCAGAGCAAAGAAGGAACTGCAAGAGGACAGTGTGGGCTTGAGGGTCCAGGATGGCGAAACATCCACAAGGGCGAGAGAATGCCTTTTGAGACGGGAGGAGCGCGACGAGATCGAGGGTTTAGACAGGTTCACGGCCATGCTCCCGACCCTGCTGCTGCTCCGAATCACCCGCACTTTCCCTCCTTAACCAACCGTCCCCACTCGCAGGTTGTTTCTCCGATACACACCGTCTCCGTCCAACGGGTTGAACATTCTCCCTCTCCGCTCTGTGAGACTCATCAAGAGTCCTCGTCCTCGTCACAGGGCCATCACCAACCTGAGCAAGATCATTGTCCCTGCCCCTCCTGATAGTAAGAGAACTCCGCCTAGCCATCATCCTCTCATACGCCTCGCGATCGACTCTAGTCTCGACAAGATGCATAGGTTTTTCAAGATGGACGTTGACAAGATCACCCCACTCTCTGCGTTCCCTCCCCAACTCCCGTCTCACCCAAAGAATAGTCAGAGGCGTGCTCACGAACGCCCACAACCACGGCATACCATAGCCCAAACCATACCCCACATCATCACTAGCCAACCAAGCAACCACAATCAAGCCAACACCCAACGCAGTCCCCGTGATCCCCCAATAAAGCGCGAGATCTCTGAGGAGTTTGCGCATGATCCTGGACTCTTCGTAGCGATATCTCCAGGCTTGTCTGAATTCGATTTTTCCACTGCCGTCGACGGCGATGACGTCTTCGACGATGGTGTAGGTGAGAGGGGGGAGGAGGTGATGGGGTGGGAAGGAGGAGACTCGGAAGGGGAGACGGAAGTGGGAGGGGAAGAGGCCGCTGATGAGCATTGGGAGGCAGATGGAGAGCATGAAGCAGGGGAGGGCCATTGCTACTGTTGCCACGCTTGCCGGGGATCTAGAGCAGGAAAACAGTCAGTGTATAAATAACATCGAGGGTGGAGGCAGAAACAGAAGGAGATAAGCGACATACAGGGAAGAGCCGACGATAAGCGGGACGAAGAAAGCGGCGAGACCGATGTTTATGAGGATGCTAACGGCGTAGAGCGGAAGATAAACTGTGAGGGGCTGCATATAACGAAAAGAAAGCGTAGGACTCACTGGAAGAAATCCAAACCCCATCTGCTAGCCCCAATCGGCCGCCTGGACTCGTGCTCGTTGCGGAACCACAGCAAGTAGGTCCGTTGAGCGACTTTGAAGCCAGAGACGGTACCAATGAGGGAAGTAATGATAGCCAGGTTCTTGGTGATGGAGAGATGAGCACCCCATCGCAGGGAGTAGAAGAGAATGAGAGGAAGGACGCCAGCCTCGAGAAAGAGGAGACCAAAGAAGAGGGCAATATACCGTTCCCGCGGCCGGGTTCTGAGCGTATAGTCTAACGGAGGGGGCCCAGTGTCGTCATGGTATGCGATCATGGGACGTTCTGGCGGGTTTCCAGTGCTGAGGGAAGGCTCGGAAGCAGCGTGGTTAGAGGAGGTCTTTTCATTGTAAGAGTCGGATTGCTTGTCTGTGGGAGAGGTAGCTGAAAGGTGGACGGTGTCGGACTGGGGGTTAGTATTCGTACTTGAGGCGGCATTGGAAGGATCGTCGGGCATTAGGAGGGCGTGCTAAGTGGTATGCGGGGGTCGATCGATGGTCGGAAGCTAATGGGAAGAGAAATAGACATGGGTCAGAATAGAAGCGAATCTCAATAAATCCAGTATATCCCAAACTCCCCGCCTACGCCATGCCTGGTGTGCACGTCATAGGAGGTTCCAGCATAGCCCTGGCCACAAATCCTTATTCGGTACATCGGCATCCCCCGCACCGGTTTCATCCCACAGGCATGCCTCGACCATGCCTGTTTCGTCCCACTCTGCGCAGATATTCTTGAACATTCCTGTCCCTGATCGAAACTTGCCGTGTACTTGGAGATTGACACTCTATGCCACGGATCGTCGATCAAGATGATACCTACATGCACGCCCACATCTGTTTGAGATTGGACTTATCTCCCATGTCTCCGTAACTCTCCAGAGACGATCGCGTTTTGCTCTTGGCTTTCCTTTTTTCTTTGGAGCCCCCAATAGCTCATGGAGGCAGCTACGCCACTGGGAATGGAATGATGAGCACGATGATGGAGTAGAGGCTCCATGTCAACCTGGCTGACATAGACGGCTATGGGTACGTTTGCCACGGGTGTTGGTTACGTTGCACGTCTGACTCGTTGCTGTCTTTAGCCATTTCGTATTTCGTTTCATGCACGATTCGCACGTGGGTTTTTGCATCATGACTTTTTTTGCGTATTGTCCTCAGCACTTATATCAAAACGCGGGAAAAGAATATCTGCTGCGCCTCCGCCTGCATGAGAACATCTGGACGATATGGGTCACGTCTGTTTCACCGCACATGTCCGTGCCTCCCACAATTCTTCATAGGTAATCATGGCTATCTTCTCACGCACCTCGCCGTAGTCCATAACGTCTCCCTCCAACCCCACAGTGCCTTCTTCGCTTGCTGTAAACAGACCACAAGTCCTACCAGGTCCTATCCCGCATTTGTGGACCTCTAGCTGCTAATTGCAAGTCAGTACGTCATGATTCTTTAAATGGTAATTATAGCGGGGTTGTTGGTAAACACACGCAAACACATTTGATGAAGACAATATACTCCTCTTTCTTTTTCGCAATGACATCCCCTTTGCAGGACAGCAGGCAGCGAAGTATCACTTACCCACTAAATCCCCACATAAGTATATTGACATAAACAGGACTTCCGATATCGTTGTTCGTTGGAATGCACCCCCTTCCTAACTTGACGTTGACGGAACAACGTCCTGATTCTCAGGGTCGATCTCGAACTATCATCGTACCGTGTATTGGTAAACACAGATATCTGGCTTCCATCCAGCCTTTCATAATTATGGCTTCAGGAGCGCAAAGTGTATGTTGCGTGCACCTCGTCTCGTGCTTTTTTGATTGTGTCTTTTTCCATGTCATAAACGCTAAACATGCCACCAGCACTTAGAGCTGAGCGCTGAGACTCTGAAGAGCCGGTTTCTATGCAGACTTTGGCTTCTTCGGGCTCAGGTCCAATTGACTCTTATATGAGATTGTAGATCATAGCCGGTTCGTAGGGCATGTTACATCTCAGCTCTTATACCGATATCATTTCTCAATCCTTTTCCTATGTCGACCGAAACGTTTTGCGATCAGCGCTTGCGACGAATGAGCATCGCGAACATGCCAAATAAACTGGCATTTTGTTTTGCGAGCTACAAGTTCAGGAGGGGAACAACAGGACGTACTCGAAAGCGAATTGACTCGTATTGGGCCACTCAAGGCATCAGCATAGGCTTTAGGGCGGGGAGAGTGTCGGACAGTCAGACCAGTGCGACAGTTGAAGCAGTGAATCAACTAATATTCATCGTTCACAAAAATGTCAGAGTCTTAGTTCCGGTTTAAACTGTATATTAAAATACATGTCGCGCGGTAGGAAAGCGAGTCGTTAACGTTTGAGCTCGTTGAGCTCTGAGGCAAACGGATGGGGGACATACAAGGTAAGTAAACTACTTATATATGAAAATATGCCAAGTACGCGGGACTCCGTCCCGCTCCTCTCGTTCCTTGCGCATAGCGAACGCTCGTCGCTTCTACTATATTCCAACACTGTATGAACGAGGTACAGCGAACTAAGTTTATTCTCGTCTGGCCCCACCGCCACAGAGAGCGTAAAGTCGGGCGCTTCGAGCACTTTTCTCGTTCAAAGCATTTCGCTCCATTCCTCTCAACAATCCTCACCACTCGGTCGTGGCATATAGATCCACGAGATTATTGCCGTATGGCGGATATCCGGATTGCCAGTAGTACAAGGGCAGAGGTTGCTTGGAAATGGAACAATCCCGTGCTTCACTTTATCGTCCGTGCTTTCCGAATGCAGCTTTGTCTTCCTGAGATTCTGAGCGATACGACATCGACGGTTCCTGGCACGTATAAGATAGCGATTGACTTAGACTCACCCGTATTCTCCTCATTCTCCGTCTCTGCTGCTTCTGCCCTGGATGCGATGATATTGCGCCTGCTTCGCGATCGGCTCTGTCGATGCCAACACCATCTGTAGAGAATAGGGCACAGATGTCCTTTTCACTTGTCCCTGGGACGTCTTGTTTTGACGACGCGTACGTACGGCAGTTGGTATGCTCAGCTCAGGTTATGAACATGATCGCCGAACCTGTGATATGCGAGATTGTTGTGCCTTCGCATTGGGAGAGTTGTGTGCTCCACTCACTTATCATGAGACCACTACTGTCTTCTCATCCTCCAGGTTTGGATTTGAAGCCCATGGTCATAGTCACAGAGAACTTCTAGCTTCTTGAGAGATAGGATAGTCTACACCTAGGTATGAGTTTGTGACTGTGCAGCCTGGAATATGCATGCAACTCACTCTAGGAGTATACCCAGCTTGCATGATCTTATCACTTCATCAGGCCTCATGGACTGGGTAGAGAACACAAGTATGTACACCACCCCCATCTGCATTGACTCACTCACATCCTCTTATAGGCACAGTGGGTACACCAGCATAGAATCAATGCAACCAGTACATTGATTCTATGTTGGGTTCCTGTTAGACCAGGAGGGGCCCTGTAGTCAAAACATAGTCAGTTCAATGCATGAAAATCTCCACTGAAAACTCATACTATTTGCTCTCAGAAAACGACGACGAATTGCAGACGGTACCCGCGAGCGGACACTGTAACCTTAGCGTCGACATTGGTATGTTCACACCAGCATGAATACTTGGGTCAGACTAATCATGCTTGCGAAATATGTTCAAGGATTAGCATTGTCTCACAGTCAGAGGTACAGGATAGTCGTGATAGCGACCATATGTTTATTCAGGTTGAAATTGATGGACACGGCTTATCAATCTTTCGATATGCCTACGAATGTCTGTGTGATCGGTGCAATTGGACTGCTGTTGTTCTGCGAAGTGTTTAGATTTCAAAATTCCGTCAGTACTCGAAGCGAACGTACTGGCAAACGACGAACCTAATTTCTGCATGATACTCGAATCTTCGGCAGGACAATAACACACAATATGAAACCTGTCGAGAGAGACCGTTGACGATGTAAGAAGGATACGTGAGTTGTCATTTTATGAACCAGTCGTCAACTCGAAGTAACTTACCGTGCGGCTGCACAGTTAGGTCACCACTTGGCGGGATGGGCATGAACTTGTACGCTCATGTCAGCAGTTGTCTCATAGACCTCGAACAAGAGGTGTAACAGAGGTCGATGGCATCGAGTTCAGCGGACACTTCTTGAAGTTGCCGGTTGAATGACTGTTGAATACGGTATGTGTGGCCACAGCCCGGCTTGTTACTCGTGGTTGGGAGGTGCGGGTGAGCCGGTCTTACGCAGAGGCTTGGACGGCCAAAGTAAGAAAATCGTGTGGAGGGAGGGAAAAGGAGAGGGCAGGGCAGCGAGAAACGAGCTCTGAACCTCCCGAAGACCCTCTCGTTCCTGGGCTCATTCTGCTCACGCCACATATCCCAGGTTTCTCATCATCATCTGGGCCTCACATACTCCTTCCATATGTTCTCTATGCTAGAACATTCTATACACGAGGTGGACAGTCGTCCTTCTTCACTGATGCCCAACACAAAAATTTCTTTGCGAGTACGTATTCAATACCCAACAGGCGCCTTAACACCTTCTCAGTGTTTGAATCTCGTTTAGATGGCGACGTTGTGGTGAAGAGACGGGGGACCTCCAATCGTCCAGTTCACCGACATATGTTCATGTTCAATGGTGTTGCAAACCTTGCAACTGAGATAGCTTTTTCAGTACGGAGAACGTTTGACTTACTCATCCAGACGACCTGTTGCTGGTCACGTCGGGTAAGTAGCACAATCTCATCAACAACCCGCGTCTTTTATTGTTCTGAATTTGGCATTTGCAGACCGACAAAATCCCGACTCCTTGGGACGGTCTGAGACCTCCCAAGGAAACCTCCCCCAGATCTATGTAATGTGTGGCAAAAAGGGTCTGGGTCGTAGCCCTTCATTCATCGTGGAGCTATCGTGGAATCGCGCAAGGTAATTGAGCCTGCAGACTGCCCTGTCTTGGACAATTGCAGGTTCATTGGCGACATCAGATCGTGGAGTTCCAGCTACGGTTAGTTTTCGCCCACGAAGAACTTCGAAAGAAGTGAACCAACGGATCGTTCTTAAAAAGTGAACTCTGAACTGTTCCGCCACGTCCCCAACCTTTGCTTCCTACCTCGCTGTTCAACCTCTTCTTGCATCCACCTTAGCCCATTCGCAGTGAGTCCGTAATCCTCTCCCCTTCAAAGACTTTTTCATCTCTAATAGCCAGTTCTTACAACTTTACATAGTTCTTTCCCCTTCGCTCTCGTATAACCTTACTCCCTTCTTTCTCGCAACAATGATTAAGTTCCACCGTGCGTATCTTGGTTCTTGCTCATCTTCTCGCAGCCTCAACTCGTGTAATCCAGCCACAGCAGAGATCTCACCCCCAGAAAAGCCTTGTGGCTTATGCATGGCCCGCGGTGGCCATGCAAGCTTTCAACCCCCCCTCGTTGTATATGTTACGTATGTACTCCATCATAATCTGTAGTATCACGACTAATGTATACTTCCGTAGTATCCACAAAACGATAACATATAGCAATGAGGAATCGCCACCGCCTACCGACCTTCCGTCCCGTTGTGCTACGAGGAACGATATGTCCGGCAAAGGTGGCGGAATGTTGTCTTCACACGTCAGCCGACAGAGTGAAGACATCACCCCCATACAAGGTGGCAGTGGACACACTCCTCCGACGGAGAGTATTGATTGGATCCCGACCATGTTCTGCGGTGAAGAGAGTGGTGGCTCACCATTTGCTACCCCTCAGTCCAGCGTGGTCTAGATCTTAGATCACTTTCCGCCGCGAACGGACAAGCGTACTTACCGAATATCTTGTAAAAGCCTGAATTTCTTCTGAGGGCACATTCATACTCCACTCCTACTTCTCGAATACCCTTTTCTGTTCTCGCTCCCTTCTCTGTTTCGTATCGTTTGCTGTCGTACTGTGTCTCCCTTCCTGTCCTGCTGTCGTCATGTAAAAAGGGTGCTTTCAATTCTTGACGGACTGATGTTAGGATCCTCGTCGCTCGTTTTTCTCCGCTCCTTACGCTTGAATACAATTTCGCTTTCTCCCCAATTCCTGCTAGTGCGTGTAGTACTAAAGTTGGTGAAGTCCGCGTAAAGTGGATGATCGATTGGTAGGGTAACATATCTCACCACAACAGGTTCTCCTCCAGCGTAACAAGGTCTTAATTTCTAGTCCTTTATTTGCCTTGAACGTACTCTCGGCGACTTAGGCATTCCATTCCGTGTTTGTGCTGGTTCAACCAGTCACGCACATGGAACAATGGTACAGGCAATGCAATAAAGAAGATGTAAAATCCGACAGCGAAGCCTACGACGTTCCCTATCTTCTTCACGACCTTTATAGTCCTCCTGAATGATGCACATGATATGTCTGAGAACATTTACTGAGCTAGCTATCAGTCGCACAAGAAGACGAAAGTCTCACTGTAGTCCCATATCCGTTTCTCGCGCGGTGGGCCCGGCGGAAGAGACGTCACAAATATCTTAATTAATATACGTGAGGTGCACTCAATCTCTCTGCTATGTAGGAGAAACACGCACCCCCACAACTGCGATGCCTCCATATAAAATGCATATAATGATGACCTTGTCCACGTCCGAGGAGAATTGTATGAGATAGATGGATATCGAGACTGGGGTGGCGCAGAGAATATTCAAGTAGAGCAGAGTATACATGCAAGACCTGACAATACACATATAAAAAAGATAGTCTATTACGCAAGAGCGATAATCGCATGAGATCATACCGCTTCGTACAAAGGTTACCAGTGTAGCGATAAGTTGCGGCGCATAGTCGGTGAAAAAAACCATGGCAATAAGACCGGTCGAACATTTTCGTATAAACCAATCCAATACAAACTGAAAGTTTATCAGTCACGAATAACCCAGTCAGCGGACGACTACAAACATGATGGCTATGAGTACTACTCCGAGAATCCATTCAAGAGTGGTGGGCGTCGTAGACTGTCCCTGATATGAGAGAATGGCTTTCGCAGTACCAAGTGCTAAGAGAAGCGACATGTTCAAGAGCCGATAACCTGTGAGCTTGACCAGCAAGATAGGTCGGTCAGTTTCCGGGTCCAATGTTAGTGCATCATTGTCTCTAGAGCAGAGCTGCCAGCATAAGCGGGCGTAATTAGGCGTACGTTATAAAACGTACAGATAAAGCTGTTCCAGCTCAAGGTTTGAACTTCGCCTCACCCAATTAGGATCCATTCTTGTTGGAGGAAAAGGTATGATGGCGACGACTGAGTGCAATCCTGAGAAGTCGCATCGCTGACGATCAACGTTCAACTGCCACAGATTGACAGGTGGCCGCTGATTACGAATAAGCTAAAATAAAATGCTGACCATGTACCCGAGTATACAAATGGTGTGCGTTTGTATAGGTACCCATCGGGGTACTATGCACTCTCGCGAAAACCTGACAGCGTACCCGGCTGAATTTGAAGTTTGCCAAGTTTGAGTAAATGGGCGCTCAGTTAGTTGAACCTAATTTCTTCGAGGCTGGAATGCTCGAGGGTGGCGATGCCACAGGATCCAATCTTAAGACAGACGAAGTTTCGGGTTTGAGAAAATAGGGAGATAGTTATCGACGTTGATATTAAGGTACATTGTTGAATACTCAAGAAGAAAGTGTACAGAGGGGATGCAGGTTTCGCGAATGGAGGTATAGGTATCATACATACAGAGAAGAGGGCTACGAGCTACAGGTCGTTAAATGATGCGAATGAATAGTGCAGGGGAAGGTAATCGTAGGATAGTAGCATGTGAAGATGGCGATGAAAAAAACATGAGAATGCGGGTTGACGATCGTAGAATGAAGGTGTTATGCGGCACCTTCTTATATGCATAAAAAGCAGGTGACAAGTTTAATCCTCGCGGCGACGTTTACGAGTTCGGGTCTTCCTTGAAGCATTATCCAATTCCACCGTAGATGCAACAGTAGGTTGCATTGAGGTCGCCGCTGTACAGCATCGTCCAGAACGAGTTGAGGAAGATGAAGACGCACTTGACTGCGGACAAACGGATGGGTCCGAGTCAAAGGGCGGGAAGCGCGGTAAACGGGTAGGCAAGTCCACAGATATGGAGACCGTACTGACAGACACAGCTGTGTTCTCCCAAGTTTCTCCACGAGCGAGCGCCTCTTGCAGCTTGCAATCCGCAGCGTCCACCATTCGTCTAGCCCATTCTACATCTGGGAACTTCTTCGCCAGAATGTCAGCTACACTGGGCGTATCTGCCGGTGACTCGGAAATCGAAGTCGTCCTACTTCTAGTTGACGGTCCACGCATAGAAGTTCGCTTGCGTGGTTGGAAGCCCATTGCATAGACAGCTCGGACAGTAGCAGCATTCAGCTCTTTCACTGCTTGATCGTAGTCGTACTCAAGGTGACGCGGACCAAGAGGATAATATTGTTCTTTGTGACGCTGGGAACGCCTGGTTGAGGTGTTGTTCGGGGTACAGGATGTCTTGTCACGTCGCGACCGTTTCCGCGGAGGCTCCACTGGTGGCTCTTCATGCTTCAAGGCAGGCGTAACAGAATTACCGATATCAGAGAGGTTCGGAGAGCTCGACATTTCAGAGTTTGAGACGACAATATTGGGCTTATGGGATGCCCCTGCTAGTGAAGATATTTTCGGCTCGTGAGGCAGAGGAGAGCTTTCAATCGTGTCCTGGGATGGAGTGCTGAAACCTGAGTTGCAACCTTGAGAAGAACCGCTGCCGAAGATGTCGGCGTCGGCTGTCCAGGAAGAGCTGGCACAATTGCTACTCGAACTATCATAGCTTGACATGGCAGGCCTGAGCGGGGCAAGGTCCACAGGTCCGCATGCATCATGTACAGAAGTTCGGCCTAGGTCCAAGGGAAAACACGTAGTGTCCTCTGAAGTAGTCTGAACGGCCGGCTCCACCCCAAGGTCTTTCAGAGTTGGAACCTCGGAATAGCCCGTGTCACAGAAAACGGACGCACAGTTCCAAGACGAACCACGAAAACGCAACATTACAGATGAGGAGTAGTCTCGAGCTTCAGAGGTCGACTCGTTATATTCGCTACGCTCAGATTTGACCAGTGGGGGTAGCTCACGAAGAAGCTTCATCGAAACAAGAGGAATGTCCTGGGTATCGTCTTGGGTATCAAGTGGAGTGGTCGGGGATATATATGAGGGGTTAGGCCCCAAAGGTCCGAAAGAATTCGCATCGGTTGATTTCGGTGTTGAATCGGATTCGCATTCAGAGCAGTCCATGGAGGACTTGGGGAATGCATGAATATATTCGAGATGTGCATTTGGGTCTTCGGAGGATTCAGAACTAGACGTGAGTTCTGGAAGACTGGGTGAATAACTTGACATAGATAAACGGAGAGGTTTCCCGGTAGAATTGACATCTTCGGTCTTCGAATTAATGAACCCTCGAAGAGGCTCAGAGGAGTCCATGACCGGTGGAAAATTAGTGTAGGTCGTCGAATTTGCCAATAATAACAATATTGGATATTTGTTGTGGACAAATATCAGTGTCTGTCACTGTGTCTGATCACGACAAGCTGGTGTTCCCAATCTTTCAAACACCAGGAAGTCAGTTCCATCCTCAGCTTCACGTAATTCACTCACGGAATAGAGTGATATGTATCTCCGTATAAGGGGTAGTGACCGAAATCGGGAGGCTCGCGCGACAGGAACGGACTCGCTGTTTTGCAGTAGAATGCAAGGAAACGAGATCCAAGACGCGGTGCGCGACTTAGTCCAAGGCGCTTATAGGTCGCGTACGTAAGCATGATTACGACCAGCCAGGGCCATTGGAAAGATTCAAAACCTTCCGCGGCCAGTTATAGATCTAGCTTCGCTCCAAACCACAAGTGTAACCAGAAAAATCCTCATTTCGATCAGCCTCTTGGGCAAGCACATTTGACAGTTGCCTGGAGGTTCTTTGCCCTGATGTTGCATTGTGCTTGATTAGACAGATCATTTGACATCCTACATGCTAAGAGTGTGTTGAAACCTGTTGGAACGTGCCATTTGACACTGATAACCCAAAGTAAGTACCTTGAAGGTCCAGGCATGGTCCAGGACTCCAAGTATCACTCACGAAAAGCTTTCAGAAGGTGCACCACATAGCGTCCCCCCTTAGATACTAAATATTGGACCCTGGATACATAGCACAGTTGTCATTACTCCCATGTAAGTTTTCCCGTTCATTCCGAGATGTATCTGTATCATGGCTCAACGAAGTGCCTTGACGCCAGAATGTCGGAACCTGTTCAGCGTCGCATCGAAGACCATCTGTGCGACATTCAGGAACTTTCGGATGCATGTAATAATGCAATTGATGCCAGACAATGCACTATTGCTGAAGACCGGAGGAAGCTCAATAATCTTCTTCCAATTGCAAAAGTGCCAATAGATATCCTTATCGCAATCTTTCAACTGTGCCAAGGGCCCAACCACATTCTACATCCTTACTCTTGGATCTATGTCACTCACGTCTGCCATGCCTGGCGATTGGTTGGAATACAGGCAGCAGTCCTATGGCAATGCATCCATTCGGCGTGGCCCGGATGGGAGGAAGAAGTGCTCTCTCGTTCTCGCCAGGCTCCTTTAACGGTAGTCACATATTCATCAGATTCCCTTCTGAGCAGGACATTTACAGACCATTTCACTCGTATCAGAAGTCTCACAGTTGCCTGCGGCGACAGCCACTTACAAGAGGAATGGCTGTCGTTATTTCCCGCCTGTCTGCCGAGTCTGAGTTACGTTACCTTTGATACCGGGCTTCATCTCCTTCCAGTCGTTCAACTACCTGCATTCGTGTCCAATTTGCCCACATGCATGAAGAAAATTCGGATAAGCGGACGTTGGACATCTCTACATTGGAACGATATCTTCCTCAGGTCGCTAGAGGAGTTGTGTCTCAATTTCGTCGACGACACCCACGGCTGCGACACTCATACAGTCCTGGAAGCGCTGGAAGGCATGCCGTTGCTTAAGGTGCTTGAGCTCTGCGGCCTTCATGACAAAACAATGCCCTCGCCTTCGCGGATTCGTTTGCCTGAATCGATGAGGCGACTCTTGGTGAGGAATAATCACCTGATGTGCGCACGTACTCTCTCGGGCTTGATTATTCATCCCAAGGTAGCGCTACATGTCGACGCCCTTGAAGCGGTCGAAGCGGAGGATTTCGGTGGGCTGGCTTCAGCAGCAATCGAAGGATTCCTTGCAGACCATTCTCCGGCCGTCATCCACTTCCGTTTCGACATGCGCGAGGGAGAGCGCCTGAGTGACAAACTTTCCTGTCTGGGATTCACTTCTATCGATCCCGAACGGCGTTGTCGATCTACCAGGGTTTCGCTTAAATTTGACCTGTCCAGCTGTTCTCTTTCAGACCTGGCCTGCATTGCAGCGATCCTCTCTCCGTTCGCGCTACATGCCATACAGGTATTAGAGCTCGGGTGGTTAGGATACGAACCTTTTGATGAGGATCTTCGAGAGGTGACCGAGAAAATGTCATCACTCACATGTCTTCAAGTGGATGTCGAAGGAATTTCTATTCTACCTACATTGTTGGAGAATGAATGGGGCGAGCAGGACGAAGATGAAGACGCGATGGCCTGTTCTTTGCCGTCTTTACGCGAACTTGCGATACGTGGTGGAGCGACCAGATCCTACCCAACTGAAGATGAACTTGTTGCTCTACGTGACGCGTTCGAATCGAGACAACCCCATCCTATTCGATTAGTATTGATGAACTGCAAGTGGCCTGCATCTCAATACATGGGCATGATCAACGCCGTCGCGTCGATGTATCCTTTGGAAGATCAACAGGACTCTCTGTGGATTCACTTTGATGACGGTACCACAGCAATCAACTATGCCAACTTCGTTTGGGATGACAAATGGACGCAGACAGTCCAGACATCTAAGGGCGAATCGTTTGATTTCCGAATCCACGATGCTGAGGAGGATGGAGGACTCTGAGAGTAGGGCTACCCATGACGATAGTTTTATCGACTAATAGCAGGGGTATAACAGCATTATTTCCATTTGACTTCCTTATGTCTCTACCGTACATACAATACTGCAACGTCTTCATTCTAGTATCCAGGAGTATCCGCTCCATGCCATCAAGCATCCAGCAGAGCCGCAGCTTTGCGAGCGTTGGCCTTAAAGGTCTCAAGCTGCAACTCCAAGTTCCGGATCTTCTCGCGAGCTTCACGAAGCTCAGCAGTGAGGCGTGTGTTCTCCTCCTTCAGAGCACCGGTAGCAACGTCCTACATGGATGAGAAACGGTGGCGTAATTAGCAAAATGAATAAGATGTGAGGTTTAATATAACGCACATCACCGAACCCAGATGGAGTCTTCAGCGGAGGTGCCGCGGAAGTGGGAGTAGGCTCAGACTTAGTCTTAACAGCTGGGATAGCAACAGGCGTAGGCTCAGGTACAGGTGCGGCAGCGGGTGCAGGAGCAGGGGCACTCGAAGTCTTCGTAGGTGTAGGTGCTGAATGTGCCGCTGTTGAAGAATGGAGAGTACCTGATGAAATAGCACCATTTTCAAGGCTGACAAGCCTGGGAGGGGCAGTCTTGCCAGAGAAGAACTCGCCAGCCGTCAGGGCCGGCTCTGCGGAAGGTGCAAGGGGGAAGATGTCGGACTGGAACGAATCGCTCTGCGAACATACATTAAAAAGGGGCCAATGCCAAGTTGATCAAAGATGATAAAATACCTTGCGGGGCACAATGAAAGAGATAGCTTCTATCGATGAGGCCGCAACCTTGTAGGCTCGAGCGATCTCGCATTCTGAAACGTTGAGCGCACGACGAGGGAGGAAGCACATTCCACGTTGAGGGTCAGAAGATTTGTATTCCGCCAGAGGATGCAATATCTCATTCTCCCATTCGAAGTATCGGATATTGCCATCACTGCAACAACACTTGTCAGTAACCATCTAAACCACCATGGGCGGTGGATGATCTACCCTTTACCAGCTGTAGACACAACTATCGTGAGACACAAATTTTAAGGGAAGTGGGAAAACAACGAACCTAGGAAGAGAATATTGTTATCGCTCCAGAATGGCATTAAGACACCAGAAGTCTGGTCGATGGTGGTCATCTTAATGTTTGACAGACTACCAGCCTCCCAGATCCCAACTTGACGATCACTCATCCTGCTAAAACCGGTAGTGACAACGTTGTCCCTGTCACCCATCCAAACGACTCGGGCGCCCTGTATAGGGTCTCAACACACAACCAACCGAAACCTTAGCAGTGCACATACCTTGATACCACCATGTCCTTCGGCAATTCGAACAGGTTCACCGCCAGCGCGGAGATCAAATAGTCTGAGTTTCCTGTCTCTGCAAGTCGTTACGACGAGAGTTCCAGATGGGTTGAATGTAAAGTTCTGAATAGAATCGCCATGACCACCGAGGACAGATCGAGGCTGTTCGGGGTTGCCAAGATCCCAGAGTTTCACAACATGGTCGCCAGTGGCAGTAGCGAGGACATGTTCGGCAGTTGGATGGAAGAGGACTTGACCAACCCTTCGCGGGGAGACATCGATACGGGCTACAGGATCAAAATCCTGCGGCTCCCAACCCTCGCCACCCCAGTTATCGAAAGCGGATGATTCCACCTTCCAAATCATGACCTTTCCATCTTCCCCTCCGGATGCAACGACAGAATCGTTGAATGGTGACCAGTCTGTGTCGAGGACCGGGGCAGTGTGGCTGCGCGCAAGTGGGATGAGATCGGGTAACTTGGTGGGAAGGTTGTGGGGAAGTGGTTGAAAAGGAGAGGGGATAGGAAGGATAGCGAATGCTCCGCCTCCAGATGCGCTCCAGTTGATACTGACATAACGCTAGTAACACGCTGTAAGTTAAGATACATTGGATAGTGATACCGGGAATACTGACAGTAGAGCAGGAGATCACGTTGGTGTCCCAAGCACTGCTGGTCACTTTGACATTGTCAATACCATACTCCTTCTTGCCTTGCTGTCCGAAGACATGTCTGAAGTCCTACATCGTCAGCACGCTTGGTGACGCGAAATGCACAATGTAACATGCCGCTCACCGATACTTGGATGCCCTCACAAATCTCGACATTATACTGTTGTATTAGATTTCCCAGCCCAAAAAGCCTATACTGTGACCGTAAAAAAGTGATTGGGACAGACGATGGTGAATGTTATAGTCAAAGTCCAAGACTTATGGAGTTGCAGTCAGGCGCCCAGGATACTTAGCCTTGTCGCACCTCCTGGCAATTACCGAATACCTTTATTTAGTATGTTCTGCTTGATGTTCTGAGTACGTGTCGTCTGCCAACTGGCATGTCTTTCGACATACTGTAGGTGTACGCCACAGTCGTAAAGTTTGAACAATACCTTTAAGTTTCAGTCAATGTTGCGTTGTAGACTATCTCAAGAAAGCGACTAAGGTTGAACGTAAAAACCTCATGCACTATACGCAGACTTTACACCAAATCGCAAGCCTGGGTCATGTGTAACGGTTGACAATGTATTTCTGAACAGGTAAAGCATTGATTACATGTATTGAGTCAGACAAGGGGTCAAGACCATTGAACCAAAAACAACGGCCATAGGAAGCTCTCGTCTCGATCAAGTTTCGCCAGGCCTCGGAGGCTCCGACTTCACAAAAAGGTCATTTACAATCCTATGATCAGCATCGTCGGACAATCGCTTTCCGTTGTATATAATTGTTAGAAACTTGTCAGAAGCTGCGGGAGCGTGGGCGACTTTCTGAGTAAGTTGCGACAACACGGAGGCCGTGACATCTTCTACTGCCGAAGATTCAATATTTGCAGGGTCTTTCGAGACTTGTGAGCTAGATGATAGACCGTTGGCACTCGGGGTTTTGAAGGAAATGCTCGGATTCGCCGAAGAAGACTTCAAGGACCTCATGTGTATCGAGAGCTTTGCACGATCCGGAGAAGCATGGTGGATGTAAGTATTGAAGAACAACGAAAGATCCTCTTCGGTGATAGTTGGTAAGACCGCAAGGTTTTCATCGCCTAAAAGGCGAGTAAATAAATAAACGGAGGAAATGCAGAGAGATACGTACGCCATAGAAAGTTAAGGTAGCCAGATTCGATAGGAAGCCAATAGAAGTCTTTTTCTTCTCCGAGGTTCACGGGCTTCTCAGTCCATGACTTTTCTAGAGTCGCTTTTGTCGCTTGTAGTTCCTCTTCTGAAAGTCTCTCCAGTTTGGTCTTCATCTCGTCGAGGAAGGAATCTACCCTCTCTTCCAGGTATATAGGATCATGTTCGCTCTGGACTTGGATGCGAATACCCCTGGTGCTATCGCCTATTGTACACCAACAACTGCATGCGACAATGTACCCAAGTTGCTCTCTAGTGCGCAATACGTTAAATGTGGGCTCCACAAGCAGTTGTAGGATCAGAGAAGATATAACCCGTAATCGGCAATTCAACTCGCTTCCTAAATGAATATAGTATGTCAGAGCTGAATTGGGTTGATCGAGGTCTGACACCAAGGACGTTAGGATCACATTTGAACCTATTGAGTATGATTAGAAGATTTTCGATTATACAGAGATGAAACAGACCTGCAGGCGGAGATAAAGCACGAATGAAAATGTCGCTATGTGGAAGGGGCGATGATTGGAGCATTCTCTCGCTCATTTCCAACAGACGGTTTGCCTCCTGCAGAATATGTTAGACGATTGATTACTCAGGAATGCTGGACACCAGAACATACAGTCTCGCCCATATTGCCAACAACAAGTGCACGTATGTATACTCGGGAGAGTAACCTTGCAACGTGGTTCTGCAGATCCTCAACGGTAATAGCTGTTTACTAAGATCAGACGTGTGCGAAGACCCATCCGAGTGACACTTACCATCTATTTCGGACGCGACTTCCATTGGCCGCCAATAATTCTCATGCAGAACGTGATACAACAGCTGTTCTGACAACTCCTAAGGTTGTTCTAAGGAGTCATTGTGAAGGGACCGCTTTAGGTCTTGTTTCCTGGTGCAAAGTATGTCTTCATTCATCTCCAGTTCGCGGACCTTTTCAAGGACACGACTTGCAAGAACAAGAAATTTGTCATTGAAGCCATTCAGGGTGAATTGAAAGCCTAGCCGGCTGGGCCAGAACGACCAGAAAAGACCAGCGAGAGTAGCATCGTATGCAAATTCCTCCAAGGAGTCTCTTACACATGCTGCGAAGAGGCTAATGCCTCGGTTAGAGGGATTAGACCGATCAGAATGTATGTACATACCACGTCAATGCCCTATCCCGTGGAAAGTTGTTCGCGACCGGCCTGAAGTAAAACTTAAGAAATGAATTCAACTAGCTTCAGAATCAAACTGTTCACTCACGTGCAAACCAGAACAGTCGCAGAGGATTTTGGTACTCGGAATCGGTCAACCTTCTTGTACCACAACGATGACAATGAGGTCTCTCTGATCAGCTGCGGTTGTTTCTCTAGCTAGTGGAAGCTCAAAACAGATCGAAAAGATTAAGGGTGAAGAAAAGTCTACCTCTAATGTAACAAGTTGCTGCGCAACGTCGAGCCTTTGTGGAATAAATTTGTTAGGCAGTGGAAGATATATGCCTGGGATAACGTGCGCTGAATTGGCCTGTGACACCGGTCAATTTTGTCTGTGGTTTCGTGACACGAGCAACAAACCTGTCTGAGAAAACTAGCGTCATACCGCTCAGTGGCATACCCTGTCCCATACCACGGTTCGTGCTCCCACGTCGTATTCTTTCCGGAAATACGCTCATGATCGTCCTTCTTAGCCCACAACGTTGACCTGCTATTCTCTGCGGTAAGCAAATTCAGTATATCTCTTACTTCCTTTTCACCTCCGCCTGGTTTCATGGGGTCCTCGGGGTCCCAGGCTTCCACTAGTTGAGGCGCACTGATGCACTGATCGCGAGGTGGGAGCGCCAGAGAGGACAACTGCCTAGTAAGATAAATGGCGTAATCTTGAGGATCACCTTTCTCTGAATACCGGAAGTCGAGGATGCGAAGAGCGTGCTCCTCACTTTGATGCCATGCGGGTAAGACAGACGATCGTAGAAATGAGAGATATTGATGTACTGCGAGATTTATTTCCCGATGATGAACTACCAGCGAATAGGTCTTAATTTCAGTAAATAGTAATATTGTACTTATAGGATACATACCAAAACCGCTGTGAGTCAAACCGACTTCTACTTTGAATATAGCCGATCCTCTTCCGAGAATGTAATAACCAGCGTCGAGCCAACGTGCCCAGTGCTTGCGCTTCAGGTTAGAAAATAGGGAACCGGGTCCTTCGTGGCCAACAAGATGGGTGAGTAAGGAGGCTGGCTGATGGCGCCAGTGTGGGCTTTGGTCCGGAATAGGGAAGGATATATCGAGCCTGAATATGTCGATAATCGTCTGGACAAACAACATCGTCTTTACGGAGCAGTTAGTGACGGCTTAATGCACCAGAAAAAAATAAGCAAATACTCACGCCCACCTCGTCCGGCCCGTAAGGATGTACTGACATGATTGGCAGAGGATCCAGGTTACGAGTTGCTATCGGGGAGAACAGTCTGCTAATGAGGTCAGATAAGTATTCAACGGACTCTGCAACGGTGTCAAGGTGTTCAGCCCAAGCGTAAGGAATTATTGAGACCTTACTCACCTTTTCCAATGACGCAGAGTCGCATACGATTCGCGTCGTACTCATTGTTCCACCATTCGATGACCCTTCGCCGGGCTTCCTGAATGTAACTGTCCTCTGTGAGTTTCGTTCCATCCTCTATGTCGATGAGACTGGGAGAACCTGACACGCTGCCATCAACTGGTGGCGGAATACAGCTGAAAGAACCCTTGGCTTCCATTCGACAGGGAGCTTGGATGAGACTTTCCTTTGTGCCGTTCTCGAACTTTCGCCACGGATGACCTTGTTTGCTGAGGTGGCGCTCTACTTGCGAGACCCGAAAAGCATCGTTCTGAAGATTTCTCTTGAACTCCGAGTCCACGGCAATGATTTCTCGCGAGGTGCAAGACGGATCGAAGATTGGGCAGTGGAAGAAAGATGCGAAACGTGACAACGCCCCAGATAAACTATCCGCGAAAACATTGAAATGGTAAATCGTACTGTCAGGTTGCGTGTCGGCATTATTGTAGCCGCCATTCTTGGTAATATACTGTCAGAAGGAAGATGTTCAGAGTATATAAGTCGATAAGTCATGACAGCAACATACATCATCGAACTCGTTCTCCTTCGGGTACAGTTCGGTGCCCTGGTGAAAACCGGGTGAGCTACTAATTTCCTTGTTGCGAGAACCAAACAAATGACGGACCATGAAAAGTAAATGTTCGCAGAAGTGTGCCGTACCGGGCATGTCATCCTGAGAGCGCATCAGCATCGGCACGTAGATATGAATCCCAAAGGACACTCACAGGGTCCTGCAGAAATCCTACTGCAACGTTCATGCATGCCGCAGCTCTTTCTGCGCCTGCGTTCTGTATGACCATAGCCTCCAGGCCGTTTCCTAGTCGGATCAGCCTGTACTCGCGATCATCATTCTCCGACTTTCGAATAGGCTTTGAGAAGACATGGTACTCCGATGTTGAGCTATTGGTGACACAGATCCATGGAGATTCGATGTCAGACGTCATCGGTGGCAGATGAGGATGTGGCGTAAACAAAAGTTCTAGCTAGGAGGGGGAGTTTAATGGGTGGTAGGATGAAGAAAATGATGAAAGACACCGTCAGCTAAAACGCCACTTATATACGAAACCCATTCTGTCAAAGCCAAATGGCCACATTTGGACAGTATACTGTTCGTGGCCATGGCCTGACTAGATACCCCTATGGCACTTGATAATAGCCATGGCAGTTCCGGTATTCAGAAGTGTCAAGGATCCCATGCAAATTCGGTGCCAAATGCAAAACAATAAGAATGAGCAGAGGAACAATACTGGAGAAAGACAACCCAAATTTCAATCGCCGAAATAAGGTAGTAACGATATCATTGAGGCGTGAGAGCCAAATGCTATACATCGCCATACAACTCACATTATCATTCATCGTCGTGAAGAGCACGGCAAAACGTCCTTCTACAGACTCATGCGAATATGCTTGACTTCGCCGTTCGTAAATGACATTCTGGAGGAAAGGCCAAGAAGTTAATTTAGGTGACTTGGGCCAAACACGTACAGGGACAGAGCGATATATCTTGGACCAGCACAGCCGTCAAGCCCGAAAAGTACCGTAAGACGTAAGGCACTCACAAAAGCTGTACGGAACACTCGATGCCCTGTAACCCTCTCTTGGAATGCGAGGCTTGATGAATGGCGTAAGTGTAGCAACAGCCTTGGGAAGCTCAATCCCAAGCCCACATCAAGTGTCTTCTTGTGGAACCCGTTCCAGATGGACAATATGAAGATATTCTTACCCAGAGTTAAAGAGCGCGAATTAGAAGTGCTAGTGGTTCATGTGTGATCGTGAGCCTTACTGCCAAGACCGTATCGATCTGTCGCTTCCCAGCCAGACCTATGGGCGACTTTCTGGTCGTTATTGGGAGAAATAACATAAGCTACCTTTCTTATAAGAAGCGATGTGAGTATATAAAGTTATAACGCACGTCACGCCGGTACTTCATTACCGAACAACTTGAAGCCTATTCTCTATGTTAGGCAGTCTCCCCCAATGAACCCGGTCACAAATAACACGTCATGGCATGAGTAGACTTTACCAGTGTCCTGACTCATACCATACAGAGACCGTGCCTCACCAAGGCCAGATGGTCAGATTGGGCAGTGTAAGCTCTGCAATGTCCGTAGTCGTCGTAACGGCGGACAAAGGACTGCCTTGATGAATGTCAAGCAGGAATGTGGCGATATGTAGTGCATGAAACTCCGATTGTTCGCAGCCCGTATATGGAAGTCTTTGAAAGGAAGATAAGGAAAGACGTACGAAGTATCCTGACGTGGATGTAAAAGAAAGTAAGGGCGTCGAGGCCGAAAAGAACACCAAACCCAGCGAATATGGTTGTTTGGTACGTATGTACATCTTCTATAAGAAAACTCTGGTTATTCAAAACCATCAGTCGCTCATCAAACTACGGCCAAGACCGACTAGATGAATATAATTCAGATACTCACAATAGGCTATATTACCCACTGCTGCTTCCTACTACACTCCCCTGTAGTAACCAGGCTTGATAAATGGCATAGGCGTAACCACAGCTTTGCGCAGTTTATTCCTAACTTCCACCTCCAGCTCTGTACCCTTCTTATGGAAACCATTTTGAACATAACCCATGGCAATGTTTTTCCCAAGGGTTGGAGAGGGGATGCCAGAAGTCACAGTTCCTATGTAAACGCACCAAGTCAAGCAGGCCAGTGAATGTGAGGGTTGGAGATACGTACCGATTTGCTTCTTCTCGGTTGGCTCCACAATCTTATGGCCATCTTGAAGGGTGAATAGATAAACTTTTGTTCCTGAATGGATAGAACAAATATCGAAGAGGACATACGTCGTGCTGGTGCTCCCTCTACAAATAAACCTATTCTCCGTCGAGGTGGACCTTCCTTAAGGTGTTTCCTCACTCCTTCGGCACCAATGAACTCTCCTAACTCTCTTCGATTCTTGCCTGTAACAACACCAACGGTTAATATGAAACATGCAATGGCGTGAGTAAAACCCTACCGATGACCCAGGTCAAACCGGCTTCAACAGGTGTAGTATCTTCATCCAGATCCTCGCCGTAGAGACACATTCCTGCTTCAAGACGCAAACTATCTCGTGCACCGAGGCCTGTAAGTTGCACTGGTGGTTTTGTGAGGAGCTTAGCCACGTCGACCGTTTGTGAGGGAGGAATTGAGATCTACACATAGGGGAATTCAAGACTCTGCAAGTAGGAAAATCATCGATTGGAAGGGCACCTCGAAGCCGTCTTCGCCAGTGTAACCTCCTCGCGCAACATGCAAGTTGAATCCTTCGATAGGGACGAAGGCAGATTTGCCAAACGTCAGCTCGGTGAGATCAAATGACGTCAATGCTTGCAGGTATGAAGCCGCCTCAGGTCCTGATATCGTTCTGAGAATCAGACATGTGGCTTCTCGGAGGAGATGAAAGAGGACACACCCTGAAGAGCAAGCAAACCCCATCCTTCTAAGATTTCGTGTTCAACCTTTCCTTCTGCTTTCGCTTTCTCCGAAGCATTCCACTCCTCCAATTTCTCCTTGAACCAGGCCAAGTCTCGGTCACGTCTTCCGGCATTCGTAACGACATAGAACGCGTCGTCGGAGTGTTTGGTAACTATGGTATCATCGATAATGCCACCTCTCTCGTTGAGTAGTACAGAGAGCGTTGATGTATACGGTGATAACGACGACAGCGAAGAAGGGGTCAACCACTCCAAGAATTCGGTAGCTGTTGGCCCGAGGAAGCTTGTAGCATATTCCGTTTAGTATCAGACAACAGATAAATGAATGTAACGCGCACTTTGACTGAACCATGTGTCCAACGTCAAAAAGTCCTACACTGTTTCGGATGTGATGGTGACTTGCAACTACACCTTGAATTAGAACATCATCCCGGTCGGGCTAAGACAACACTTGCCTGCACCGGTATTGCCATATGATAGAGGCATAGAGTACCCCGCGAAGGGCACCATCTTCGCGCCATTTTCGACGTGGAAATCATATAATCCTGTTTTCTTTAACTGTTTGAGCAAGTATCATTGAGTTGAATTGTGTGAAGGGGTGAACGAGCATGCAGACCTCCCCTGAAGCGGCAGTCGCGAGAGAACGAAGTCGAAGCGCAGACCATCTTCGCAACGACAATGGTCGTGCGGTCTTGATAACGATCCTTCCTGCTGCGAGCATTTCGAGAGAACTTTAGAGTACGACACGAGATCGACGTGGCGAGCGACGACCAAGCTCGAACACAACTCGAAAAGACTGAACACAAGTGCGAAGACGTAAAACAACTACAACGGGAGGCCGCACGGAACCAGACCGAAAGTTGAGTGCCACTTCTTGCTTTCTCCTGACCTTCATAACCCTCTGCAGACTTCTTGCCTCGAGCTCTTTATCACCTATTCCCGTCTCTTGATTCCTCACATACTGTCTCGCTTTCTGTAACCCATAGGTTGTCGCGCTTGGCTCCACACAGGTTTTTGCTCTTCAGCTCTCTTGAACTGCGACGATCATGAAGCTTTCTATATCATGATCATCGCTGAATAGGAACATGCCTACAATAAGAGATCAACAGTCTCGGTCAACAGTGAAACATGCCAACGGGACAGCATTTTGCGACCGCCCGCTTCCAACATCAACGATGTTGATCATCGTCCTCAATGGGGATTCACATATAAGCTCAACACCTTGTCTTACGGGGGGCTTCAATCCATATTACAACGCTTCTTGAAACACATTTTTTTCTCTTACGCCTTGCTCGATCGCACTTACCATGGCACCCACCGGAGACTACATGGCACTCTCTGCACCTCTTATAATCGACCAAGGTGAAACGCCGTATGCATACGAACATCCATACCTTATCACAACATCCTATAGGGAATCAGATATCTACGTACACAGGCCCATTGAAAGGAAGGAGATCAGCGTTTGGAGCGTGTCCGACGCTTCCACCCCTCCTTCATACATATCGACCTTACAAGGCGAACCCCCTTATTTTCCCAAACCACAAGTGTTCAGACACAGGTTCATCCTCATTATCGCTCTGAATGAGAATGTTCACACACTCCTCCTTCATAAGATTGAGGATGGATCATTGTGCGACACCAAGCTTATCGTTCATAGCAAGCCGGAAGACCAGGAACATCCTCCGATTCCTAGAGATAGCGGCTTCATTGGAGTTGCTAATGGTCTTATTGCCATTCTCAAGCTCGGTCCGACTGGACGTGGTAAAGATTGCATAGTGCAAGTCTATGGCACGTCCGAGGAGGGTAAGTTCTTGCTCAAGAACGAACTGCAGCTCTTTGCCTCCGGACCTCTCATCGACTCATGGTCGCCGTCCTCGCTGTACGTGCCCAATCTCATACATCTTACCGAGGATACCTTTATTGGTAGTATCAACTTGGATTCCAATCATGACGTCCATTTACTCCGCTGGTCGTCTTTATCTCGTCAACTCCCGGGCCACGCTCGGTTCCCTTCCGTGGTTGAGACCTCGGAAGAGGACGAAGATGATTGGGCGAGCTGGCTCAAAGACCAACTTTACATCCCGTCATCAAACACCCTTATCATGGTGCATGAAGAAGCCCTCGTTGCGGATGAATGTTTTCCCCACACCCCAATCCGTTCCGTCAACGTTGACACTTTCGAATTCAACTGGTGCATACCTTTCGAGCTTGATGTCTTTAACGTTCGCTACGATGAAGATCTCAACACCGTCATCATGTTCGGTCATGATCGTGATACATTCATTATCGCGGCTATCGATGCCAGTACTGGTGCTATCCGAAGGCAGGTGAAGACCGACGTATGGATTAATTCGCTGCATGCCAATATTACCTGCGTCGGGGAACTCGTTACTTCACACTTAGATGGCGAAGTGATCATTATGAAGCTTTCCGACTTCATCGAGCATGGCTATCCTGCGTCGAGCTCATCTTTCGAATACTCGCAAGCCCAAGATGATCATATCGTCTTGCGCATTCCTCCTTTTGATCCGGCATCTGCTTCTGATGACCAGAACGCCACGGCCAATGAAGGACATGCAGAGGACAAGCAGACTAAGCGGAAGGGAGGCTTCCGGGCTCATTTTGGGAAGAAAGGTGATGTTAAGGATTGGGTCGATGCAGCGTTCTTTGGGGATGACAGATTGGTGCTGAGGGATGTGGAGGGCCTTCGATATGCTATTGTGGGATGGAGATAACCGTGCTACTTATTAGTGTCCTTGCATAAGGTCTTTCGCAAGGATCGTCCAAGTTCGCATACGCCGACTGTTCTCAATATGGCAGGCACCCCGAAGTCTTAGAACAACAAAGCCAAACACTGTCGATTTAAGTTCGTTCATCATACTACCGTACTATCTGTTCTTGGAAGTCACTCTCGCGAAGCTTTGTCCGAAAGGCATTCTGACGACCGCGCAACCTCTGAATCATTCTAGGCTTACGTGGAGAAGATGGTATCTATACAACGTCCGTGAGTATTGTGAGTTTGCTTGACAGTCCGATGAATCAGCCTGTTCGCGAGATGTATGTCAAATCCGGGAAGCCCTAACCTCAGGATAAAAAGACCGACTGGAGTAGTATGGCGAGGTCTATTCTTTCTTCCTTACTTAGTGTCCGGGGAACCGAGGAGCATCACACACATGGCGCTCCAGGATGAATGAGGACTAGATTCTGTCCTTCTTGCAATAGTCTCCGACGATATCGGTCAAAGAGCAGAAGAACCTGTTCCCCACCTGGATGGCTAGCGCGTTCCTCAGATATGCACAATTTCCTCCGTTCTCATTCACAAACCTCCGTAAATTTGGTTGGCACAGAAACATTCAAATCGCACCTACACAAACATAAATGATCAAGCAGACTCGTGTTTAGGACCATTGTTGTCACCCGATGTAAATAATTTCTTGCTTCTCGTGTCTCCGGATTTCATGATGTAGCAGAGAGGCTGGTCTGATCTCGGATTGCAGTACAGCACTAGTAGCCAGAGCTCACGGCGCTGTGAGTTTAGAGTCAATCCTGAAGCATGGGTATCATGACCTCCATATTTTGAACTGAAAGAGTTTTTGGGTCCGAACATGACCAGTAGGAAAGTGAGAAAGACGAATTGTTTGATGAATTTATGTGAATGAGTGGATGTTGAACTTCGCGACGCGGATCAGATGCACTGCTGCAGTACATTTACCATCATCTGTTTCTGACATTCATGGCATTTCCTCAGATGGTCGTGCTCCCATAACAAAGTCAATTTCATTACAGAATACAAGCTAGAGCAAGATGTTGAACAATCACGCCCAGTGCATCGCTTTACACTGCAGTGCTGCGTCTTGACCGTACCGTTACTAAGATATTCAAGTTGATCAAGAGGCCGAACCTACCACGTCTTGGCAGGCGATTCCTCTCCGTTCATGAGATAGTCCATGAGACACCGGTGAGCCTTCCGGCAGAGGGCGGGGAGAGCTTATCGAAAGCAGCAGGGGAAAGGTCAATATCGTTCTCTGCGCATCCAGCGCATCGATCAACAACCGTAACTTTGACCGATTTCCCCTTGACTGAGGTATGGATGAATCAGACATATCCGATCTCAGCAGATGATTGGCCTAAAGCTTACAGGTCGCTGTTAGTTCCTTGCTACAGACAGGATTGTCATTCGTATTGGCGGTGGCACCCCTGATAGCATATTCTTGATAAGGTGCGAGACCGAAGAGCAAAGCAAAATGACACTTACGGAAAAGTATCGAATACTTTCGCCGACACCGCAACAATGAAATCTTGTGCATTGTTGATATGTCCGCATGCACCAGGTCCAGGTTCGAAGAAAGTAGCTGTACACATACTGTTAGTAACGAGATTCAGGACATGACGTGCATAGTAAACAGACCTTCCCCGGTACCGGAAGATTTTGCCAAGCCGAACGTAACAAGGGACGCCAAGATGACGAGGAGAATGTTGTGAATGAAGAAGACCTTTGAAGAGAAGAACATTTTGACAACGATACAGGGAGATGGGTTGATGAAGGAAAGCAAGTGTGGTAATGAGAACGGTGCACTGAGACGCGAATAGGCACCAGGCCTGAAAGAGTGTGAAATGAAAATAAGAGTGAAACGGGAAACGAACAAGAGAATCAACTCTTGAGGAGTACATCGCTTACTCGGTCGGGTTTTTATAGTTGCTTTCGGGCGTCCGGCGATGCCTTGGGAGCAGTGCAACACGACGACATCACGTTTCATCGGAACCATCAGCGAGGCCATGGAGGGTCATGAATGTAGGCCCGCCTAGGTGTTGCGGGGTTTCTCTGGTGACCCTAAATCGGTGGCTTGAAGAAAACGACATCTTCATCGTTGACCTACTACAATTCAAGTTACTGGCCTGGGTACCGATTGAGGCGAGGACATTCCATGAACAGTCGCCACCCGAAATATGCCCAATTACTCCACTCGTTCCACGTACCTATTAGTCAATTGAGGGCAATTTATGGACAATGATAAACTGGCCGAACATCATTAATCAGTTTTTTTGCAATGGAACTTGGATTAGGCCTACCGAATAGACTCTGAAGTCTGTCATCTTGAGACTCATAGCATGTCGACCAAGGGCAGGAATTTGAAACGCGTTGTCGTTGCCAGTTGAGATAAAGCAACTGAGTCGCTAGATCACAAAGGAGAGGCATCTTGATCACAAATCGAATCAGACACCCTTCAGCAAACCTATACGGTTCATCTACATTCCGAGCAATGACAGGACCCAAACGTACGAAAGTTTCAATGGGAATTGTCAAAGTTGAGCCTGTCAAGGAAAACCGCAAGTACATTTGCGGAACTATCAGGTCCCGGGAATATTAAAAAGAGAGCGAAAGGCTGGGCCAACAGACCGCGTAGAGATCGAAAGCGTATCGTTGAACAGCAGACAAGATGTTATCCATCTGCGTCTGTAGTCCTGTAGATGCCGCTAGCGACATCATCAGAAACGGTAGCTTGTTGAGAACCGGATCGATCTGGTCCAGGAGTATCTTCTCGATTGCTTTGGGTCTCACTCGAGAACCTGAAATAGGAACCTGCAAGGTGTGGGAAGGTTCAGTCCCATTCACGACGGCGTCGTAGTCCGAATCTAAGATGAAAAAGTCGTCGGGTAATGCATCTGGCATTTTCACAGTCCGGTCGTTTTTGCTCAATTGCATGATCATGATGTACCCCAGGATCTAGTAAAATGTCAGTATCGAGTATGGCAAAGACGTCCAAAGCTGAGTGGTAATACCTGAGGGCCGGGGATCCGCACGACACAACCATCGGTACATGACGTAAACGAGTGCTCGTTATGCGTGGCAGTTTGAGAACTGCTTGCACTGTACGAGAAGCAGAGAACTCCACCCGATATAGCAGCGCTTTGTGACATATTCATCTGTTTGTCAATAGCGACGCCTTCCTGGTTGTATATTTTGATAGTGATGTCCTACGATATGCATAATCAGATCGATTTGCCAAATCGATGACAGCTCTGACTCACTTTGCAGTTGATATAACCGACAGGATAGGCCGGGAGGAGATATTTGTTGATTTCGTTGAAGGCCTCCCTCAGCGCCACCGTTCATCAACTTATCTACATCGTTTTGTGCAGTCGCGGGCCACTTAGACCACGAAATATCTGGGCTGGCAGAGTAAACTGTCCGATTCTTTCAAGAACTGGGATCGAAACCACCCGGCGCGACCAACAGCCACCAAAGTAGAGCGAAATCCGAGCTCAATCTTGTTAGTCAAAGTCAGGAGTCAAAACGATAAATCATCACCTCCCAACTGACTTCACTAGCGTACTCAATGGATGTACAACAGGTCCCGGAGATTCCCTGTCGCCATGCCGCTTTGTAAACTCGATAGTACTGGTCCTGCTTGAAGACTATGTGATGACGCATAATTCTAGATGCTGCACGGTGAGAAATGTACGAACGACATTTGTCCCCGATACAGATGCCAAATACCTGCCTGCATTGCTGGCTATCCATCTTCCTCTTCCTGCATACGCCAAAACAGGTACCAGGAGAACGCGAGAGACTGCGGACTCAAGGGAAAAGGTAAATGAACTGGAAAGTCCAGTATTCGTACTAGGTCATTTGGTTTTGTAGAAAGTTTATTTTTGTAAATGGGGGCCTAGGGCCAGCTCCAGCTATAGAACCGCAAGACCTCCTGCACCGTGCAGCTTGCGAAACACGACACAATGGGACGGGAATCTATAAGGTCGGATGGGAGGAACATATTTTTGATTGATGGCGGCACCCGCGGGAAGCACGAGGTTTTTGAGTAGTCCACCACGGGAAAGGAGATGGCCGTTCAGTTCCGACCGAGAGATATGGGGCCTCTACAGATGTTAATGGAGATGCAATGTCTCCCTGCTCTTGAACGGGCTCGAATAAGCAACCTTAAAGCATATACGCAACCTTAAAAGGCGAGGGGATTGTCATAGGACATGAACAAAAACTATCAATGGGGAAAGACGTCCAATGGGTGTGCGGACGAAGCAAGGGTTGATCAAGAGTCCTGGACCTAGTTCCCAAAGAAGCGGAAAGGGAGACAAGATGGGTTTAGCAAAAGGTCATACACGGAAGCTATAGCTGATCATAGAACGTCGCCGGTGAATGCAATAAGCGCTATAGTCCAGCTAGCCAGTGCAACGGAGGAACCGATATTATATGCTGTAAGTCTTCCGGAAAACCGCTGAAGGAAGCCAGATTCGGGGCAATCAAGGAAAATTGGAGTGACCTTTGGCGGACACTACTATTAATATTCAATGTTTTGCCCGCAGAAACCATTCCAAGGTGCATTTATGCGACGAGCATGGAGAATACAATAACACATACCTCCTGACTCTCAACTACTGAATGTCGTAAACATGCAATGGGGTAAATATCATAGTTTTGTGGGTGGACGGGCAGCGACAATCGGATTCGTCATGCTTGAACTGCCTGTAGAAAATTTCACGGTGCTTCACTTCCTCTGAGCGACGGCAAGCTTCGCAACGTTCTACTTAAGGCATTCAGGGCCATGTTCGAGACGAACGTTGTGGACAACGTTGAGAGACCCATGCAGAACAATGAAGACAGCGACGAACGTGCAAGACTTTGAAATTGGATGCGTCATTCCCCGGGGCGCTGATCCGCCACCGAAATGCAGCCAGAGAGAACCCAAAGTGGTACCGAGCTCATCTTCCTACCACGTCCTGCCCACCGTCCTCGTCGACGTCGACGCATATAATATCTTATTTATCGTCTTTGCTCTTAGTCTGTGCTTGTACTTTTCCCGCTACGACCTTATCTCTGGCGTGCCCTCGCTATCGAGAGCAAGCCGTCCGAGTCCAGCTAGCCAGGAGAGAGTACACCCTCGACGTGTCTCCCTCCCAGCTGGTCTCACCAGCGACACCTCTGCATGAGCCTTCTCCATGCCTATTTTCACGCTAGAAACCAGCAGGCGTTCAAACGCCTGCTCGATACCCCTCATGGTTCCTCTTCTAATGGTCAACCCAGCTCAAGCGGCGGCAGGTCGTGGAATCGCCCTAGTCCTCTATCTTCCGACCTGAACGTGAACGTTAGAGATGCTCTGGGTCGTACTGTCCTTCATCTTGCTGCTGCTTCGACTGCACCGTCTGCTCCTGAATACATTCGCATGCTGCTCGCTCATCCGCATATTAACGTGAACTTACAAGACTACGAGAGTCACTGGACTGCGTTGCATCATGCATTGTATCACGGAAACATTGCCACAGCACTTCTTCTATTACAAAGGAACGATATAGAGCCTGACCTAAAGGATTTGGAGGGCTATCGCGCTTTCGATCTTTACAATTCCACAGTGGAGCACACCAAGCCGGATAAGGGGAATGGACTGCTCTATACATGGGGAACGAATAGAAATGCGTCTCTTGGTCTCGGAGACCCCGACGACAGAACATTTCCTGACCTCGTTGTCCTGGAACGTCCTGATACGTCTTCGGTGGACACTCTGGACACCCGGTTCCAACCCGTATTCGTAGATAAGGTGGCCATGGCGAAGCTTCATACCGCAGTACTGACCAATGAACCCCGGAATAATATTCGTCTGTGTGGGTTTGGTAGCGGAGGACGGTGAGTAGTCGCTATATGCGCTTTTATGCCTTATCTAATGTAATGACCAGCCTTGGACCTGGGAATCACACTCAATACGCCTTCCAATCCATCCCACTTCCTTCATCTACCGGACCTCCCCCTTCACAATATTCTCAATATGGTGCTACTTCAGGTTCCTCCCAGCGCATAGTCGAAATTGCTCTTGGGCAAGATCATACACTCGCCCTCACTGCTGCCGGCGAGGTTCTATCCTGGGGTCTCAACCGTTTTTCCCAACTTGGTTATGTTGTTGAAGGCGCCACCAACCTTCTAAATGGAACGAAGGAGGAGATTCAGAGTATGCCTAGGAAAGTACCCAGTCTCAAGAACAAGTTCATTATTGGGGTTGCTGCGTGTAAGACTGCCTCGGTTTGTTGGGTAGAGAATGAGGTTTGGACCTGGGGAACAAATGGCGGACAACTTGGTAAGCGAATGCGAATCAATATTTCGTGCGAACTAACGGATTGGCATAAGGGTACGATCGTAGTGCACACCCTGTTCAGGTTACTCCAAGGATCGTAACAAAGATTACTCAGTCCGTACTGTCTATCGCCATAACAGTGCGTTACGTTTATTCGCGTCGCAAATTCTCTGGCTGACTCTGGTGTAGGACTCAGCCATGGCCTGTCTACTTGAGACAAACGACGTAGTTTGCCTGTGCAATGACATCTACTTTAAGATCAAGTAAGCTCCTCCATCATTGTCCCCTACAAAATGGCGACGCTGACTTTCGCCCAGTTTCCCCACTCAGACATTTCCTTCTGAGATTGCGACCTACCGGCCACCTCAAGCAGTCCGGAATGCCAGTATACAGAAGATTACCTCGTGCGAGAACACCTTTGCTGCGCTTTCTTCCAATGGGGAGCTCTTTATGTTCACTCTACCCAGTGCCGGAGTGGTCAAACCACAACGGGTGTGGGCGTTGAGAAAACAGTTCAGTGCTGTCACTGTACGTTATGTCTCTAGCGATGACTGTATCGTTCAAACTGACTCTCCGTTTAGGACGTTGCGCTAGGTGCAGACAGTTCAATCATCATATGCACGGAATCCGGTCACGTCTTCGTCCGTTCACGGACGTTCAAATCAATTTCTTCTACCGGCTCTGCTGCAGGCGGATCGAGCGCCAAGACGTTCAAGTTCCAGCGTGTACCCTCTATCCACCGTGTCAAGTCTGTCTGCGCTAATAGCACGGGTGCTTTTGGTGCCATCAAGTTGGAGACAGGAGCACAAGACGTCAAAGTCGAAGGACCTTTGATTCAGGAAAGTTTGGCCCACATCCAACCGTACGTTCCGTGGGACGAAACAACGTCAGAGGATGATGGGAGCTCGGAAAGAAGCTCAGACATCGTGAAGAGTGGAATGGAAGTGGAGGAGGTCGATGATGACGACGACGCTGCAATCTCGATGGATGCCAGAGAGATTGTCAGGCTCTGTCGCTTGCTGTTGCAAGATCGGCTAGCTCGCAAGGACACGGGAGGCTTGTTCAACTCCTCGGACTTGTCTTTTGGTGCCGACCTCATCGTTCGGACACAATCCGGTACGGAGCTTCCATGCCACAAGCTCGTTTTGGCCGCTCGATCTTCTGTCCTTTCTTCAATTCTGGAGGGTACGGACGTGATTCATAACAGAGACTGGAATATCTCTATCAAACTCGCTTCACCGTCAAAGCGATGCACTACATGCTATTGTCCAGATGGTTTACGACTTGCTCCATGGGCTAAGAAGTCACACCTGATGATTTCTGGGGTACATCCGCTTTCCGTTCTGGTTCTGCTGGAATATTTGTACACCGACGAAGTTCTCGCCATTTGGGATCCGCGCATTTCACGATTGGTCCAAGGACATCTTACGTCCCTCAAGACGAAATCAGCTGTAATCAAGCTAGAACTCCAGCGTCTCGCTCAACTCCTCGATCTTCCCTTCCTTTCCAAGGTTCTCGATGCTCCCGTGAAACGTACACCAGAACCTTCCATGGCAGCGAATCTGCTACATCTTTCCGAAACAATCCAGTCCTCCTGGAAGGATATGTCGTCGGAACATCCAAGTAAACCTGATGTCGTGCTTGTCTTTGCGGATCGAGAGGTGCCGTGTCACTCAACTGTGCTGAGATCGCGATCGGAGTTGTTTGCTGCGTTCTTTGACGACGAGCAATGGACCAAGAGAAGATGGACTGAGGAGGATTTGGTCAGAGTTGACCTTAGCCATATGAGGTGGAACACTGCATCTTACGTTGTGAAGTTCCTGTATGGAGGTGATGTGCGGATGTTTGACGTCATGGGTGTGTAGTTATTTTTTCTACATTGGAGATTTTATAATAATTCGCCCTGCAGAATTCATCAACACTGTCGACGAACTGGTTGAATTTATGTTCGAGATCATGGCATGTGCGGTATGTCATCTGAAATTTTCTAGATACTCCAAGATACCGAATTTCTCATCGGTGTTTTTAGAACGAACTTCTTCTGGACCGGCTCTTCCTCATTTGTGCTTCGGTCATCGTCAAACGCGTCAACATAACGAACGCCTGTCTTGTTCTCAACGAGGCATCCTACTACAATGTGATACCTCTAATACGCTCAATCCAACAGTACATAGCGATCAACCTCGAAACCTTCCTAGAGAGTCACCTCCTGGACGACCTCCCCAATGATCTTCTCAGACAGCTCTCAGTCTTCGTTCGAGAACAACAAGCTTCGAAGTCACCAGTGTCCCGTTCTGGCATATTGACCAACATGGCAATGGAGAAACACAAGGAATGGCTGGCCATGGAAGACTTCCCGCAACCTATTACGAAGACATCACGTCATCCATCCCGCATAGTATCTTCAGCCAAGCTTTCGCCACCCACTCCTTCACGGAAGAAGGAACGCAGTTTGGGATCAATAATCTCTCCATCAACCAGTCCAGCTTTGCGTCCTCAGATTTCGCCGTTAGCACCTCAACCTCCTCATGTTGGCCCCGCCGAAGACGAGGTGTTCATGATGGACGAGACAGTTCCCTCGCTGAATCTCAACCAGAGCGCCGGACCTTCAATCAAGCTCGAGTCACAAGGGCAGAGCGGTAAGCCAACTGTTAGCTGGAAAGTTTCATCTGTACCAAAGTAAGTGATTCATTTCGTCTTTTATCATAACAACACTGACGATCTTGCGTAGAGTGGACATGAAGGCGATCATGGCTGAGGCAGCCACCAGCAGGTTGATAGGCTCTCGAACTTCATCTTCGTCTAACCTTCAACAAGCTGCGACCGGTGTTGCGGCCGATGCTGCGAATTGGCGAACACCACAGCAGACGAATCGACCTCTCCCCGAGACGCCTGAAAGACCTGCTCCGCGGAACGCTTCAGGTTCTCCTTGGAGGGTCCCGTCCGTCGGCACCCTCGCAGCCCCGAGTTCGCCTCCTGGTACTCCTCCCACTGGTTCGCAAGTTCAAGCTCCACCTTCACGGGGTAAGGAGACTAGTTTGCCATCGGCCTCGAAACCACCATTAGTCACTAGGAGCAGTGTTGGATATCGAGAACCAATGACTCCTCCTCGCATGCCAGGAATGGGACCTGTGTTTACACCGTCGAAGCAGGGCCCCAGTAAGCCGGGGCCTTCATCTGGTGCTCATCGCGTTTCGTACGTTTGTCTTCTAATTCCCTCCTAGTCTTTTGGTTGTTTACAAGATATGTTCTCACTACAGGAATGGAACCGCATGGACATTACCACCGGTTCAGCCATCCGTTAAACCCGCATCTTCGGGCTCATCGATGTCCTTCACTGCTATTCAAATGGCTCAACTGGAGCAGGAAACTGTGCCTGTCAAGGACAAACGCTCGCTCAAGGAGATCCAAGAAGAAGAGCAAGCCCGTCAAGTGGAGGAGGACTTCATGAAGTGGTGGGCCGCGGAGGAGGAACGAGTGAAGCAAGAGGAACAAGCTATAGTCGCCGCTCTTGCCCCTTCACGCCCACAGCAGCAGAAGGCCAAGAAGGGGAAAGCGAAGGGGTCTTCTGCTCAAGGTCCTAACCCGAAACCTTCACGACAGACGCAAGAACCACAAGTGCAGCAACGTCAGGAGCAAGCTGGAGATGGTGTTCGTAAACGGAATCGCAGGCCGGTCGGGAAGAAGGAAGCAAAGGTCCCTCAGGCTCCTGGTCCCCAATAACACTAACCCATGTGGCTTTATTAAGTGTATCAATGTACGATAGGGTAATTAGCTAATTGCTCCATATTTTCTGTTCCGATGTAGAACTTTGGGTATCTCACGATAGAGCAGTCGTAGCATACGTAGAATGGCTTGTATACGAATCATAATCACGAGAGGATTTTTTGTTGTATGGAGTAGATGGCGAACAGTTGTAATACTGTACAGTGAATGACTACACTTGCAGACCTGCCAGTCCGGTTCTTGGCCCGCTCGATGGCATTGGTATGAGAAATATGTTTCTGCCAGTTTTCCAGTGATGGAAGCAAAGGCTGTATCCGTTACAACCATATTAGAATCAGACAGTGTCCAGGCATGTAGTGTAACTACGGAGTAAGATACAATATATGAAGATGCTTGTCTCTATTACAGTCCTACGTCGTGGTTCTCTTCACCGTCCATATCCACGTCAACATCCTCATCTTCCAGCTCGTCTTCCTCCTGCTCTTCGAGCGCAGCTTCAGCCTCGGCCTGTGCTTGAGCTTGCGCAGCCGCTTGAGCGATAGCCTCCTCAAGAAGCCTAGTCTGCTCTTCCGAAAGCCACTGAGTGAGTGAAGAATTATCCGTAGTCGATTCGAGCTGCGGTTCTTGTACGGGTGTGGGTCCTTGTAAAGAGGCCATTGGAGGTGGCGGAGCAGCCGAAGGTGTAGAAGCCGATTGGAAGAAGGTCGGATGAAGAATATTGGTTGAAGACGGCGGAGCAGCAGGAAGTGAAGTCCCAGCCAGACTGGAAACGTGCGATCTAAGATGTTCGTATACACCGTCGATGACCATCCGTTGAGCCCGCACGATAGCCTCCATAGAAACTTCGCCCTCTTCCTCGCCCTCCCCTTCGCTCATTCCCGCGCCTTCCCTAGCAGCGATTCCATTCCAAAGTTTCGCTCGTCTACTCGCTTCCTCTTCCCCATCTTCCTTATCCACTTCCACTTCGAATACTTGACCGTACGCACAGCTAGAGTTACTGGCTCCACCATCAGTGTGGTAAGCACCATCACCTGCCAACCCTTTAGCTGCTCGGTCCTTATGTCGCTTGATCGCGTCTCGTCTCGAGAAGATTTTGTCACAACCACCACATTTCCAAGCCTTCTTCTCGTGTAGCTTGACATGTCTCTTCAGGTCGTGATTCCGACTAAAAGAGGCTGGGCAAGTTGGACATCGGTAAGGTCGGTCTGCGAGAAGGCCACCGTGCATTCCGGGTGCAGGAACTTGCGAAGGATGAAATCGAGCCTGGTGCATCCGAAGGCTATAAAGTTTGCTAAATGTCTTCAGACAAGGGGGTGATACTGGAATGCCAACACAGGGATATATGGCTGTTCCAATATCGGTCTCTGTACCTGGCGTTGTAACCGATCCGATAGGTATGCCCGTAAGGATACCTAACATCTGAATCAACCGAGCGAGGTCCTGCAACAAAGCCACCTTATCCGGAGTAGCCCGTGGGATCGACGTGACGGCAAAGAGGAATATCTGGTGTAAATGGTGATGTATGGAGGAGACGAAAGCTGGGTCAGCAACACGTAAAGGCGTAGATGGATGATGAGAGGCATGCTGAGTAGACGAAGGTGCCGGTGGAAGGGAGCCAAAAGCGGACGAGACGACATGAATGGCGTTAGAAATTTGGACCAATAGATCAGTCTGATACTCATTCGCACCGACGTGAACTCGTTTGGCCCTCGCAGTATCATCTTCCTCGCCTGCTCCAAAGCCAAACGCGCGCTTGCGCTTCCCTCTCTCTAACATTTCCTCACTTGTTGTTTTATCTTTTAAACGACCGAATAAGGTGTCATTTTGAGCTAGCGAGACAAGTGCTTGGCTGAGTGATTTGGCGAGTGACTTGTGGATGGAATTGTTCGTGATACTAAGTTTCAGCGCAGCCAGGACGTTTGAAGAGGTGGGAACTGTGGAGACGAATGAAGCTGAGAAGACTGCGCGCACTTGCGGGTCTTCTTCTATCGTAGAGAGAATACTTCGCATAGTCATTAAAGCAGCCTCCTGCTTTTGTTTCCTAGAAGTTGTATGTGTGGTAGACATTCCAGACTGAGATATTTGCAGTACTGCGGCTGTGGCGGAAGATGCTGATGCTGCTCTTGCTGCCTCCATTTGAGCCTTCGCAATATCGGCCAAGAGTTGGTCACCTAGTCGTTTGGCTATCTCTTCGGCCTCAGCACCATAGTCTCCGTCTTCCTCGTCGCCTTCTTCAAATTCATATTGTTCCTCGTCACCCTCGTCCCACTCTGCAGAATCAAATTGAGGAAGAGGAAGGTCCATGGGGACGCAACCGAATTTGTCGTACTTCTGAATCAGTAAACACAGAGGTTGATCCGCTTCGAGAGAGTCGCCACACAAGCACCAAGCCGACGCTCAGTAATTTCTGTTGGCAGAGGGAAATGATGTATTGCGCAAGGAAAGAAAGCGTACCTATTGCTGTGTAGGACGTCGGGCGGAAAAATTAAGATTGATAAAGAATACTTACTTTATTTGGACAAGCCTGCACTAAATAGGCAATTGCTTCTACAGAACGGTCCGATGGCAAGACCGGTCAACAATCTTATCTTATCTTGATGGCGTGATAAGCTGAGAAAGATGCCTCTTGCTAAGCGTGATTGTATTCTCTCTTGTTCACGAAGAAAATAAGAGTTCTAAATATTTGGAACTATGTCAGAGCCCGAGAGGCAGGATGGTAAGCTGACAAACGATATGCGAAACTTACGCGCGGTCTAACAGCGAGAAATAAAGCAGCTCCCAAAGTGAGTCCATTACTGGACTTCGTCGCAGGAACTGTTGCTGGTAGGTAGCATAAGAGGCAAAAGTCGAGCTGGAGCCTAACTGATTGCACGGTGTTTAGGAAGTGCGGCTTTGGCCGTAGGCTTTCCGTTTGATACTGGTGAGTTCCTACATGCATGCAAATCAAGCTAGTGTTCTTGACCAGGCGTGTAGTCAAAGTTCGCTTTCAAGACCCTGGTGTTGCCGGCAGGTACCGTTCGACTTTCCAGGCGTTGACTGTCATTTCCAGAAAAGAAGGATTTCTTGCTTTATTCCGTGGTATCACCTCTCCGTTGGTTGGTACAGTTTACAGAGACTGATACACTGCATCTCTAAATCACTATCAGGCCACAGCAGCACCTTTGAATGGCCTCGTGTTCGCATCCTATCGTCTTTTCATGCATTCTCAGCTTGATAATGATGATACTGATCCAACACTAAGTCAAGTTGCACTTGCAGGAGCTGGAAGCGGAATTGTTTCGTCGTACGTGACACATGGAGATTTCTCACAGTCCTGACGTTCTTCACTCACCTGTCCCAGGCTAATCACGACTCCAACCGAACTCATCAAAATTCACCAGCAGACTTTGCAATCTCGACTTCACAACCAACGACTTCCTACCGCTGCCGAGGTCGCGATGAAAATCATTCGACAACATGGCTTACAAGGACTATACCGTGGCATCACATCTACCGCCCTTCGAGACATAGGTTATGGCGCCTATTTTGCTGCGTACGAGGCAACACTGATGTATTTTCCATCGCCAAAGCCTTCGCCTCATGACCATTCGTCTCTCCTAGATGAGGCTGACTCCTCAATAGCGACGCACTCTTGGTCTGCACTACTGTTAGCAGGTGGGCTCGCTGGTATTGCAGGTTGGCTAGCGACATTCCCGTTCGACGTGATTAAAACACGTATTCAATCCTCCTTTGGCTCTGGGCCTGAGAACCCATATCGCAATACCTGGTCTACTATTATCCATTCATATCGCCAGGAAGGTCTCAGAGTCTTCTTTAGAGGTCTTGCACCTACGCTGGTTCGGTGCGTCGGTTTCATTTCGTCCTTCTGGGCTGTTGTCTGTGGTGCTGAGGAAATAAACGAATCAGCGCTGTTCCTGTCAATATGGTGACGTTCGCGACCTTCGAAACAGTAGTTCACATATTTTCGTAGCTTCAGGCTTCTCTGCTCGAACGAAAATATTTCACCTGCCCATCATGCATATACACTCAACGCTCGCATACACGACCATCATACCCTATAGAATGATGTCTACCCTTATCGTAGGAGGGTGTAAACTGAATGCAAGTGCCCTTTCATGATACCTGACGTAACGTCGGTGAGCTTTCAGGATATTAACTCATAGTATAAGAATTATCAGGGGTATCGGTATACGTTGCGGAATATTGTATTCGTGAACAAAGTGACTAGTGTGGGCCAGAGTTCTGTCGTTTGCTAATTGGTCTCCCATCCTCATTCGGACCTGGCTTCTTCTTGTGAGAAATGAGGATACCGATGGAACCACCGAGAGAACGGCCTCGAGAAGGCCGTCGTTCCACAGCCTCTCCAAACAAATCTGGTGACATTGGCATCGACGATGTCGAAAGCTGCGTATCTGCTGTAGTAGCGAGCTGTGCCACAATCTCGTCCGCGTCAACAGATTCCTTCTGTTTCGAAGGTGGGTTGTAGTGTGACAACCTTGCTTGATTCTCAGCATCGAACTCATCATAGATTTCCTCGCCGATCAATTCTGGTGAACAGATGTTAGAAGAGGAACTGGGATAGCGCTAGTATTAATCGTACCTTCTAGAACATCTTCTAGTGTGATGATACCGAGGGGCATGACAGCTGGATCAAAACTTTCCAAGAACTGGTCCGAATTAGTCTTCATGACCTTTTGAGAGGCGATAAATGGAACAGACTTACCTCTCTGACGGCCTCTTTAGGTGGTACGCCATCATCGGGCAAAGTCTGCTCCCTACCAATGCTCGTCATCCGCTCCCAAGTGACTGTCATAGGCCCCTTGCTCTCTTGTACATTTGCTTCCTCATTAGCAGTATTCGTGCCCTCAACTTTCTCACTTTTCTCCACGTCCTCCTTCTCAACGTTTTTAGCCTTCCATCCTCTCCAGCGCCGTTTCAGCTTCGAGTCTCCTCTCAGTGTTGCATCATTATCTTCGTCGCCTGCCTCTATATTCTCTTCATCAGAGGATTCACTGCTGCTGCTACTATCACTGGTATCAATGCCAACTCTTTCCTTTAGACGACGGCGAAGCCCCTTCTTGACTTCATGCTTGACGCTAATGGCTTCTTCGACGCTGAAGCGCGAGACGATGGCCATATGTGATCGACCTTCTTGGAAGCGGTCAAGTATTCTCAGAAGAGGTTCGTTGCTTGGCACGAATGGAACATCGTGGAGACGAAGAGTACGAATAGGTGTGGCATCTAGGCGATACATGTATGAGCAAGAAGGTTGGTGTACTAATCGGGATAGCTTGCCTTTGGGGTTCAACATCAAACACTTCATGAAATAAGTGTCAAACACACATCCCTTTAACAGTCAAAGTTACGACATACCTGTTTAACCATGAATAATCCGAGAATCTTCTTCACGCGTTGGGTCTTTAATGGAAAGTCGTCATCTCCTTTCTTTGTCTCTGAAGGTTCCGAGATGACCGGTACTCCTACTTCTTCGTAAATGGGTACTCGAGAATGACCACTGTCGTAAATGCGTTTCATGGTGTCGTGATCTAGTTTGTCATGTATGCTAAGCATGAAAACTTTATCGATTGGGGTCATGGCCTGTCGGACGACCTGCAGGAACTCATATGAATTTCAATCCTTAAACTCAAGTCAGCACATAGATATACCTTCTCCTGTAAGTCTAAAGTCGCTCCGATAATGTTGACGGTGTCCGCTTTGAGGTCGCCTCCTAATTCACCGGTTGTGGCGTGCAAGGCAATAAGCTCTTTGAGCTCTGATAGTAAAATCATAACGGCTGAATAAGCGAAGGCAAGATTAGAGATATATGGGTCTACCTGCTCGGCGGTACATAATCCCATGGTGTTCGCCTAGAATCCATTCCATGAATTTGGCGACTGGCCATGAAACGATACCCTAAAATGTGGTGTAGACATATAGAATATAGACCACATTAAAAACAAAGTGAATAGCGACAACTGAAACTCACCAAACCGTAAATCAATATCCGAACGAACCAAGCCATCTTTGCACCAATTGCAAGACCATGGCGAGTACATATCGATTGAGGGATGATTTCCGAGAAGCTTGACGACGTAGTCAGCGAATCTATTGAAAATATGAAAGAAAGCAAGAATTCGTACATCACAATGAGCGCCGTACTAACAACAACACTTGGAATTCCACCGCCAAGAACTGGGTCGGCGATCACAGGAAGCGTCTCGTTCACGATCATGTTCGCCAGAATAAGAGTGATCAAAAGTAAATGACCATTCTTGCGAATAGGTTGGATCTTCTTGGCATATTCCTTCTGTTTCCTGTGCAAGTTAACAAGTGAGCCCCCCTGGCCAAGAAGTCCAAGAAAATGCTTACGGAGTGCCGCTGATACTCAACACGTGTAGCTGAGTCTCGTCCAGACTCATATAGCCAAGCATTAGTCCCGCGAACACTCCGGATAGAAGAACAAGCACGGGAATGAGGATTGCAAAGGCGATGGTCTGTGCTACAGGAAGGTCGGGCTCTCTCTTTGTGAATACATGACCTTCCGATTTGCTGTTGACTTTTACTGAGGAACGAAATATTTTTATGGCAGAGCTGAAGATGGCAGATGCTGCAGAGGGAAATAAACGGGCATTTCGAGAACCATATTTCGGTGACAGAGATATGGCTGGCATGCAAGGCTTACAGGTGGGTTGAGACGATTGTGGTGGAGAGAATGAGTGCCAAGAAAACATCTGTCTATAAAAACGCCTCATTGGTCCAGTTATCTTGGCAACCACGCTTCACCATCATAGCTCCACGCTCCATTCATCGCCTCCAGCAAAAGAGGAAATCGACATGCGCATGTCTAGCTTATGCAGAGGAGTACGATCTTGTGCAGAAGAGCCGTAAAGAGGAATGACCATACTCTAAGAACTTGAAGCTGCCAAGTTAGTGCCACACTAGCAGCGCCCTAATTTGCATCACGAACGAGGTTATATACGATTATACTAATAGAATATAGGTCTGCTAATATGCAGTTATTCTTTCACGAGACGAGGCATTTTTGATTATAAGACTATCAAATGAAGTATCTCATGGAGTACCTCAGACCCGATACAGGTTTTGTGCCCATGGGTTAGCGACCCCGGCGATTTTCAAATGTTCAAGAAGGCGAGAATTCCACGAGACAGATCATCCCCGTCGACCGACATCTTCCGTCCCTGGTCAGGTAGGAGACTAGGAAAATTGAGTATAACCTGTCGTTGCATTCACTGTCAGCACCCATCTTAATAGGCACAGGACGCTAAATACGAAGACGGACCTCTTTCGAACCGTCCTTATTAGACTCATTCCACCAAGAGACCATATCAACGATTCCCCGCCGAAGGTTATCGTCAAACGATCTCCGAATATGCTGTACCCATTTAGAGTGCATTCTACCCACGTCCACCTGCTTTGCGCTCTTGGGAGCGTGGTGTTGCTAGAAGGATAGCCTAAACAAGACGAAATACATGCAAGGGAAATAGAGACTGACCTTAACATACCACGCTAACCAATACTGCCTGTAGGGCAGAAGCCACGTTATGGACAGTGATAAGCATGCATCATCGTGACGTGACTCACCATTGTCGTCGTAAGCAGGTCGACTGTTGTGTGAAGGCTTTCTCCGTGGTGTCGTCCTTTGCGTATTCCCATGTACTGGCAGCCTGATCACACTCGTTAACATATGGAAACATTGTCATTCGTAGACTTCACCAACCGCACGAAGACTTGCTACTTTCTCAGTGTCAGAATACGACTTGAACCTCGATTTAGTGATAATTTTGCTGCCATTGAACGCCTAACGACGAGGATCAATTCGAGTCCTATGGCAGTTGCAGTTGCTGGAGTGGAGACGTACCCGCGATTTCATACCATCGATAGTTTTCTCCAACATAGGCATCCAAGCGTTATCTTTAGAACGATCGTTCGGAAGACATTGCAGCAAGTTCCAAATGAAGGTCTGGAGCAGATGCGTTCAGTGGTATGACGATTCGCAATGAAGAGTGAACAGACTGAAGAACATATGTACTCGTCGACCCAATCGCAGAATTCCTGGTTCAGAATGGGTTTCCAAAGTCGTCGAGCGACGGTGCTTTCGCCAAGGGAACCGATGAATGACGCAACTGGTAATACATGACAGCTAGATAAGCGTCCTGGTAAAGCTGAACATGCTGGTCCTTACTCAGTTGTACCTCAAATACATGGTCACGATTGTATTCCCCAGCGAGATTGTCCGGAGGGCTGGAATAAACCTTCAAGCTTGGGTCAAGTGGCTCGATCTCTGTCCCATGCGGAGTTGCGAGGTTGATCCAGGTAGCGGGCGTCGCGAATTTAGAATACCGCAGAGGCGCAAATCCAATTGAACAACCTGGTACGACCTGGAACAAAGAGTTCAAGGAAACGAGCAGAAGTACAAGGACGATTGCATACCTGCATACCACCAGGATTCTTCTCTATCACACCGTTCACACGGACGCAGGACACGTCTGGTGCGGAGTAATACCTTCTTGAAGGACCGCGAAACTTGGTATTAGTACTTCGCGGTGCTTGATTGTGTCGCAGAAGTATAGCGGCGAGTGCGACTACGACGACGAATGCTAGGGTAATGTAGCGGGCCATGTGGGCGGGAGTCTGAAAGTTACATAGGACGGGCGGTGGACTACTTGCCAGTATATGTGCTATTCACTAATACTATTAGCATTCTGCTTCGCGATGGGCCGCCTTCATCGAGCGAAAGTCAGCAAAGACGCATATAGCCACGTTACCGTTCACAGCTCATTACCAATGACGCGCCCACATCACCACGTCGCCCAATTTGAAGCATTCCCGATATGGTCACAACGCGTACTTGAGTCCTGACCAGATGTTCGCGTTAGTTTGGGAATCCGCAGGGTACAAGAGATTCAAGAGAGGACGCGCTACGTCTACAGTAGGAGCAGTAAGGTCGTTAACTTTGTTCAGCTGAATTCAGCACCAAGGATCATTGAAGCCTAAATATCGTAAGACAAACCACCAGGAAGGCCGGACCTCATAAGGTAGCAAAGCCTCCGTTATAAGACAGCTGCACAAGCTCAGGCACCAGCACAGATGTATGACCATCCACCATAGTGCGTTCCAATTATGTGTGAAGGCGAGGGAGTACAAGAACAAACCCAGAGTCTCTTCCGAGTCAAGATCAGAAATGCTCAATTTCACTGTGACACTAGGAGGTACAGTAAGTGCAGATATTTGAGAAGTACAGTGTATTCTTCGTTGAACCTATAGGCCTCAAGGTGCTCCAGATGATGCAATCGAATAGCGACTGTTGATTCGTCAGGTTGAGAGATCTCGTCGACTGGTCTTGGGATTACTAGTCTATAACAGCTAGTGCCTCAAAGTAGCGAGCAACTCGGTAGGTAGGATCGGGTTAGCCACGATATGATGTGATAGTAAACTCTCTAAGCATAGTCGGTGTATTGAAGGAGAAGAATTCGGAAGCAAAGTCGTGCAACGCAAGAGAAGTCGTGTGACGGTTCAAGATTAAATGGATTAGTCGATAAGATCCGTCAGAGGAGTAATTGTTAATGCAAGGAACGCGGGCCTTCCAGGAGTGAAACATGATAGCAGCCACATCATTGAACGGTGGAAGAATCAACTTTTCGTCGGACCTGTCTAATATCATCGGATGTTTCAACACGAGCGAGACGCTGAAGCAAGAGATTGGATCGTTCTGAGATTGTAAAAGAGCGTGTTTTGAGGAAAAGTGCAATGGCGAGACCTTTGATCGTGATAACCAGCATTGCATCTGGTCTATAGAGTATTCGGCTTGAAAAAGTGTCCAGAGGCTAGGGTCATCAAGAGCCATGGCTCTCCAGTGGCGACAGATAAGTGCAACGACGCTCCATGCAGAAGAAGAAGAAGTTCTGGAACTTTCCTTGTAAGCATGAGATATCTGCAAAAGCGTCTCCGTCGGTAGAGGGGTACTGATGAATTCTGTTGCATCCGCGTGAATTTGTGGTGGTGAAACGGGACAATGAGGCTCACATATAACCTCATATGCGATGGCAGAGGACGCTATCGCTATCCTGCATATAACACGGGCTTAGTGATCGTCCTCATGGAAGTGTGCAACTGGCTAATGGTATGCATTTGCGTCTATCGACTCATCCCGCTGTTGTCAGAGACATCTTAAACCGTAAGTTGACCATGAAGGGACGGCAGGTATGAAGGCAACCCGCAGCATTTATGAGGACTAGACAGAGGCAGTCTGAGGTATTTATGTTGGACGGTTGTTCGTGAACGTGTTGGACTACTGCGAGATTACGCGGCAGGTGAGAGAAAATAAGGGAGAATAAAGGCGGAATTTACGGTTGTCCCGATCAATACTACTCAAGGTAGCGGGAATATAATCTTAGCGCCGACTGCTGCTGTATGGGTTAGTTGTGACATCCATTACGTTGCTTGCGTTTTGACAAAGCTTTGCTATTATCCCGCGATACTTCGATGTCGCTACAAGTCAACCTCAGTAGTCGTGACCTGGCACAGGCGTACCAGGATGTCCTTGACGCAAGAGGAATAGATTGGGCACTGTTCGCGTACGAGAAAGGCTCGAATGATCTCAAGGTGCAAGCGACCGGAAGCGGTGGACTGGAGGAATTGGAGGAAGAATTCTCGGATGGAAGGTGTGTTGTGTTATATATCTATCCTGCACACTTGTTGATATACATGATGTAGGATACAATACGCTTTCGTCCGCGTCACGGACCCAAATGTGAGTCACCATTACTCCCAAGTAGCGACAGATTTCAAGCTCACAAGTGTTGTCTATGAAGAGTTCACTTCCCAAGTTCGTTCAGATCAACTGGTGCGGCGATGGTGTGCCGGAGGCTAGGAAGGGTCTCTTCCACACGCACTCGTCTGCGGTCGCCAACTTCCTTCGTGGTACTCACGTCGTGATCAATGCGCGCAATGAGGTACAACCTTCCAGTGTCTATATCATATCCTTTAACTCATTACCAAATTCCAGTCCGATGTTGATCCTTCATTAATCATGTCAAGAGTTGAGGCAGCTTCTGGTGCCAGATATTCGGCACAGAAGGATGTGCCACGCAAGTTCGAGCCTATTGCACCAGTTGGGACGAATTACCAGCCTGTTGGGAAGGTTGACATCGCCGCTTTGCGACGTGAAGCGACGCCTTCTGCTCCCAAACCTTCCATTCCCAGTGCACCTAGACCACCCGCTGCTTCACCTGTGCCGGGTATAGGCAGGTTTGCAGGGAGATCGTCTACTCCAGCAGACGCATGGCCAGAGGAGGCACCTTCGGCCCCAGAGCCAGTAGCGGTACCTCCCCCGCCTCCTCCTGCAAGTAATCGACCAATCCCGCCGCCAGTTGTGGTATGTAACTCTTAACTATTACCCACAGTACGGCCTGACACAGGTTTATCAGGCCTCCGCAAGACCTGTACCAAGTGCTCCTGCGCCTGTCGCATCCTCCAATGTCCCTACGAAGCCCGATGAAGATGATCGCATCGGTCCGGTGGGTACAGCGTACACACCGATTAAGCTGCAACCCAAGAAACTGGTTAACCCCTTCGCGGCAAGGGAGGCTCAAGCTCAAGCGGAAGCTGATCAACCAAAGTTCCAACCCTCAAGTTTGTAGTTCCTAACGTCTATGAGGATGTTCGACTCACACCGCTCTTTTAGGTGGCAAGAAGTTGACTTGGAGCGAACGTCAAGCGCTCGCGAAGAAACAAGCGGAAGAAGAGGAAGCTCGAAGCAAGGTGGCATCCCTCCAGGCCACCACCATGTCTTCTACACCCGTTCGATCGTTCGGTGCTGGTGCTGTACCTCCTCCAGCGCCTCGTCCTCCCGTAGCCCAGGAGGAAGAGGAAGAGGAACAACAGGCTTGGTCTCCGGTGAGCATAATTTACCTCTCCCTTTTTGAATATGTTCTCAACCAGGAACATTATAGCCGCCTCCTCCACCTGCGCCTCCTCTGGCTTCACGCCCTCCAGTTCCTGCTACTGCGCCAGAGCCTGAGGCTGCACCTGCACCTCCTCCCCCTCCTCCCCCTCCACCGCCGCCACCTGCACCCCCTGCTCCTGCATTGGCAGACTCTGCAGCCCAATTTGCTCCACCGCCACCTCCTGTAAGTCCATGTACTCGCTTTCTTTCCGATTATCTAAGATCTGTCTTCCCCATAGCCTCCTCCCCCGCCCCCACCTCCAGCGCCTGTTGCGGCGCCTGTAGTTCGTGCTGTCGAGCCTGAACCAGAGCCCGAACCTGAGCCTGAGCCAGAAGTGCAATATGCAGCAGCGGCCGGACAGGGTGATAACATTCGCGCTATTGTGCAATTCGACTACGAGGTACTTGTTCTTTTGATTTCGAGTGTAGACAGACCTAACACATAATTCCATCCAGGCTCAAGAGGATAATGAGATGAACCTTCTAGAAGGAGAAATTGTCGAGCATATCGAGCAGATCGACGAAGGTTGGTGGTCAGGTGTTAGTCCTGATGGTTCCAAGGGTGGTCTCTTCCCTGGTACGTGCAAGGTTCGCTGATAGATCCACAATCAACGCTGATGGTAGTTGTGCTCGCTAGCCAATTACGTGCAGGTCATTGAAACTCCTGAAGAGGCAGCTGCCCCACCTCCTCCTTCCCCCCCGCCACCTCCTCCTGCTGTAAGATTTATCTCTTCGCGGATATTGAGTGCAAGAGACTAAATTGCTTTATGTCTAGCCCCCTGCACCTCCTGCGCCTGCCGCGGCTCCTGAGCCAGAACCGAGCAGTACATATACCGCAATCGCACAATACGAGTACATCCCTCGCTATTCGTATATTTTCACGACCTTGACTGATTGCTTGTCTTTGCAGCTATGAAGCCGCGGAAGATAATGAGATCTCCTTCCATGAGGGCGACCGTATCACCGACATCGAAGCTGCATCGGATGAATGGTGGCAGGGTAAGGACAAGACAGGTAAAGTTGGCTTGTTCCCAGGTATGTCTACCGTCTCGAACTCATCCGCTCTGTGATGTTGAAATCTCTCTTCTTAGCCGCCTACGTGGCTTTGGAAGAATGATTGTGAACGGACTTGCATAGATTACAAATGAATACCTATGGATACCTCTGTAAGGAATGATACAGTATAATTGACAATTCGTGTAACTGGAGTCAACTTCAAGTCCTTGAAGTCGGCCTCCCGGTGCAAGATATTATAATGCGTGCTCAGGCATGCACGGCGGCTGACTCATAGCATGGGCCAAACCTGGAATACGAGATGCAATATCTCCACAACGTGCAGAAGACGACGGAAAAGATCGGGTGGCAGGGTCTACTGACGCTCGCAAGCAAAGTGATATCCGTCGATACCATACGAAGAGATATGTGATGGTATGCGTGTTCATTTTACGTTGCCAACTGTGTTGTGTACATTCTCCTGCAGTGTCCTTCCAGCAAGTTGTCTCCGTATCGGAGCTTCTGTGGCAAAGATGCTCACAAATGTCTTCGTAACGGCTGTCCAAGAGACTTCAGTGAATGGAGAAGGTGCAATAATCAGCTGACTGACTCCCATGCATTCATTACAATGTGAACTGCAACTACTTTGCTCCGCCTCGAAGGTTCTCGGAAACCGGTGCTCGAGGAGGGCATGTGCTATGTTTTCGATCGTTGTCGATCATTTTGGTAAACGAATCCAATTCAGATCAATATGTCTTGTATTCAACTTGTGGGAATGCAATCGCTTCCACCTTTTGGAACAACCTGCCGAATGCAAACTGACTCATTATCCGGTTCGGTATACGCATTCTTGCACGCTCTCATCGTTGCATTGGCTATGGAGATCTGTGCGAGGCAATTAGGTATGTGTGCGACTCATATCTTGGTTATGATTTGTAATTCGTCAGCCTTGTCTCTGCAAATTGGCAGGGTGTGCTTGTCATAACCGAGAAAACAGCAATGCATATAAGGCTGGTCCTTCGATTCTACCTCGGGCATTCCCTCCCAGTCTGTCTTGTCTCCCGCCTCACGCTTTGTAGAGTGAACATGCCTTTCAGTCCTGTTGATACCAAGAGTACCCAACTCTACTGTGAAGATAGTGACGTCCCTGCTACTATGCCGACTAGTTACAAAACAATGGTTATCATCCATAGGTCTTTTCTCAATGGTGGTACGCATCGCAGCTCTTCCACGCACACTCTTGGGTTGAACCGCTGTCAATGTTTTCCTCGTCAGGCAGATTCAGCCCCATTGTATCTTTTGCCAACGAGAATCCCTACCGAATCATCCTAGTAAACCAATCAGATCATCATCATTCAGCTCCGTTCAACAAAGACGAGCTAGAGGACTTAAATAGCGGAGATAGGGATAGGTAGGATGGCTTCGTCCGAGATCGTGTTCGCGAGATGGGCAACTTTCTTATTTGGCTTACTGAGCAGGAAAACATTCTTGCCGTTAGCTCAAGAGACATCGGCGAACTTGCTCTTATAAGTTAGTCAGCCGGCAAATCTTACTCTCCCCTTCCTCGCACTCGTGGATGAAGTAATGGAGGATAATCAACAGAAGGACATTCTGCGTAGATATATCCGTTCGGTCCTGTTATTTGGTAACTTTCAATCTTTCTCTTGACGTCATTTTGATATTAAATGCAAGTATCAGATCCAGCCAATGTTGCCATGGGTATTCCTGCATCTCCTGCCGCCAGCGATACTCCATTGACATACGATACGTTTGCGTCGATTGTCAGCAGCTATTACGACTACGAGCCCTCTTTAATCGACTATCTTGAATCACCCACCATGGATAACTTTACCGAGGACGAGGAGGTGTATAACGCTCTTGCCTATACGCCTGCCAGTGCGAGGGGCCCAACTTCGACCTCAGACCGCATCCCAGCTGAGACTTTTTCGAAGATCACAGAGCCATCTGAAGTATTCGACCACTCGATGATCCCTATCGTGAATATCAGCCCGGGGCTTTATCACAGCGACTACGTGCGCGCTATTCAAGGTGGTGCATTTCCAAATGCCCGTGTAGCAAAACTATCGCTGTTGTCGTCTTTGAAGTATACAAGATTCAGAGAACCCTTTTAGAAAGTCAGATCGTGAAAGGGATGGAGAATCAGAGGCAGGTGTCGTTCCATGTTTGGAGGGACTTCAATCATTGCGTGCGTCTGCATCCTTATCTACAATCAAGTTGATGCTCATCCTCAAGCACCTAGGCCCACTGGGACGAACCAGAGAGATTTACTCGGTTACTCGCCGCTGTCATTTGATTATACTGACATCTTTGCGCGGCGTCCATATCCAATACCACTTACGGAAACTCGTTATATGGGGAGTCGTTGTGGTTCAATATATATCTATATGATGCACTCTGAGAGAATGAAAGTTTCGACCTGTCCTTCTTTCAGATCGTCAGACATCGTTACTAATTATGCGGTATGTACAGTAGAATGCGAAATTGGGTTTAGTACAATAGTGATCGTGGTGGAAAACAGGCCCTCCTAGCCTACTCAAGGCAAATCATGATGGGCCACATCATATTCGACCATTTTGGACGGCGATTGCAGGAGCTCTGTGCCTCTCACTGTATTTCAAGATGGCATCTGATCGCGTTGTGCGCATTTGTGGGCAATGAACCTTTACGCTTGCCTGATTCGCACCTTCTCGAACTTCTTATCTTATCATCAATTTCAAGCATCGAGGACAACATGAAACCAGACGTGTAATGCTGTGCTTTGTTCAGGCTGCAAGCTTCGTCCCTAACAGACAGATTTAGCATGAATGAAGCAGAACTTCTGTGCGGTTCGGATTTTAATGATAGGCTTCATTGCGGACAAATTCTCAAGTCTCATATAATCACCAGAATGGAGCCGTCGGCGGTACCCCTGGAGGACATGATTGAAGAGCAACTCAAAGCAATATATCAACATCACCGTATCCTCTCTCAACATCACCTTATCCTCTCTCAACTTCGCATTCGTCTCAACAGCCGAGCTCCTATCAACGCGCGACTGCCCACCGAGTTGCTCATACAGATCTTCAAAGCCTACGAAGAAATGTGTCGACCTAAACATAATCTTAGCCGCATGGAAAAGAGATGGGCCAGGCCTTATGGGTGGAGCGTAGTCTCGTTGATCTGCCATTATTGGCGAGATATCGCTTTAGCTACGCCTTCTCTTTGGACGTTCATCCAGGCAGGCGCCCCTCTGGAACAGATCGAAACATGGCTTTCACGCTCGAAGTCACTCCCACTGCAAGCTGTGGTCCATACTATTAATTTGGAGCATGACGGCGTTGCAGAAGGAACCACATTACTATTTCAACACTTCGCGCGCATGAAAATCCTAGACGTCGCGCTAGACGACATTGACTACGTTAAAACCACGTTTCCTCCGTCCACTATCCCTGCTACGGCGCTCCGATATGTGCGAATCCACAATCTCGCCACACGAATTGAAAAAGACGAAGTCATTCAATGCATACTAGGACGACAACTACCTTGCCTGACTGCTGTAGAACTTCTCGGGTCCCCGTGGAAATGGGTCACTCTCGAATTACCACAGACCCTCACAAGTCTCGTGATTGGCTTTACTGTTACCTCCCAGCATTGTAGCCCGGCCGAAGTTCTCGAAGTTCTGAGACGTCTACCTCTGCTGGTGACGTTAGAGCTCGAAGGGAAGTATATCGGAAATGCACGAGACGATCAACCCTTTATTCATGGGCTCAAACCAGACGTAGAGTTATTCAACCTCCAAACCCTTTTTATCACTGGCCCTATCTCGAGATGCCTTGCGTACCTCCAGCATATTCGTTTTCCCGTGCAGACACGTATCCACTTGGAAACTTCCATTATTCAAGAAAGACACTCACTACATTTGCCACTCCTGGACGTCCTCGCATCAAAGCTTAGCCATGGACAACCCTTACTAGAACTGTCACTGTCGTTAACGGCGCCGCAGTTGCACTGGGGGGTGTATGACTTTACACTTGAGCTCAGCGGATGGCCATCCATTCATCCACCATCGGAACTCTTCAACAACGAAACCCCGCGCGTGTTGGTCATTTTTAAGTCAACAAACGAATCAGAACTAGTGACAGAAACCCTCGAGGGTCTCGGTCGATCCATTTCCGCCGTAGAAACATTGCGCATCACCGAAGCTGGAGCCTATCCACTTGACTTAATGAAGTTAGGATCCATGCCCAACGTCCGCTATCTGAGCCTCTTTGGCCACGATGGTCTCGCTCAATTGCCGGATCTCCTAATAACAACCAGCCCGGATGGTCGGAATCCTATTTTCTCCAATCTTCGCGAGTTAGAAGTGTATCTGCAATGTACTAGGTGTTCGTCTCCCCCATCGTACGATTACTGGGCTAAGCTTGTGCATGGTCTAAAGCTCAGACGGGACTGGGGATTGGGCCTTGAGCGGCTTATTATAGGCAAAGACGCAGGTGTGTGCAAGCATGAGGTGGATGACGCGGCATCGTTCATCGATGAAGTCGTCCAACTCTCTTAATATTAGTATCCGTGCCAGTAGCATCATTGGTAGTATAGGATTCATTGACGACATTACATGAACATTCTATTGATACAACATCAAACGCACCGAGCACTAATGGTAATCCGTACATAAAATGCAAGAATAAACTACGAATGTTCGTGATAATGCGAGGAGACTTATCAGATGTGAGATAGATAGCGAGAGAGCGAAAAGCGAAATATTGGATGGATGATGTATGGACAGCGAGCCATATGACCTCATAATAATTATACACGTGAATGCACGACGCCCTGCGACCCAAATGAATAGCAAAAATAAACTAATGTTGAAAAGACAACAAACGAAAGGCAAGACGAGGAAGTAGGTAGGAGGACAGTGAATCAGCATTGGCTAATTCACATCCATCATCACAGTATCGGTGGACATGGATGATGCCATTGGGGGACCCAACCCCATGAGTTGGAGTTCTGAGGCAACTTCTTCACCGCCTTCCGTTTGAGCACGACAGTAGAGTTCTTCACGCTTGTTCTCGTCAATAGTGAGGTTAGCCAAAGTCAAGAGTGCCTCTGCGAGCTATGGAGACAAATTTATCAGATTATGAGAACGTATTCATGCATTGGAATGAGACCTACCAAAGGGGACACGTCTTCCGCATCCTCCTCCATTAGCGAAGCGGAACCTTTTGCCCGTTCGAAGAATGCTATAGCCATAGACAAAGCATCCCTAGCCTCCTCCGCATCTTCACTACTCAGAACATGCATCTCTCCACGTTCCAAAGCCTCTTCGAGCTCTTCAGCACGGGCAGAACCCATGACTAGCCAACACCGACCCCTGGCGCGAGTGACAGGACCTCGCCATATATCAATGTCAGCCTCCATCTTCATCTGGTTGAAGACAGAGTCTGCCCATTTGGCCCAATATTCTCGGTTGGAAGTCGACGATAAACGTTCGGCTACACCTAGCACTTCTGAACCGATCGTGAAGAGTTCTTTCGGACGTGAGAACGATGGGGGAAGAGCAGATGGAAGGCGTTGGTGGAAGTATGATGTTGAAGTCGAAGAACCGGATGAAGACGTTGACAGTTCGGGTAAAATAAGAGATGGTGGTGAAGTGTCAAACGGACTTGACGAAAATGCAGCGGCGTTCGTAGGATGAGGGACATAAGAATGGTGTGGATGAGGCATATGAAAAATACCCCTCGAAAATTGATCAGTCGCAAGTACAAGAATATCATGCGGTGTTGCAGAATACATCGACATTCGCCTAGTGACCGGTGGACGGTTCACGGCGATCGTATAGAAAGGCGAGTCCTTAGGCCAACTCGGTTCAGTAACCGTAAACGGACCAGGTGAGCTCAGATAGGCCCAAGCACTGGAAGCAGGCAGATCTGGAGCTAAGCCGGCGGAGGCAGCTCTAGCAGCCGCCTCTTCTTGGGCTCGCTTCATGCTCGATATTTTCTCTTCTGCCAAGCAAACGAGTGTTCTGCCCCAAGCGATGGCCATACGCCAATCTTCACTAGCTTCCGCACACCCTCTGCTGTCAAGAAGACAGGGTAGACTTTCCCCTGTCTCGAAGACGTCCAATGCAGCAAGCCAGTACGTCGCAGCTGAGGAAGGCTCCCCTGGGAGGGCAAGTGACGGATCTTGGGCTACGATGTTGCCCAGTAAGAACAAAGTAATGCCAAAGATGGCATGGAAAGCGGTTGGAAGATCTTCAGACCTACAAATGAATGTTTGTATTGACACCCTGTCAGTCCCGTAAGAAGGCCTCAGTGACACTCACCTCGACAACGGGCGCCTCTGTCGCAGTATATTAGACTTCAAGGCCGCCTCAAAGGTCTCATTTCCCCAGTCACGATGTAGTCGCTCCTCAGTAGGTGTAACCACCTGAACTGGTGAGTAACTCGATTGTCGCTTCTCTCCGGCCGCAAAGATTACGGAAGGGTCAGGGTGAATGGTCAGTATACGGTTGCATTCCCGCATGACCGCTCGAAGCAGAGGCAGTGCTTCTGATAACTGGTCGGCTATATGCGTATAGTAAGGGGTAAGTGAATAGTTATCTCGTAGTATGATTGTGCAGACGCACCTTCGTACAGGTCAGAGGCCTTGTGGTGCAATTCTTTCAAATTTTCCCAATCCTCCAAATCTGTGGTGGAAGGCTGGGGCTTGCCTGTTTGGGAACTCATGGTCAAAGCCGGGGTTGCCCTAGGGCTGTCTGTCGACGTCGTGTTGCTGCTCAGATGGAAAGACTGCCAAGGATTCGAAGCATGATTGATATCAGGAGACAAGGCCCTAGAGACGCTCCCCGAGTGACAAGAAAAATCACTGAAAGCACCAGATATTCTCCTCCGCTTCGAACCTGACGATGTTGAGCTCCGTGTATCGTCCAGGTCGTCGTCGTAGGACCAGTCAGCGTCGTATCGATGGTCTTCTTCACAGTCAATGTCCCGATCGTGGGTAATTGTAGCCATTTTAGTGTCGGCAAACGTCCGCCGGCCCTTCCAAAGTCCCCGCGGCCGCTTATGTGCCGAGGAAGGCGACGGAGAAAGACGCGGTGGGGTGGGCATCACGACGAGCATGTCCTCGAGCAAGGCGGGGGACGTGGGCGGAAGGACGTCGGGGAGCGCAGCAAGAGTCTCGAAGGCGAATTGGGCCATTTGGCTTTATTTCCCTGCAGCCAGTCAGCTCGTAACTCTTGACCTCGGCTGCTATCAAGCCGACCACGATCCATCCGAATCCAGACCACTCAAGCATGATAGTCAGGACCAGTCGAGGCTTCCTCTCCCCTCAGCTCCCGTTTCGCGTCAATCCTCCTTCTGGCCTCTTCGCTACTTCACAGCCAATCGGAAGTAGCCACTGCTGTCAACCAATTGCTGCCGTCGATGGTCACCTGCTTCCGCCCTGTCCCGACGGTATGTTATCATCCTATGTCATCTCCACCAGAACAATGTCTGAACTACAACTATGTTGTCTTTTGATAAGACTTGGAGGATCTCCCCACCAGACAAATGGTCATAAACATGCCGCTCATTTTTGAGAAGTTTGGAATAAGCGACCGAGGCTAGACTGGCCGCTGACTGGTCCCTACAATACCGGCCAATCACAGGCCCAATTCGAAACGGAGATTTGATCGAAATCTCTCGCCGCGCGCCGCATTACCATAAGCAGCTATGACTTCCAAATTCTACTTGCCGCCTCCTTCAAGTTGACTCTTCAACCCGACCGCGTCAGTGTGGGGCACCCAACCACCATCGATCGGGGTCTCTTTGCGCTTTCATTCTAAGTTTGAATTGAAAGACTCTCATCGATTTGAGCGGCGACCGTTTCCAGCCCGGTGAACTCTCAGCTAGCCACCAAATCTGCCTCACGCGGTTGTCAGAGGGTTTCCCTGCCACGCTGCCACTCCCACACGACTCGAGATATGGACCCTTGTTATGTCGGATATATACGTTATTTGCCGATCGGCTTGCTGTGAATAGGATGCCACAAGGGTGCCACTGTCCAAAGAATCATGATGGTACCGTCTTGACTGCGACGCGTCTGTTTTTGGAATGGGATCCACGAAAACCCCAGCCAAGTTATTCCTTCCTGAGAATTAAAGTGAGTAAAAGAAATGCTCTCTTGATAGGAGGCTCCCATTCAACACAAAAATTAGTCCCATTTCATTCAGGTCCATTTTTGAGCTCATGTCTAGGTCTCTGGACTTCGATCGAATCCTCGCCGTACTTCGCTTCACGCACATATTCACTTTTTCTTCCCGTGATTCTATTGGCTGCGCTCTGGCCTGGCTTTCGTCCGTTCTCACTGGAACGTCAATGCCTGTCACTCAAACTTTAAAGGTCAAGCTAGAGCCACCCAAAGATCACACCCTCGATTTGGTCGCTCATCAGCTGTTCCTGGAAGCATTCTCGACAATCATAAGATGCTCCACCATCATACCATTATCTGGCCGCCTTGGTTTATTACGTTTCTTAGGCGTCTCCGGTGAATAATGAAAGTACCAGTCAACCACGTTCAGAATCAGATGCCACTGGTATTTGTTGATTCAGCATTGCTTTATCCCATAGCGCATTGCATTCTGAAAACACATCGATGGTCTGGGTCCGAAAGAGCTTGTTTACGTCTCAGAAGATGCTGACGTCTACCAATGGAGGCTGTAGTGTCGTCACAGGTACGAGTGATAAGGGAACTCTGGGTGAGAGTGAGTTGTTTGTATTCATATGTTTGTCTTTACGTCAGGTGTTGACTTTCACCAATATTCAAGTCTCCATTGCACTCTTGAAGCATGACGCTTGGTCCGCTTGGTGCAAGCATGCAGAGTTCTTGGTATTGTTCAACAATCGTGTACTGGCGTATACTATATTTAGTGACGTCGATCACGATCCGGGTTGCCGCGTCGATCAATCGGTCTTGTTGTCCAGGTTCCTAATTGTGTTCCTCCATTGACTTGGTAGTCGTTATCTGCCCTTTGCTGTACCATCCTCTGCTATAACTTGATGAACGCCGTGCATATGTAAGGTACGAACTTTGACGACCCGACGGCGGACTCCTAGGTTGCTTTTCTTCTCATCTGCTTCAATAGTCCCTGCCTAACCTCTGTTTCATAGCAGATTGGCTTGAGTCATAGACCTGAGACATTTCGTTAATGCCTTGTGAAGCTGAAGTGGTATGTGACGGATTCCACTGTGTCTGAACCCCTTTCAGCTAAATCACTCGATTCTCTACTAGTTAAACATGCCAGACTTGCCCATTTCATTCTTTCAGGAACGTGAGCCAGTCGAAAGGGGTATATTAGAAACAGAGGAGAGGATTCTCACATACGCTCAAGAGCTGCTTGACCTCAAGTTTCGACTCAACCAAATCCTACCCATCTCTCGTCTACCGCCGGAGATTCTGGCCCATATCTTCGAACACCTCGTTTGGATCGTGTACCGCAATTATAGACAGTCGCAGAAGGATCCCAGGCGTTATGGCGACGTCTCCCCATATTCGTGGTTGCGAGTTACGCATGTCTGCCGTCACTGGAGAGACGTCGCGAGGCATTCGCCACCGCTCTGGACTCAGGTTATTCTAATGAACGCACCTTGTGTCCAAGAGCTGCTCACCAATTCTAAAGGACTCCCCATCTCGGTCGAACATGGCCGGGATTCTGAATCTCTTACAGCTCAGGAGTCACTCAGTGTAGTCCTTGAGAATATGCCGAGAGTCAAGCAGCTGAAATTGACGTTCTCAAGACGACCATACCGAGCACTCTCCCTGCTTCCATCATTGCACGCACCCATCCTTCGCAACTTGACTATCATCACTAGCATAACGGGGGATGCCCTTCCACCTGTCTTCCAGCAGTCAGGTTTAGCCAACCTACCTCATCTAGAATCGCTTGAGTGCTCCGGATATCCTTTCCTCTCCGCACGAATGTTGTTTCGTTCGACGTTGCGGCGGTTGAGTCTGTTACCCTGTCGGGCTCCGCCTTCCCCTGCTCAATTATTAGAAAGTTTGAGTGGCCTACCGCTCCTCGAAAGTTTGAACCTCGACCTTCTCTTCCCCATGCCTGCCTTCGGATCAACTCAGAGCTACGCGGAGTGGTTTAATAGCGGTTCCCAGTCACAACAAACTGTCGCTCTTCCTCATCTCAAGAATCTCGTATTATCCGAGGCAAGCTCGGGAATGGCTTCAGTGAAGCTGTTGGACCAGCTTCGTGTCCCACCATGGACGAACATCAGTTTGGAATTCGAGAAGATGTGTGCACACGAGGATGAACTTCGTCAAATTATCCCGCCGCTTGGTGCAAAAGTTGCTTCGGTATATCCTGGCCATGGCTTTAAGACGATGGCATTGTATACCGTCTGGTCACCTGCGTCCAGTATACAACCACGAAGGATCAAATATGCCGTCGACCTATGGGATGATTTGGTCCCTGTTCAGAGTCTTCACAATCGGGACGGTCCTCCGCCGAACTTTACTTTGAGGATACCCAAAAGGTACCAACACACTATCCTTGAGCTATTCTGCTCTCCATTGCATCTCTCCTTCCTGCAGACATTATACGTGGAGAAGGTCGCTCTTATGTCTCCCCTATGGGCGAGGGTGCTGGCACAAATGGCACAGGTCACGACATTGGCTTGTCAGGGGAACTTCCTCGGATCTTTGGGAACAGTACTCTCGTCGCCCCCAGTGGAACGTGGACGTTCCTCGTGCGATTGTGACCTGCTGCCGAGACTGAAGGACCTCCATTTCTTAGATATATGCTTCCATGAACCTTACGATGGCGATTCCAAGATTACTCTGTTCCGGCGCATACTGGACTCCTTGGAAGTTCGCAGAGATAGAGGCCTTCCTATCGCCAAGGTGGTGATTAAACAGGCATATGATCTTACGGCTGACGATGTGGAGTCGTTGGGGGTGTTTGTGGGAGAAATGGACTGGGATGGGGCAGAATTCGACTGAAGGATGGTCGGTTGAGGCAACTTAACGTGGCTTCCTTCTGAATGAAATGCTATTTTACTTTGAGCTGTAGCCATATGATAAAATGTAACGATTACAATAAGAAACGGAATGTAGGGATACTTAAGAACATTATCGCTACAATGGAAGCAAGAATCGGACATGATAGAAGGTATCAATACTCTGCAAGGTAACCGGGGTAGGGATCGTCGTCATAGTCGTATTCCCCATCTTCGTCGCTCAAAAAGGGGTACAACTCGATATCATCGAGATCGTCTAGGAAATGATTTGCGTATCGACGATATGGGTTTCGAGGTTGTTCCCATCGTGTAACCTCATCCCAGACCACAGATGGCACAATACCCCGCAAATCATCGACATCACGGGCATCCATGTTGAGACATCGGCGAAGGGAGAGTTCTCTGACAGACTCCCTCCAGCGCAAAGTGTCCTTTAGATCTGTTAAGAACTCGTCGTCGCGATCTTCCGCGTCCCGGAATCGCACTTCTTCCAACGTCAAAGATCGAAGTTTCCTCATGAGCAGTTGTGGACAATCATATTTCTCATTGTCCCTTGGTCTGTCCGAAGTGAACCGGGTATAGAGTAGTCGCGGCAACCCTACTGCTCCCTGATTCGAGATTCGGAGCGAAGTTACCTGTGTCAACTGCTTAAACAAGTCGAACCAGATCTGCTCGGTGGCCCCGGACGGCTCCTGTCCAGGAGAGCATCCAAGCCATAATGCCTCGATGTTTGCTAGGGGTAGGGCGCTGCACAACCTCCATGTACTTTGACACAAATTGGCACTCCATGGTAAGGCAATTTGAAGGTGTGGGAGCGTCCTATCAGAGGGATTGACCACCGGATCAACACTTGTCCAAAAGTTGAGTACGCAGCCTGAAGCACAATGTTCGAGGTGGGTAAGAATAGCGAATGCCCGAATCTCCCCTGGATGCCCCAGTCGCCCCTCTGCAGTCAGTTTGTGGGAGATCGGATCTACTATCAGAGGAAATATGTCTGCTAGGGCAGAAGAGGCGAAATCAAGCGCTATCCTCGAGTCAGCTGGGAGGGATAGGTGATCGAGGAGGTACGCGTAAGCAGCGCCGGGACTGGTCAGCGAACTGCACAGACGGACCGTTTTGAGGCGGGGAAGGATAACGTTCTGTGACGGAGGCGGCAACGCAGAGAACGTTCCATTCAAGCCTCGAATTACGCCCACAAGCTCAAGATATTCAAGAAGCGGCATGCTGGCCAGGGCGCGAGCTGTCTCCGTGACGTCGGTTGCCATTGCGTCAGGGATGCCAGCCTCCACCGCCTTGATCACCAACCGAGTGAGCGTCGGAGCGAAAAGGGGATGAGACCAGCATCGTATTCGATAGGCAGCGAGCTCTACCTCTCGTATGGACGGAAAATGGCAATTCTTGAGGGATGGGAGGAATTCTTCATCCAACGACGACATGTTGAAAAAGAGCACCTTCTTCAGGCGAGGTGCAGACAAGGGCGGAACCTCAAACAGTTGCTTATAGAGATCTGAAGGAAGAGAGGAATCAAGTGATTCGATCCGCTCTAGGTGCGAGAAGACATGCTTCAGGGCGGACACATTCCCGGGATTGTAAGCTACCGCACGGACTGTCAGGGAAGCATTCTTGGAACGGGATATCAATTCGCCCGCACGCCCTGAGTCCAGACCCGACACAGAAATGCGCGTCCACAGACGGGGAGAGTGTAGAGCAACCTCACGCCAATAATGGCAGACGTGAGTGACCTTGATCCATGCATCTTGACAGGTCAGGTAGTGGTTAGGCGAGTGGCAGATTGAAACCATGTGAAACCAGAATATTTCCGATAATAGTTCAGGCGGAAGACGAGAGATAGGGGTGAGTTGATTGAGGTGAACTTTCATGTCAATGATAGTTCGATTGTGCTTCGCAATACCATCTTCTAGCTCCCTTCTAGCCTTCGCAACAACATCTGGGTATTCATTCGAGAAAACGATGCTTCTCTATGTTAATATCTCAGTTCGGATTTAGCAGCAACACAACATACCTCGTAGTCATTTCAAAGATCGCTCGAAAGGTGCTTGATGGCACCGGCACATAGAAAGACCACAAGCAGGAAATGAGGATTGATGAAGGAAAAAGTAACGACACAACGTTCAGCTCCGAAGTAAGTAGGAAGAGTAATACTAGATGATAGAACAAGAGCGTCTGTCCAACGTCCTATTTACAGGTTGTGTCGACCTTACATAATCAATACACCCTTTTCCTTGAACGTCCACATTGTCGAAGACGTGGCGGACGGCGACGAGGACAGTTGCAGCTTTCACTTGTTTCCGCTTATCATTCATTTGAAGACATTGTCAAGCCTATGACGACCTGAAGTACCGATTATGGGCGACTTAACTATCCTCTATGGAGGCTTGTCACTCCTTGCAGCCGCTTTGATATCCGTAAGTAATGGGTCTACCTTGTGCCTTGCTGAAGGGCCCGTGATGAAAACCAGTTCATCCTTGTTCTAAGAGCCGCGGGCCACCTATGTGGTGTGCGCCGCGGCGAAGACGAAGCTTTCTGGTCAGGTCGACTCGGTCGACCGGCACTGATGGCCCTATTTCTCAAATCTCGTTCTCGTATGCATGACTGAATTCACACAGTTCTATACAGTGCTGGTCTTCTGGTCGCCTGAATCAATAGTTCCTTCGGAATCTGAGAAGAAGTATCTTTCGAAACAGTCACCTTCGAAACCGCTGCCTCTTGGTTCCATTCGGAGCGATGTTGCCGAAGTGGACTTGACAGTCGTTATACCTGCATATAACGAAACATCACGACTTCCTGATATGTTCACTTCGACCATGAATCATCTCTCCAGTATACCCAAACGTACATACGAGATTCTCATCGTGGACGATGGCTCGACGGACGATACCTCGGAGATTGCTCTCAAATTAGCAACCCAATACCCAGACTGTGATATTCGTGTCGTTACGTTGAAGAAGAACCTGGGGAAAGGAGGTGCGGTGCGACACGGAATGTTGCACGGTAGAGGTCGAAGATTGCTTTTCGCGGACGCGGACGGGGCAAGCCGATTCGAGGATTTAGAGTTGTTGTGGGCTGCCATGGATAAGATTGCTCGGGATGATCGGGCTGCTATCGCTATTGGAAGTCGCGCGCATCTTGTCAAAACGGAAGCGGTGGTCAAAGTGAGAACTCTTGCGATTTTGATAGTAATTATCTGACCTGTTATCGCATTTAGCGTTCGTTCCTCCGGAACGTACTTATGTACGGTCTCCATACCATTCTTCGCATCGTCGGTGTCGGGCACATTCGAGATACTCAATGCGGCTTCAAGCTCTTCACCCGCCGAGCTGTGCAACAAATCTTCCCCTACCAACATCTTCCTACGTGGATTTTCGACGTCGAGCTCCTTTTGCTTGCGAAACAGTTATCAATACCCGTAGAGGAAGTTTCGATCGAGTGGCATGAGGTCTCTGGGAGTAAACTCAATGTCGTCACGGACTCGCTGCAGATGCTGAGGGATCTGCTTATTCTGAGGGTGAACCTCCTCCTGGGAAGGTGGAAAGTTGCCCCTTCGCCGCCTGCATGTCAATAGAATTGCTGGAATCGATTCCTGTCCTGCTTGCGTTCCTGTAGGCTTTAGCCTCTATGGGGTGCTGGAAACTGAGATTAAAGAATTGCCGTATTGCCAAATATCCATGAGTACTTGTGTGTCTTTCCTTCCCGGCAACGATACCCGACTTCGCGCCAAGAAGCAGCGAAGCTTCTAACGATCGACGTTGGGCTTCGAGCGACGAGCGTCTCTTTTCAGTAGAAGACATGCTTGTGAGCTGTGCATCCATAATTATGCATAAAGAGGCCTCGATACACTCTAGGGAGTTGCCGGAGGTACTTTAGGATGGACACCGAATGAAATGAAAACGCAAACGAAATTGCTGTTGGCTCACTCTGAAACAGGAAAGCGTAGTGATCACCAGCATGGCATAGGGGTGCCAAGCGATCAATAAGGTACACACGGCACGGCTGCTTTGAAACGTGTTCAGAGGACTATAAAATATTAGATGGTCGGTCATCAGTGCGCCTTTCGATACCTCTTGAATTTGCTCTTCACCCCGAGACGGTGGTGTGCTACTGTTGTAGGTCCAACCAAGCACGTCTATGATTTGCTTTTTCTCAACTATTTGTTTGAAGAGAATAGGATGACTTCGACTGTGGATGATATACCTCTGGGAATCAATCGTCTACCTCCTGAGCTCTTGGCTCAAATTTTCGAACAATATGTTGGGTTGTTCCTCGCCAATAGGGAGGATATGTACTCCGACTGCCAGAAGGAGTACTTCTCAAGTATTGGTCAACGCCTGGAATCATGCTCTTCACCATATCAGTGGTTTCGTATCATGCGGGTGTGTCGTTACTGGCGTGATGTGGCCATCTCAACGAGTAGCTTGTGGTCCTGCGTATTTCTAACCAACGCAGAGTGCGCCGAGAAAGTAGTTGAGCATTCGTTGGCTCGCAACGGAATGGCTATCTCTATACGGGCAAAGCTAAAACGTGATGTCATTGGTTGACGAGCAATTTTCCACTCTTTGGTCCCCCAAATCACAAATCTTACCGGCCTGAGCCTCGTCGTCGACAAGGACAGCTTGGATGACATTGCACCTTCCCTCGAAATCATGGACACCTCCAATCTGCGGAGCATTTCATTCGCCTACGACTTCCGTGGTGCCGTCCTTGGCACACTACCAGGATTTCAGAACCACGAGTTTCCGTGTCTTCAACATCTTTCCGCTTCAGCATTTACGTTCCGCGCTTTAAGGCCACTCCTCCTTCCCTCTCTACGGACCCTGTCTGTGTCATTTGTTTCGGATACGTACAGATTTGATCTACCGTCACTTCTCTCCGTGTTGGAAGGCATGCCTCTCCTGGAGAGTTTCACACTCGTTAGTTCAGTCCAGAACGTGTCAAGTACGGCAGTTGATCGCTTGGAGACTATCGACAGACATATATCTCTTCCCCACCTCAAGCATGTCCGCATTTCAGATTACGGAATCACGGTTGCAGCATTCCTCCAGCACCTCTCATTTGCGTCCTCTGCCTCGATTTTTCTTTGTTTGACGGCGATCTACAATGTCAAGGAGTTGTACCTCATTCTGCATTCTGTCGCACGGTATATGAATGACGTGTAGTTGAAAGGATGGAATAGCACGTTCAAGGCTATTTCTTTCGAGCCATACGGGCCGAACTATCTACGATTTGAAGGATGGACCCGGCACTTCAGTCAGGAGATGCCTGTTTCGGATCCTGATTCAACTATCCTCATCGACTCTGCCTGCCAGGGTGTCTGACGTTATACAGGAATGGTGTTGTGCTTTACGTCCAGCACTGAGTGACGTTCGCTCAGTACACTTGGGAGAGTTCCCAAATTGCCCTCCCCTCAAAGCGCTATCGTGGCTTAAATGAAGTCACGCCAGATCTTATAGGTGGCAGAGTCATACACCTCCTTTCCCTAATAGTACCAGACTTCAATATCATCCACTGTTCGGCTCATTCGTGCAACTTAACCAAATTTCCTGGGACTTTCCAGTAGTTCTCAGAGATATTTTGGTCAAGCTCCACATCAACGGAGTCGAGGGTGGCTAGTACGCTCATAAACACGCTAAGCATGTATCGAGTCTGTGGTAACAGTAGCAGGTCCGACGCCCAGTGGAGGTCTTGCGCAGGACCTTCGTACGGCATTTACGTGCTCAAGGCTTAGGAGGGAGAAGAGATCGAATTCAGACGATCCTATCCGTGGTAATGGGCGATTGTAATGACTGGCCGTCGCTGACCGATCGATACGCCTATGTGACATAAAAGTACAATTGTCGGATTTGCGCTGAGCAATGAACTAATGACGCACGGAAAACGGCGACGTCTGCGATATAGACGGCGACACTAATCTACACAGATTGTACGCAGTCATTATGCCCTACAAACTACCCAATGCAAGATCTGTTGTACAACAAGGAAAAACGAAAAACATATATGCTAGGGGGTATTTTTATCTGCAGTACAAATAAGCTGAACTCTACAACCTCATCGACCGTGAAGAGGATAAAGCAGGAGAAAAAAAGACAAAAGTGGTTGCCTACGGGCCAGGTAGGACAAGAATTCCAGTGGAGGTTACAAACGGGGACAAGTATAACCGAAAATGTATAGCTTAGGCGGGTAGTTAGGAACCCAAAGTAATGGCTAGAGTCCATTATACCCGCGTTACGCAGAACAGGTAATGGTACGCTCTGCACGATGATTGAGGTACGGCGCGACACTGGCAGAAGACGGTGCCCTCCACATTATGTTCCACAAAGCAATTTGACGTACTACGTGGGATTTATCTGGGCTCCATATGTCTATGGAACTCAGGACTGACGCCGGACTGGCAGTTTGCCCCGAGAGGGACGGAGTCCACAATGGAGCATGTTGGTCCACAGTAGGTAGTGGACTGTCAAAGTTACGGCTAAGATCGTTTCTAGATGACAAAAGAAGGTTGCCTGATACAGATGATTGAGAAACAGTGCCGTTATCCATGTTCTCGTCATGGGATAAAGTCTCGGGAAGGTATTCTGGTATCCATAATGTTCCGACTGAAAGACCGAAGAGCTCAAAGAAGTCCAGAATGGGTTGAAACAGAAACTTACGTTTACGGTCATCTACATAGAGCCTTGGTGCGAGATTCTTGTAGAACGATGGGAAGTCTTCGGGCCACGCATGTCCCTACAACAATGTTAACCAGTTACACAAAAACTTGATGAATACGAACCGAAACCAGCCTGTATACGTCGGCATCACTTGCGATGGCATAGTCTGCATCAGAGTTCTGGGGGACGCAATGAGATTAATGAGCTTTTTGTGAAATAAGGAAGAAGCTTCCACTACCTCAAGTATATACGTCAACAAGTCATCCAAAGGACGAAAGGTCTGAAATCGTTGTCAACGTCACGCGATAAATTATACTTTGGAATACATACAGCAGCTGACGACCGGCGTCTTGGTTGAGATGATTGTGTGCTGAGTCCAGAGCCGCTAGCGTCGTTGTCGGTATTACCTCTTGGATCCTGGGGCTCTCCTTCAGCAACGACCCTCTTTGGAATTATCAACATTCGTGGCTTCATCTTGTAGTACGACAAGAAAAGACAGTCACGCCTCGGTTCACGAGTCGAGAAATTAGACGTATCGGCACCCACTACTTCTACCTGTGAATCTGATGGGTCATTGGAAACCGCAGCTTGATACACTAATTCTTGCACTGGGCCGTCCTGGTGATTGCGTGAACTGCTTGCAGACTGTTGAGCTGGGTCGAGAAGGCGGGCTAAACAAGCGCGCTCTTCGTCGAATCGACCCCACAACATCTCTGGGGGACCAGACCGATATTGCACGACGTAGCTTGATGGAGCGGGAAGGATCTTCAATGCAATATTAATCGGTTCGCCATCATCTCCAAGAGGATCTATCTCCCGCCCGGCAAGCTGGCGACGGAGATGTACCCCTACTGTCCAAGCCTCCGTCTTGACCCAGCCCCGAACTAAGAGCAACTCATCGTCATCAAGTATCAGCCTTCGCTGTCCACGTGAGTATTCCAGCCAATCCTTATGGTTTTCAAAAAGGCAATTTTTGAAATCGAGTTCGTTGGTTGTGTGCCGTCTAACAACGGTACCCTTCGCAATAAAGAAGGCAGACTGGGAACGCTTGGACGAGATCTGCAGCTCTATGGGCCTAGCATGTCTTGTTAAGGAGGAATATATATATTAGATGTGATACTTACTCTGACTCGTCTTCATCAATACGAGGTTTAAGTTTGATTCCAGACCCGTTGTGTAGACCCGGCCTGAAATAATCGGCATCATAGCTATCCTCCTGCGACTTGAGGTAAAGTGACGGTAAGTTGTCTGGTGCTCCACGGCGATTAATCTTGTCATCAGTGGCAACGGTTGGATTGAAAATGCGATAAAAGCCGCCAGTCATGAAGTATCCCACATCGCCAATCCTAACTCCAGTCCGTACGGAGTTTGGTTGCCAGAGAGGATGGCCATGGCCTAATCCCCATAATTCTTCAGCATATATGTCACTGGCAAGGCCCATTGCTGGAGCATCCAACACTATTGGGCTTGTTGGTCTCGTCACAGGAGAAAGATGCAAAGCTGCGAACCAAATTGTATCGATCACTTTGATGTGTACCAGGCTCAGGCTGTGCGGGTATTGCCACTTTGGGTATTGCCGGCTCACCAGCATGAACTTGTGTACAAATGTTTCCCCTTGACACTGAAAGTTACTAGTACCTCGCACAGGAGCACTTTTGCTATGTTCATTGAAACCTCTACGATAGCATGGTCGCTGGTTCAACATTCCCTACTCTACTGATATTGTGCTGCACGCTAGGGATGCGAATGCTGTACGGATAAGGTAGTTATTGTACGTACGGCTAGATGCTGATACTCTGGTCACTACTAGTGTTCTGATTGACACCGATCTGAATAGTAATTCTTTTTTGTGTAGGGCGACTGCTTAAGATTGGCGAATTCTGAGCACGAGTTCTCTCACGCCTGGTAGAATTTCCCGCTCGGACATTGTACCATACCATCGGCGGACTGTGGCGCAAGTCCCCTTCTCTCAAGCTGATCTCATATATTGTGTATCTTCGCATCCTTTCTAACAAGGCGAGGTAGGCATGAAGAAGTCGAGGAGATTTCCAGTTCCCAAGACTGTGGCTCGCCTGTCATGTATCGGGACGAATAGTCAAACGTCGTCAACTACGCCACAACCTCCAGTAAGTGCTTTCTCAAAGCTTAGAGCCGGCTGTTTATCTCTATATGCTTCGACTCAGGTGGCTTCTGTGGCATCGACACGACGCGAGATAACACAGCCTACAAGTCCAGATGCGCCACGCCAGCTGGTTCAGGACTCAGACGGAGATAGGTCTTTACCTCTGTCTAAGTTGAAGAAACTCAACGAATCGCTTGATAACGGGCCTAGTGTTTCTTTCAACGTCAAACCTGAAGCTTCAAAGGTATCGCTACTTTCATTCTCTTACCAGCCTGAACGTTGTTGAAACGCACTGAAAGGAGACCGCCGCTGCTTTGAAGTTGAAGGTTGGTCGTTATTATCCTTGTTCATATTTCAAAGCCTTATCCTATTACTTTTTCAGACTGTACTGTCCTCAACTGCCGGTAACACCGAACCTATTCCGGAATCAGATGCTTGGATTGAACTGGACAAGAGATACAAGCAAAATGATCAGATAATGGTCAAGAAATGGAATGACGAAATAGAGACGTTGCTTATTTTTGTCCGTGTTTTTCTTGTTCACGGTGTTGAATCCCCCTAACGTTGCAATTTAACCGACTGATGATTAGGCCGGTTTGTTCTCTGCGGTAGTGGCATCTTTCAACATCGAGGCGTACAAGATGTTGTTACCGGATTCCAACGAGATGACAAACCTTTTGTTACAACAAATATCCTCGCAGCTCGCCAGTTTCACTGTCAATTCTGGTTTTCTGAATTCGACGCACATTCCTGTGGTCCCTCAGATCAACTTCGAACCATCCTCGGTTGCTGTCAGGGTCAACACTTACTGGTTCTGCAGCCTCGTCTGCAGTTTGATTGTTGCATCTTTGGGAATGCTTGTGAAGCAATGGCTTCGTCAATATACGGACGGTCATCAGACATCCCCTAAAGAGCGAACATGCGTAAGAGAGCTTCGCTTCCGTGCACTGACACGCTGGGGCGTTTTCGGCTTAATGGCGTCGCTTCCAACAATATTACAACTCGCCCTTATCCTCTTCTTCCTAGGACTGATGGAATACCTAAACTCCCTGCACCCTACGCCCTTCTATGTCGTCTCTACACTTGTTGGGTTGTGGTTGTTAGCTCACCTAGTCACCACCGTCCTCCCCACCATTCGCCCTACGTGTCCGTACAAATCCCCCCAGGCATTACTTCTCTATGCATCATGGTCCAAGCTCATCCGCAGAAAGCCACTCTCATCACCTTCGTTGCCTTTCTTCTCATGGGGGCTTAGTGATCAGGAGATGGAGCTTGACAGCACACTGGAGAAGGAAACTCTGGTTACAGCAGATGCTACGTTCCCTGACAACCACTTCCTGGAGAAAACCATTGGACGATGCCTCCGAGATTTATCGCCATCTAATGGTATAGATTGTATCCGTCAGATTCTCTTGCAGCGTGTTCAAGCGCGGAAGGACCATGGCACATTCGAGAACACCGAAGTCCGAATATGGAATATCTCTGCGAAGAGCTTGACTTCCGTGCTGAAGCTGTTGATCGACACGTTGGATCAGAAGGTCGGTTCGAACATAGTCTACAGCCGTGTACCGGAATGGATTCTGGATACGTTGCGATTCTTCAATCGTGCTGCAAGAAGGCTCCCTCATATTCTGGATGGTGCTCTGGGCGGACAGTTAACTCAGGTGTTGTTGAAGCTGGTCTCTCATTCTCAGCCTTTGATATCTATGAGCGCTCTCTTGGTTCTTGAAACGAAACCTGACCTGTGTAAGATGGACTGTATATCACCTGACTGGCCTGTATCCAGTAAGTGGACAGGCCTTCTCTGAATATTCACCTTTTGACGTGGTATAGTCTTTTGCCAGGTATTGGACAATATCGACGAATTCGCACGGGATCCGGGGGAAACTCGTCCTCCTACAATTCCAATGGAACCCCTCGCATTATGTGCTGCGACACTTGGTTTAGCCACTCACGTGCGGATTTCTGACCCATCTGAGGCTGACACGCTAAAGAAAACCTTGACGAAAACGTTACACTCCATGGCCATCAGTCATGCGGCAGAGAAGCAGAAGGTAGCTTATCAGGAGCATGTGTTGCTGTGTGCGGAATATTACAACAAGCTGGAGACATCTTTGCCCAGTTTTGACGTTGAGCTCCAGGATTTGAAGCTAGTTCTGGACATCAAACGAGGGATGGCAAAACTTAAATTATAAATGGTAAGCGCCGCCCTTTGCGTCTCTTCCGACGGATGAGCACCATTTGGCCAAACACCGATTGTATTATAGTGGTATATATTCCCTGTGAAGTGTCCTGACATTTGGAATGAAGAGTTGTGCAGATGGCGCTACACGTAGTATCACCGGCGACGCACATCGTCTATAAATCCTATGAAATCGAAATTCCTTGCCTGTCTACAATTGTTCGGTTGTGGTGTAATCTTATTGTCGAGCTTTCAAGTTTTAGCTAGCAGTTTTCCTGTTTTGCCTAAAGTATTATATCTACATGGCATATCTCGCTGCTTGCTTGATGGGGTCGACGGCGCGAAAGTACTGGAATACGCAGCCAAATGGATACTACTAGTCTCAGATCGGATCTACATGGAATACTGCTCCTGGCAGATTTCCGTTTGTCCTACCAAGTTCCAAACTGCAGTTACAGTAGTCTACTGTCATCGTGAATGAAGTCATGCAGATGAAGAAACCGAAAGATGACTAGGCTACGGCCGAGAAGTCAATTCAAGCATCGGCGATGACTGTGCCCAGAATGCTAAGTACCTATTAGGGGATTAGGGAAGGCCGTGTAGGATTCGTCGGTTGTGTAGCATTGCGCGACGACGTTGAAACCTTCCACATTCCCGATTATGAATGCAGCAGTTCAAGTAGCAAATTGCATCGACCACTTTGAACATATCCTATTGGGCAGGTATTCTGATTCTCTCTCCATTTGAAGTGCTCGCCATAATGGTCGCCTATTGTAATATGTATTATTCCGTGAGCCAGTGAATCCGAGTTTCGGTCCGTCATCCGTCACTCTGCTGAGGCAAAGACAAGAATCGCTGGATAGCTCAAGATTCCTCATGAAAAAAAATAGATATAAGTACACTAGAGCTGACATGGAAGTAAAGCAAAGTTGTACGGCTAGAGACTCAGCACGAAACCGAACAACGATGTTACGAGTTTCCTACGTCTCCATCTCAGCCAGAGCAGACCTGTGAAATGCGCATTAGCAGGTAAACTAGTGAGTCCATCGATCTCCTTACTGGTAAGCCTTTCTGACTTCAGATCGTCTTGCGGAGGATTTCCATGTCTGACGTTTGGATTTAACAGCCAGCATGTCGTCATCAAGAGCTGTTTAGCCCGGATTAGTATCCCTCGCCAAACAAAACCATGACGGCACGTACCTTGGTTTTCGTGTAGTAAGAGCAGTTTGTCCAACGTAGCCCACATCCTATCCATTCATGAGTCCGTAAGGTAACGACAGAATTGGAGGACAACTTACCAAGATCTCGGCTGGTCAAAGAATCTCACCAGATGGAATCGTTCATCTTCAGAGTGAGGATCGTCAAAGAGCTTTTCTGGGATTTCGTCATCATCACGCTCAAAAACGACTGCTGGCCACCATGGGTTACCCGCTATAAAGAATTTGCACATTATTCAGTGCAACAAAAGCATACATACAGTATGTAGTATACGCACTTGACTTGGCCCAGACTACAAACGAGCAGTCAGCGATAACGAAAAAGAAAAACAGCGAGCCTGAGCGACATACCGAGTGTACCTCCTTCGAGTCTCTCGCCCTCACCCAATCGAATGACTCCTGGCTCCCGTGGACGTTCTTGCGGAGGTGTTTTGCTAGTTGCCGTACGTTCTTCCCGGGTAGTAGCAGCTATCAGCATTTCCTCGTCCTCTTCGTCACTGAGGCCACTAAGAGAACTCAGCTCAGATAACGCATCGACACCACGTTCCTGGGTGCCGACCGAGAGGCGAGAAGGTCCAGCAACAGGTAAGCCAGACTCCAAGGTGGCATGCGATCGTGTAAGCCTCGCAGCCATCGCAGCTTCTTCAGCTTCCCTCGCCAGCCTTCGTTCCTCTCTCTTTCGCAGGTATTTCTCGCGCCTCGTCGCTGGAGTATCGAGTGTCTCAATGATAATGACCTTACGAGGTGTAGGTTCCTCTTCCTCCTCTTCTGGTTCTTCGACCGGCTTCTCTTCGACAGGTTGTGCCATCTCGATATGTGATGGTTGTTCCATTCCCACATCACCGAGAGATTCAACAGGAGGTTGCGGAGCAGGAGAGGCAAGGTGAATGGGTTCACGTGGCGGTTCCGTCGGTCCGCTAGGAAAGGGTTCAGGAATGGCCGCATGACTTGCTTCAACATCAGCTTCTATGGCCTTTGATTCCTCGACTACCGGTGTCGGAGAGGATACACGATCAGGGGCAGGAACGGAAGAGCGGGGAACGGAAGAACGTGGGACGGACGAACGAGGAACAGATGAGCGAGGAACAGATGAACGTGGTCCAAAACCATCGGCACCTGTTGAACGCGAACGTGTTCGCAGAGTCTCGCTCTCCACGGCTACTGCACTAACGGCGGACACATGAGATTTCTCCCGTTCTAAACATAGAAGTACAATGAGCGTCAGTTCAAAGAGAACACAAGAAATATACATACCTCCAACGCGTTGACGCTTCCTAGGTGGTGGAACAGGTCCTCTTTCGACAGGAGCTCGCCCGCCACGCCTATGGTCAGGAGGCAAAATCCAGCCTTTATCGAACATCTTGAATTGCTCTTGCTTATCGACGTCCTCCACCATTGGTGGTGTTTCCGCCTGTCCAGGAAGAACGATAGGTGCGCGTTTCCCTCTCTTACTTGCTTTCTTCGCAGTCTCTGCCACCTCTGCCATCTCAACCTCTGCTGCTTCGGCAGTTGTGCTTGGACCAGCAACCACTTGAGCCTCGGCCTCGTGTGCTGCTGCCTGAGCAATGGCATTTCTTGTCCTCGGCGGAGCCCTGAATCCAGGACTCGAATCAAGCTCTTTCTGCTTCTTCGCCTTACGGCTAGGCTTCTTGGGCTTAGGAGGAGGTGGAGGTTTAAACACAGGGAACTCGTAGGTAAAGAGTGACTCAAGCGGCGGAGCTGAGAGGATGAGGTCGATTTCGTCTTTGATCGCATCGTTGACGGACAAGAGTTCAAGCAAAGATATAGGTGGTTCAAGGTTAGCGAGAGGTGAAGTCGGCGGGAATAGTGATAGAGGGCCTTCTTCGGGAGGAGATAAGTCGATCTCGGAATGTTCTTGAATGTGTTTGTCGAGATCGGCGAGGATAGAGTCCGCTTTGTTCTTAATGTTCTGCGCGGTTTTGTAGAATTGCGTCCCCGCCTTATTGTAAAGCATGGCATTATTAAGAACTAGGTATATATCATCCTACGTGAAACATGAGCAGCAGAAGGAAATTCAAAGGTAACTAAGATAATTTACCTTGAAGTCCTGTAAGTCCCAATACTCATGGCCATCGATCTTCTGCTCAATCCAGTGCCAACACATAGGCCGTTTGATTACATCGTAATAATCTGGAACGTCAATCTTAGAAACGGGGTTCCTGAAATAGCCATGTCGGTCGGCCCTACCAAATGAAAATAATCAGGTCTGCATGAAAATGAATAGAGGCACAAATAACTCACGCTGTAAACCTCTCAAAGGCCGCTCTGAGTGAAGGCTCATGAGGGTAAAAAGCATGCGAGATAATACTTCGCACTGCATCCCCTTGTTGCAACTTGTGCTTTTCGCGAGAAATGCACATAGTAGAAAGCATACGGAGGAGTTCGAGGTCGTTTCTGACACGCTTCATATACTATATAGTGGTTGTTATTTGGCCAAGTCAAAGTAAGGGAGAGGAAACCACGCATTACCTTAAGTTTGACGGCTTTATCTTCATCGCTTTGGTGTCGACTGCCTCCATTTGCAGTCCAAGGTTCCAAATGCAATCTTTTCAACAAAGGCGCACCTCTTCTCGCCTCCCGCTTCAGACTCCAATACCTGCACACCATCAATACAAACTTCTCTTTATGTCTCAAGTTGATCCTGGCGATGTATTGCAAAAGTCGCCGAACGATGATATGAGGTACGAGTGGTGGACCAGGCTTGTACGTCTTTGCGTAGGCACGGGCGGTCTTAGATGATTTCGGGGATGCAACAACGGTATGTTCACTGTCTGAGTCAAGAGCATTGCTGGCGGCGCGTTCAGCTTTGAGGGCCGCAGCACGAATGTCCGCTTCCTCCTTCTAATTTTGGGATGAGTGGAAAGAAAGAATCAGTCAAGGTTGGGTGACATACCGGAAGGTGTCTTTCACAGTATGCGGCAAGCTGCGGTGCTTCTGAACCTTGCGAAGCCTTCATTGGCATGAGTAACCTCTCCTTCCGAGCGCAAGTCGCATGAAAAGCTAGGAAACAGGACGGCTTGTTACACTGTATGCAGGCGCCCTCGCGAACATCGCATATAGAGCATTTCTGGCAATCGCCGGGATGAGATAGAGGATCAGAGTGTAAACTAGTGGCGTACCAGCTTCCAACGTGATTTTGATATTCGATCTACGCCAGTAATGGGTTCCATGAACACCTCATTGGCTACACGAGTTTCCGGAACCCAGATGGCACAAAGCAAGTGAACCCAGTCACCATCTGTAGTTTGCTTGAATGCGCCCCCTTCGTTTGGACATAGAATACATGACTGTAAAATGTGTGAATAACTGCAAGGCAGGGGCTAGGTATCCAAGCGTACCACAGGGTTCTCCGGAGATACAGTACACTTTCGACAGAGCCATTGCCCTTCCGGGATATATGGTACACCATAACAATCTGAGGCAGAATTTGAGCAACAACTTACAACTGAGAAGCCCTAGTTACGGACCTTGATGTACAGCGAGGTTACAGCCGTCACAGAAGACGATCGCGTTCGTATTTTCGCCTTCCGAATCATCACAGATGGCGCAGGTTGAGTCTTCAGAGGGGAGTGCCAAATCCGGTTTCGGTATATTCTTAGTCTATATAAACTTTAGAGGGTCTCGTTGGTCAAGTAGCAAGGTAGGCAACTCACAAGATCGAACCATTCCTTCTCCAAGCGGTCCATGATAATTTCAAATGTCTCGTAGGAGACCTTGTCAATTTGCTCCTTCTTACGGTCGGCGTTCACAGCATCAAGCCATTCCTGATCTGCGCAAGCGTGAGCACCTGTGATTGCATCCAAATTGCAGAGAATATACCTTGCTCGTCCATATCATACTCGACTTGTACAAGCAACTCGCTTTCAAGCGGTTCTAGATGTACGTTCAATGATATTTCTTGGGCATGACATAAAACAAATCACATACCAATGTAGCGAATATAATGCTCCGGTCTAATAAAGTCACTGCTATCATTGTCTGAACACTGTCAACTTAAGTCTTATGCTTCAAGTAACGAACCGGAGACTCACAACCATACGACCGCGCCTGCTGGTCATGCACGCCAGTTGGCTGAGTCAAGAAGTCATCTTGCACCTTCACGAAGGACACCTTGGGTAGCTGTGTTGGAGCGGGGGTTGTTACGCCGCGAGCCATGGCGAAGCGAAGATGCAAGGATACAGAGGGGCCTTGTGAAAAGAAGTGTCTTTAACATGAGCTTCAATAACGAACAGATCTAATGCCTATATGAGAGCTTACGTTGTTTCTCTAGTTAGCTTATGAGACCGTCATGAAAGCGATTATTGACAAACGCGATCGCTGTTACACGTGTGTACTACGCGTCTGCGTCACATGATGTTTTATTCGGCGATCGCCGTTGGTTGTTCTTTGGTGAGTCGTGACGCGTGACGACCTGCAACTTGAAGTTGCGCTCTGCGAAACTACTTCAGCAATACTGTCTGCCCATGGCATTCGCTGTTCCGCAGTTGAGCCTCTAACGCAAGGTCCGTGAGTCATTGCTGGACGAGATTTAAACTAGAATTTCAACGCCTTATTGGCAGAATAATCTCGCGTATAATTAGAGGTCGGCGTACTTGCTGTTATCAAATTATCAATGGCCTGAGACTAGAATACCTTGAACTGACATGAATTCAACATTAGAACCACTCTATAGCTTTGCCGCTATTCGCGGTCGACTTTCAGGCCTTGGGTGCGGCGATGATTTTTATTTGGCTGTATTGCGACCTATGTGTCCATGACGCAAGACGACTCCAGGTTCGCTGCCGCCTGCACCAACAAAACACTACTTCATGGTCTTTCACATTACATGGACATGGATGTCAATGTCATTGTAAGGGGTTCAATGTTTGAACCTGGCCAGGTGTACGTACTCATGCAGCTCACATCAACTTGCTTCTGCGCGATTCGGCATATCTTCGAATTTATCTTGTGCCTTTATGACTTGGATTCGGACTATCTTATCAACAGCCCAGCTGACCCAAATTTTATGATGAATAACTGCTGCCATTTATATTCTGAGCGAGCCAGTACTCGTCTAACTTTGCTCTTATCCAAGACCCACCATGTCCGCAACAGAAGTAACAGCAAGCCCTTCCGCAAAGACTCAAACTAAAGCTATTAATGAGTTGAAACTAACCTACCCACATCCTATACATCCTATACATGCGTCCCACTCCCAGCCGGAAGTGACAGAGCCAAATGCTCCAGCAGTTCTAGGCTCCATGGCTCACTCTTCTGCTGATGTCTCTGTAGAGGATCAGTCACCGATTGACTCTGGTTATCAACAGCAAAAGCAGAATTTACACTTTGCTATGGTGGACTCTATTCCTAGCCGGTTGGAATGATGGTGCCGTTGGTCCCCTTTTGCCACATATCCAGGGTGTATACCAGGTTCAATTGTATTTGACGAAACTTTGAACATGGTTATTAGATGTTTCACAGATCAGGTTTACCATGGTGTCCTTAATATTCATCTTCAATACTGTCGTAAGTTGACTTTTCTTCGTCTAACATCTCATCATAAAAATTCACTGCATTTTGGAGGGATTCCTGGCTGCTTTGGCTGCAAATGTTTTCCTTATATATCGCTTTGGACTAGGACGTGTAGGTGCTCTAATGAATATCAGCATCATGTATGTATCTGATTATTAAACAGGTGATGGTCTTTGGTAAGTCGTCTCTTTCACATACATATAAATGCATCTAAACGATTTCCCAAGGTGCCATAATTCAGATGGTGAGCTGCATACTCAATAGCACGGCACCTCCGTTCCCCATCTCCATGCTAGCATACTTCCTCAGTGGTTTTGGTCTTGCTTTGCAAGATGCTGAATGCAGCGGATATGTTGCTGCCATGAAGGATAGCACAAGAATGGGCATCATGCACACAATCTATGGTCCTGGTCATGGTCACAGGTTCCATATGTGAAGTACTCATTATTCCATGTAGGTGCAGGAGCGTTTTCATTGCCATTAGCTTCCACACAATTTGCACTTCTTCTTCAATGGTTCTTCTATTACCTGATATCATTGGACATGTTGCTTCTGAACATCGTATTCCTATCATCAGTCTTTCACTTCAGGACCCAAGATGGTCTGTCGTCTATCTTTCATACCAATCTCTTTGCTAGCTAAGTGCAAGAATAGAATGCCTGCATTGGCAAATTCACAGCCAAATCATAGGCGCTTGTAAGAAGACATAATCGATTGTGAGCAACTTGCAATCGACATAATCATTAGAAGCAACAAAACTGTCACATCGTACCAGGATCACTGATGATGCAGAAATAACTGGTTGGTAAGCTACGTCCAAGCCACTTCTTACCATAAGTTACTCTACCTTCCGATAACAATCCTTGTCAGAATCTCTTCAGTTGTCAGCATTTCAGCAGTTGTGACCAATGGTGAGTATATTTATGACCATCATATCATATAAGAATTCCATCTCTCAGGATCATGAGGAGACTCTTGCTATCTTATAAGTGTTTCCGAGCTTCACAGATCTTATGAGTGATTAAATGACCATAACCAATACCAGTGTATATAATACTGATGGTGCTATACATGGACAATGAGACGATGCACAATGTATACTATTTACTCTGTACACTACAGTGCTTCACTGACAAGATCAGTTGTGAGAAACAGCAGCAGTTGCTTCTGAGTTGATGACTGTGACAGCTGCTTCCGAAGTCATCGCTGTCAAAGCTGATTCAGTGGATGCCTGTGCGGCGGCAACTCTGAGATGGACTTGTTCCTCCATATGAGCAAGGATCGACAATTGTCCATCTGCCTCCTCACTGTCATCATCATCATCTTCAATTGTACCAAACACCTGACTAAATGGGGATGCATCTTCAACGCTACAATAATGCTGAGAGATCATATGACTCACACTGTCCACCAGTCCAAAAGATCCTTACGTTCATCCTCAGGCAACTGGGTCTCACTGAACTTGACAATATGCTGATAGAAAGTTCGATATCGCCAAGCTCCAGCACTACCACCGGCAGAGAAGTTTGCTTGACGTGACAGAGCAAAATGAACCTAATAACTGTACATCACGGTAAGAACTGCCAATAGAATTGGAAAAGCGTACCATTGTCGCAGTGAATGCAATAGCTGGAACTGTCACATATTTGATGCGATAGATACTGGCTCTTGGCTTGCGTGCACCATTTGCTCTTGTTGACTTGCCCTTGTCTGTAATAGCTATCTCACCCTTGTCAGCGTGAGCAGCTGATGGACCCATCAATGTATGCTTGAGTGCCTGATGATCAGGTCATAGTAAGTTCACATCACAGTAAAAACATACAATACCGACCTTAACAAGTGCATCCTGATGTAGAAAACCATCCATCAGATTAGCCTCATCAACCACACCATTTGCCCAAAGAAACTTTGGAAGGTTGTCTGGCTTCGTTGGGTATTTTGGGTCACAGTTTCAGAGGCCTTGATGAACTCTTGAGAAAAAAACACGTTAGCTAAGATTTGCCTATAATGATCAATGACGTACTCAGCATTGTTCCAGTCAAGGCCTACGGGACACAGCAAAGCACCACAACCATTGTCATGGAAGCCCCGGATATCCTTGTTAGTCTGAAGTATGCCTGCATTCGGAAGCGGGAAAAATGTAACGACTACTGACTTGAGAGTATAGTTTGCAGAGTTGCGGGTACTGGTACGGCCCTTCTCTAACTGGAAGATAGATAGTAAAGTATTATTGAAGTTGAGATGTAGGAGACTGACCAATGTGGCAACCTCCATCAATCCATCCACACCATGAGACATGATTTCCTGATGAAGATTAGGAACAAACTCGAGCAAGCGTAAGTAAAGTTGCCCATTTTTTTGTTCCCTATCATTGGAATTTGTGAGTGGTCTGAGTTGATTAATCATGAGGCACTTACACGTATGTGTAAGCAGACTCAGGAATGTTAGGATTTGCCTCTTGTTCAATACCGATCTTGATTATTGTATCAAATGGATGCCACATGTCCTGCATAATACTGAAGATAGCACCTTTAGATACCAAAGGATCAGTTGGGCTGAAAGGCTGGGGTCAGACTCATGTATACATTATTCATGAGGAGCAGCATGAAGATACTTACATCCGTTTAGCAGATCTCTGTTCTTCATCTTCATCTTCACGAGGACGAGTAGCTGTCTGGCTCTGAACTGGAAAGATAGGAGCTGCTAGCTGAGAACCGGTGATAGGTGCAGCAGCAGCAATCAAAGTATCCATGAGTAAGTGAGGAACAAGCAATGGGATAGAACATCCACTCAGAAGGTTGATCGCTCCCTACAAGTATCTTGTGGTGATCAATTCTTGCTGAAATTTTTGTTATCGCTCAATCAGTAATGACGTGATTTGATTCTGTGACTACTTACTTCCAATAGAATTCTGCAGATTTTGACACAAGGATTGGAACTTGGAATATAGTTTATCAGAGAGCAAGAGTCCGATTCCTGTGTGTAATATTGAGAGATGAAAGGTAAGCCTAGAAATCAAACTCATTGTCTAAAAGAACAGTGAAAGTCTCATCATCCTCTAGCACATCCTCCAATTCAATAGCCTTATCCACCAGATCTTGAATTTCATTCGAAACCATGTCATTCATAGTCTCATCACTCTCTATGCGACTGTCAAGATTAGACGTGTCATAAGCGGGCAATGGTAGGATCTCTTCTGTCTCTTGCGGCTTCATATCCAGGTGTCCAACGCCAACGCCAATGAAATGGACCATCATATCCCTATCAACAAAGCTAAAAGTATGCTTTAGCAAATATACTATGCAATTGCTTAATAGATGACATACTGGTTGATGTAGAATAATTTTCAATCACCTTGTGAATCATACACAATGGAATGTATCTGTTCTGATGTTATGCAACCACTATGAAAGGTGGGAATAATATGGCAGCCTCGAATAACCTGTGCCGGGTCAACAAATCCAAAAGCAGAATGTCCTGATATGAACTGAACACGTTCCAAACATCGAGTCTCTGGACCATAAGAATGTTCATCTGCTTCCATCCAGTGCACCCATAGAAATTCTTCACACCTTGCTTCTGAAAAAGTTGATAAAGAAACCTGAGCATGGTATACACCTAATACCCAGGCATATACCCAAGGATAAGCCCTTCCATTCTCTGACGGCATATACACCATAACAGCTCATTTGTCTCCATTGGGGTTGATGACATCCTGATCGCGCTGCAGGTCGTACATAGTGAAGTTGATATGAAATGTTGCATGTGAATATAGGCAATCGCGAGAGATGATGATGTTGCAGATTTCGCCTTGAGAACAGCTTGATGGGTGGAAACGTCAGTGAAGATGCTCCTTGAGATCTTCGACAAAATGCTATTGACCGCCATCTCAGAAGAGCAGCCATTGTTATTATATTAACAAATAACGTACCATCACAGCAGGATCGTCTTGATGGTCATACTGCCATTCACACAGATGTACAACATTTCGCTGTTCGGCAGCGATGTAATGATGCTGCTCTGGTTTTATTCCAGTAGTATCACTTATAGTGCTTTGCAATGGAACAGCACCAGAAATGTTGATGCCCAATCTGAGAAGTTCATTGCCCATGTTACGCAGGTGAGACTCGCGAACATCAATTTTCACTATTTGCTTATCAGTCTCGCGCCCATTTGTGTGCGCACATTGAGCCTTCACATGGCGGTGTTCATGTTCACCCTATAATCCTGAATCATTAAATGGCAAGATACACCAGGTATAATGCAGCTCACCATCTGTGTGGTATATGAGTCGGTAGTGCCATAACGGCAAATGCAGCTGACGTAGTCACCTAATGCATGCATCTTGATTGTATGGAGATTAAATGTACGCCGCCGACGGCCTGAAGCTAAGGGTGTAGTGATGACAATGGTATTAGATGTAGCCCTTTGCGCCTCTACACGTGAACGTGCTTGGAACTCCTGAGAGGTTTCCATTGTTTCAAACGCTGAGCAAGTGACCAGCTGAAAGTGTCGAAGATGTTGTCCGAGAGCTTTGGTCGCATTGTCCAAAATGGCTAGTGATGTATCGGTATGCATTCGCATCTTTGCTAATGCATGCCAATAGGCGAGGGAGTATAGAAGCGCCAGGATATCTTCATTATGGGGAGATGGCAGAAGGCCCTCGAAGCATGGTATTGCACACTAGCGGACCAACAAGAGTCAATAGTGCATGACGCACCAATGGAAAAAAGATCATACCTGAAGAATGTCTTCATAGTCTCGAGCAGCAATTCGACGCATCTCGGACACATTACTTGCAAATTTACAGATTGTCGTCACACTGAAAATAGGAACTTGCCGAAACCTGCAGAGTGTATGAGATGAGTGAGCAAAACCTCTGCCAACTATCAATCATGATGGACCGATGATTCAGCTCATGTATAAGATCAGCTTTTTCAGCTTCAAGAATTCGAATGAGGTGGCAAAATAGTGCCTTCCAAACTCCGAGCTCCACCTCATGTAGCAGATCTATAGCAAGAATAGAATGGTAATTGAGTGTGGTGTTTCCAAGACATTTTGAGAATGCATTCTAAAGGAAAGAACATTGAGTAAAAAGAGCAAGATTATTTGATACAAAGGACTGACGGTTGTGGGGACAAGTGACTGTTTTTTAAGTAGATCTTCAACCCGGTCACTACCGACAACATATCCATCTTCATATATCAGCTGACGTGCTTCCTCAACTAACTGCCGTCGCGCTTCATCATTCACATGTCGGTTATGGGCACGAACATTGATATCTTCTGGCATTCCGATGTTGGGTATATCTGCGAAGGTAACCAGACAGCGTGGGCATGGACACTTGCCCTTGTCACGGATCATTGCAATCAACACTCTATGTACAGGACTATTAGCCACGAAAGTTGAGATTGAAACAAAGCCTTACTTTTCTGGATAATCTGCTGAATAAAGAAATATTCGAGGATATATTCGATGTCAAATGCCATCAACACAGTCCACAATCATGCCATGGTGATATGCATGCACAAATTCATCATCAAGGAGAATCTCCCAAGCTCCGTGAAAAAGCTCGCGCTTGCAGTGAGTGAGTAGAGGGCCCGTAGCTGCCTTCCCATTTCTATGTGAATGCATAAAGTCCTGGAATGTATCAGGTAGCTGACCAATTGTGTCAGCAGTGATTCGCTCTTTGTAAGGATAACTACATACTGATGGAAAGTAAGCGACATGGTGCGCCGCATTGCTGGTTGGCCTTGCTCGTTCATACTTTGACTGGTTGCCGAAGTACATGTAGTTTGGCCACACTTTGGCTGGGCCGAACTGTGTAACTTGAGTAGCATCCGATGAGAACATGAGTGCAGCGATCGCGCGGGGAAGATTGCAATCAGGCTCTGGAGCCGAGTTCTGCAATCACAGATCTTCAAGTATGAATGACTCAGAGTTGTAGAGTTCGCTGTAAACATTCTCCGGAAGAGATGTGGCGCCAGGTAATTTGAACTGTACATGATAAGGATCAAATACAAAGCGTGCCACTGCTGGATCAGTTGTTAAGGTATTCCGAATCTCTGCACAAAGGCTTCTGTGCCAGAATCCGGGGACGGTGAATAGATGACCAGGAATTGGACACTCTGCAGGAGTATCGAGGATGCCCTCTCACCATTCAATTCGATGCTGAGCTGCTGCTGCTGCACGTCTCGAGGCTTGTGTTGACTTCTCGCCCTTGGGTATTCCGATGCTTATTGGTGATTGCATCCAACTGTTCCGCTGGCCAGAAAAGAAGTCAATTGAATTGGAATCGGCGAGCTCCTCATCAAGTGAGTTGAAGTTAACTCCGAGAATCTCTGCCGGAAGAAAATCGGGGTGAGTAATTAAAGATTGCAACGTGTCACAGTCAGAATGCGACTTGTTTTTGCCTCGAATCCAGTAATAGTGAGAAAATAACTACGAACTGAGGTTTGGATATGGTGCAATGATATCTTGAACCCGTCTCTTGGCTTTTGCAGCAAGAGTTGCATTCGCCGTGAGAGCATAGCACATGTCGAGATTAAATTCCTCTATGGGTTTACGGACAGGATGGCATTTGTAAAGGTGACTGAGACCAAATTTGTTCGCGACGGTCTTAACATGTTGGGTTAGAAGGAGAATGACATGTCGACCTTGGCATGTAGAACATTCATCAGGCTCAGGCCGATTAGATGTAATCATCGCCCGGTCCTCTTGTGTACCAGGGATGTCAGGCATTGCATCGCGAACCTTCGCCGTTGGATGAATGGCCCATCCGGATCGTGTAGTTTGAAGAGGTGGAGGAGGCATAGTGGTCTGCGTTGCCTCTGCTTCTATAGCTTCAGCAGGTGAAAACAGCTGCAGAATGCTATTCTCAGTATCAAAATTTAACATCAACAGCTTGCATGCATGAATTACCTCAAAATCAAAAAATTTGACTGGAGTCTGTGTTGAATCTTGAGCTAGATCCGGACCAGGTGGAGCAGGCTGTGATGGTGTATGCACAGAGGGATCAGTGCTTGATTCTGAACTAATGACACATGTCAGTTCAACTTGCTGTAAAATACCCTGTGGTTAATATAGCTGAGAGACAAAATGCGTGCCCTAAAATAAACTTACAAACTGAACGCGGGGACATTTCGCCGCTGGCTCTGGTGACAGCATTGTGCCCGATTGGTTTTGAAACTGATCTTGTAGCAATTGCGAAACACGAGCCATTTCGCATTTATGGATGCGGCATTCACCCTTGTGCTTGTTGAAGAAGGAAAGCTTAGAGTATTTCTTCGCACATGTATAGGTATACATGCTGGCTCAGCTCCATCCGGTTGTGCGGTACTACGCTATACAGATTGCCAATGTGCGGGGGCGAACAGAAGGAGTTAGACACTGGGTGAAGATGAATGTTGAAGTCATGGTGGTGAGGGGGAAAAGCATAGTTTCCTTTCTGGGAATGATTGCGCATTGTGGATGATGGGCATCCGAGTCATTCAACGTACTCCTTCCGGGTGAGTCCGATGTCGCTTGAGGACTATCGACTCAGGCTCTTCCTAGCTCCTCGGTCCCAAATGTGCTCTCCCGTCTCGCCAGATAATGAACATATGGCCATGCTTGTGCTTCCTATAAGGCCTGTGAACAAGCATGAGGTATGTCGACTGGAATTGTCTCTGCTGGATCAAAGACACTATCAGTTCATGTGATATGCTCAACAGACATTAACACTCACAGTGAAGGCAAATTCAGTTTCATGGCAATCATATGTCGATGAATCCACTATAGAGACTATCGACATGACCGCCGCTCCACCCAAGAAATGGAAGTATAACTCGGAGACAGAGGATTCACACCAGGGAACATCACAACAAACGGCTAGGGTGCCGCAAGTTGAATGCGTCCGCGCTTCCTCCCACCATGCTGAGCGAGATATCTCTCCCCCAAGTGAATGTGGCTATGTCTCTGAGACAGAATCCGAATACACACAGCCGAGCCTGCCTCTTGGAAGTATTCTAGGGCAGCTACTAGCTGAGCAAGCATTGCACCATAATAATGATTCATTGCCCAGCGTTGAGGCTGCTCCGGCAAGTGACGTTGGATCGCAGACTCAACCTGAATCCGAAACTGTCCCTGAGTCCCAAGGGAGTCGTATAGATGATCTGAAGAGCTCGGTAGAGCGGCTCATCCTGCGAGCTAGGTGGGAGGGAATTCAGGAAGGGATGGCTCAGATGCGGGGCCAGGTGAAGTGCAACTGCCAGCTCATGTCATCCGCTGCATCGCGTATGTTAACAAATCAACTTCCATAGGGTATGGTGATCTTGACAGTTGTGCCAGGAAACGAGCCAGGAAGCTCAGGTTTGCCGTGAGGAATGGGGTCTTCAAAAAGGAAATATGAGACCTTGACACAACTTCATTGCGGGTGGTAGAGGTGCCGGCGATAAAAACTGTAATATCACTAGAAATACTTGGCTACAATTAAGGTCATTGTCGGAGGTCCAACGCTGCGACTGAATTGAGAGACCTGCCAACCGTTTGAACAAGAAGGTCCCACTGGCACCGACGTATTGAAGGCATCCACCGCCCGAGCGATGCTAATGAGCTCTGGATCTTAACATCTCGAACGACTATTGAGAGCTGTCATGAGCGGCGAGCGATGCAATCATTATCCTGCTGCAACTGAATCATAATGGAGATACAGAGTACTTACAACATATGACCGACTCGCGAGGGCACTTATGCCTTGCTGAACTCATGACGGGACGAAGTCTTCAATGCGGTTGGGACCAGCTCACAACGTTCTCACAACCGACTTCCAAGTTGAACATGAGCGTTACAGACGCCTGCAAGGTGATGTGACACAGGCGTCACATGTAAGCGTTATAATCTCGCCGGGGATTTCGCGATGTGATTGAGGTTGGGCAAACACCCGCATCGCCTCCGGACTCTGGCAGTCTAAGGAACGAGTACAAACTCAAAGAGTTCACCTTCTGGCTCTCCTCATTCTGCTGAGCATCGGTGTGGCTGCCACCCTGGGGAGTCACTTGCAAGTTGTAATGCTATCCGCACATTGGCTGATTAGACTTCATCCAGGCTGGATTGTAACGTTCATGATTGACGTGCGAAATGGAGGTCCCTCTTCAGGTTACATTTCTTCTGGTCTCTCCGGCGGTAGGTACCCTCATGACAGACTCTTTGTTCTCGGGTGCGAAATCTAAATATTTAAAGGTATCACTCTTAGTTGTGTCCTCCTTCTGTGGGTGAATGGGAAGGTGCGCATTCCCACGTCCATCTAAGTAGTATATAGCAAAGCTAATACTTTGCGCAGGTTGGCGAGCGTCGTGTCATTTTCATCTACATGCTGTTAGCTATCGGGTATGCCTCGAGTTCATTTGTGTTTCGTCTCTGTGTTCAACGACCTTGTTTTCTTTTTGTTCGCAGATCGTCTGGCTAATCCCGTCCCTAATCGCGGACGCAGTAGCAGTCAGCTTCATCGGCCTGCTCGTGGGGCCCACATATCCAATTGTTATGAACCATGCTGGTTGAATTCTGCCACCTTGGATCCTGACAGGGTGCATAGCCTGGATTGCAGGCTTTGGGCAAGCTGGTTCAGCACTTGTGCCATTCATAATGGGAGTCTTAGCGTCAAACATCGGTATCAAAAGTCTACAACCTTTGTGAGTACGTTTACTTTTCAGTAGTTTGGAAGATAGAAAGCTTGTGTCCAATTAGCATCATCTCGCTGATGGGCTCTATGCTCATTCTTTGGTTCCTGATTCCGAACAAATCACAACGCGTTGACTGATAAGATGAGGCTTTGTCGAATTCTATACTACATTGGTAGTTACTGTATCTACTAGAGTTTTACATTTGCAACAATATTCTCTAACAACCGTAACCCTATATCTAATTAGTAGAACAAATCGTGTTTTCAGACAAGAGCTTTGCTCAACACCTCTTCTGCACTCTTAACGAATCGATCCACAATCTCCTCGACCTGCTCCTTCGTCACGTTGTACGCCGGCGAGAACATCGTATGGTCACCCTTCGTTCCCTCCACATTTGCACCGCCGTGGAATCCCATGATCACTAAGCCATTATCCAAGCATTTCGCTTGCACTAAGGTTCCAAAGTTACCTCCCTTGAAATCAACAGAAGGTTTGTCTGGAGAGGGAGTGTCGAAGTCGAACTCGACTGCCCACCAGGCGCCGGAGCCACGAACATCGAAGACAAATGGCGCAAGTGGACTGGTTGGGCTCCGAAGGCGAGAGCTGAGAAGAGAAGAGAGGTAGGCGCCCTGCGTGCGAGCGTTCTCCAGGAGATTCTCGGAAGTGACAACGTTTTGGACGGCGAGCGAGGCGGCACATGCGATAGGGTGAGCTTGGTATGTGTGACCATGCTTCATGAAACCTGCTTGGTCTCGAATACCATCTGCCACACGCTTGGACATGAGGACGGCGCCAATGGAGACATAGCTAGACATGAAGAACCGGGCGATCAGTATTGAGATTGCGTGCGTCTGGATAATCCGAAACTTACCCTCCACCAAGACCTTTTGCAACAGCTTGAAGATCGGGTGTGACGCCATCACCATAGGTTTCCCAGGCATGTAGCGTGCCCAGACCTATATCAAAACGTTTACTTGGGTAAGAACAGCGTAATCTGCTAACATCTAGCGCTTTACTTACGGCCCATACCACTCATGACCTCATCGAGAATGAACAAAGCGCCGTATTTGTCACAGACGGACTTCATAGCCTTGAAGTAGCCTTTCGGAGGGGGAACTACACCTGTAGTCGCACCAACGACGGTTTCTGCCACGACTACAAAGATCATGACCATAGCATCGATAATTGGAGGTCGTCGAAAATAACGTGACTCACATCCAATGACAGTATCCGGTCCAAGTTCAAGGAACTTATCTTCAAGCTGCTTCCTCAGTCGCTCCACGTACTGCTCCTCGGTTTCGTCAGGACGTTGGAATCTTTTTGCGTACGCAGGAGATACATGATGGAACCTCTCAGTGTTCAGAAGATCGATGTAAGGTGCCCGACGAGCAGGATGGTACGCGAGGGAAAGTGTGGCGAGAGTGTTTCCGTGGAAAGACAGTTCACGACCAATGAAGTTTATGCGCTGCGTTTGACCGATTTCGTAGAAGTATTGTCGAGCAAGTTTGATCACGGTCTCCATTGCCTCGGAACCTATGAATAAGATGAGTTATGCCAAAAGACCTTTGGGGGAACATTATTACCTCCGGAAACGAAGGAACATAGCTCGAATGCACCTTTCCCAGTGTTGACTAGGTAACGTGCGAGCTCCTCAGCGGGTTGGTTGGAGAGCTGCATGTTGTACACATCTGACCAGTATGAGAGATTAACGTATAAGATAAAACGACGAGAAGAATGCTTACACGCTACTGTATCGACTTGGTCCTTGATCGCTTTCTTTACCACCGGGTGACCATTGCCAATGCAAGCGACGGCAGCACCACCAACAGCATCAATGATCCTCCGGCCATCTTCCAAGTCAATGTAGACGCCTTCGGCGGAAACAGCAACAGGCGGGCTCCATGGAGTTCGATGAAGAATGGATGTCTTTGACGAGGTTTGGGTAGGTGCGGGAGACATTGTATGTAAGTGACTGTGCGATGCAGAGAAACGTCAAGGGTCGATGATCGCGAGCACTGGGTAGACACGGTAATGAGTCACTGTTAAAGGCTATCTGGCAACGTTGTCTCCTCGAGGCTAGAGATTCACCCTTATATAACTTCGGATATAGATCAGATGCACGAGTTTCTAGACTCTTGCAGCTTGAATGAATCGTTGGATTTTTGGGAGTGAAGTAATAATATGAGTCAGGAGATACGAAGTATGAAATAACAACGGACCTTCGGACCCCCGTAGATCTTTACGATCGACAAACTTTTCACCTTAGAGTGGGACGAAAGAAAGATGATCCGTCTACAGTACTCTCTTCCTATCTCCTAGAGCCTCGGTCGTCGTTCGTGGTCCGCCTTTGTCGTCGGTCGTGTCGACCGACCACTTGGTCCATAGAAAGGTGATATAAATGATAGACCGGTATGATCTCATGGGTAACGTGGTCATACTTATAAGTTAAGAGCATCTACAACCTCCATAGACTGAGCGCAGTAACTTACCTTTGAGAGGAGCGCACCAACCAATCTTATCTCCGTGCTTAATCTAATCACTGGCGTTTAACATACTATATTGTTTACGTAAGCATAATATCCGCTGTTGCTGGGCTGTCCTTGCTTGACGCAAAGCCGCCGAGTGTGGGGATCTTGCTCTGTGTTGTTTCTATTCAAACATAATACCCTCTTCAATTCCGACGCTCCTTTACTTTATTCACTGTTCTCCGAAAGTTCTAGCTAACGACACTCACGATTGACTGTGAATTTTACCCCGTTGTATCATGGCACAACCCGTATTCGAGGATCACCCGCTAGAAGAGTATTTCAGACGTATGTGCTCTCATTCTAGTGCTATGTAATGTTTGACATATTCTCTTACAGAGACTGGTGAAGTTGATGAAGACATGCCAGGAGGCACAACCGAATTCCTTGTGGAGGAGGAACCTCCGTCTTGTCTAAAACCAAACTCGCTTGCGCACAAGTTGTCATTACTTCTCTCATATGCCATTCATGTGCGTGAATTATTCCAAAGTTCTAGTTGACTAGCTTGCATAACGCATATGGCGATCATTGGCGGGACCCGCTGAGGGCCGCGACCGACGTCCTGCCGGATAAGTAGTTTCCATGTTACAGTGTTATTGTCCGCAGTGATGCCATAGCTTGCATTCTCCATGAATATCTGCCTTGAAGTATCGGCTTGCTGATGAGCTATTCCAGACCTTCAACACGCTGCTCTCCTGCTCAACCTTCAGTTCCCACGAGAACGCATTCGCAGAACGTTTCAAATATGATGTTATTTCTTCTTCACTTCTATCTGCTTCCATAGCAGCAGCGCCTTCGAGCGCAACGCGTCGCAGCTTCACTCCCGATATTCCCGGTCGGCTTTCTTACACAGACATCAGCGACCATTCTCGCAACTCGAGCATAACCGAAAGCAGCAAGCAAACATCTTCAGATCTCAGCAGCTATTCATGGTCGTCTGGCATTGCCTCAATGGCCGTTCTCGCGCTATCAGTTGAGTACTACTTCCTCGCGTTATTCTTAGGAGGCCTTGCGTTCTACATGGCCCAAACTGCTCGATCACAAGCAAGTCGAGCGGACGGTATCAACCAGGTACGTTAGCTTTCATTCCTTCCAATCCCAAGTTAATTAATGAGTCTTCAGACAATGGATGCTCTGAACGAAGTTATATCAGCTGGAAACGTCTGGGATTCTGCCGTCAACGAAGCGATGAGCATCGTGGAGGCAGACGAGCGAAGGTCAGTCGAACACCCACCTTTTGTTAGGTTTACACTTATCGCATGACTGTAGACCATCAATCTATGGAGTGCAGTCTCCGTTTTCAAGTCTCCGGATTGCACTCCAATCCTCCCTTCTCACGACGCAAAACCAGTGTGACAATGTCCGCCAACTACTTTCCGCGCTCACTACTCCTTCCCAGCTTGCGCAACTCTCAGAGATGTATGCACCAGCATCACCCATACGACCGTCATTCCTTCCTCTGGACGGGCAGCTATCCCGCCCGCTGTCAGATCCTGTTTCCATTTGGCGGAAACGCACGTCATCATTGCCCGCCGAAGCGACAAGCAACAAGCGTGCGACTTGGAACGGCTCATATGTCTCCTTGGCGCAGGCCAGCAGTATCGCAGCAACCCCTAAGCGAAAGGAGAAACGTCGGTCCGACATGTCGGCATTGTTTAGTCCTATGCTGGGCAGCAGATTGTCAAGCATAAGCGCGCCTGCTAGTCCACAAGCACAGAAGAAGCTGGCCGACGTGAAGGAAGAGGTGGATGATGACAACGAGGAGTTTGAGGATGCTTCGCCTCACTTGCCTGAGCTCAAGGATACCGAGTGCTTTGGCGTGGCTGCATTGGACTTGCATCGGAAACGCAAGAGCGCTGGCTTAGAAACGTTGCTGACTCCACCTCCGAGTTACACTACCCAAGCACCTCAACTAGCTACCCGACCTACACGCTCTAGGGGGAAGTTGTCGTTATCATCCCCGACACGATTTACGCTTCCTCATACTAGCCGACATCCTCTTTCAGTTTCGGCACTCCGACTCGCGCTGCAGGGCGCACTAGCCGCAAAGCGATATGCATGTTCCCATCTCCTTGCTCTTCGCTTTGAAGAGGAAGAAGAAGATTCGTACTGGGAAGATGTCCGGAGTCTTATGGCCCTCTTGACAAGCACATTCTCAGATGCTTCTTCGAGACTTATGGAAGCCCTAGACGAAGCCGAGAAGCAACGAATCAAGGATGAAAGGCCTACTGCGGAGTCTTCGAGGGAAGCTTCCCCCGAGCTCGAGGAAAGACCTGCGCCCAAACCCCTCCGAACGATGGCTGAAATGCACTCTTTCGCGCCTATGCCGAGTCATTTGACACGCTTTGCAGCACACGTTGATGCTATCTCTTCTGCGTTGAATGACGCAAGGTCACATTTGGAAGAATGCGTCGCGTCACTCAGGGAGAGTCAAGAACCAGAAGCTTCCATGACTTCACCCGAGGAGTCTGTTACCGTGCAAGCTTATGACAGACTACGAAAGGAGATAGGCTTCGCCTTACGAGAGTGTGAACGAGGCAGAGAACGTCTGCTTGACATCGTTTCCCCAGCTTCCAATCCTGATCAGCAAAATGACGACTCAGACCCTCCCGTCCCGTCTACTCCTCCACTTGTTCATACCGATAGTAGTGAAGAACTAAGCTTCTCCGATTCTTCACAACCCCCCGTAGTCCTCTCACATGGTCTCGGTCTCGAAGGCGTTTCTCAACCTCTGGATGATGTCACTGAACACCTTTTGCTGTCCACGTCTTCAAGACACCTGCCACCTCCTGGTGTTGAACAAGTGTTTGAAGCCGAGTCTGGTCAAGTTGGAATTTTCACTCGTGAGCGATCGAGACTTTCGCGAGAAGACAGGATACGAATGGCAAAAGCCAAACGGGATAGTGGTAATGCTCTCGTTGGTTCAGGTAGTCGTTCAAGCCTGGACGGCCTTGGTTCCGAAGAGCAGAGACCGCTGGAAAAGTGGGGTCCTGGTGGCGAAGTCGTTCAGGAGTTGAAAGATGTGATCTGGAAAGTGGGTGAGAAGAGGCGAAAGATGATCGAACAGTTCCCATCTGTTCATCAAGCTGCCAGCAGTCCGAGGTTTCTTGATTCCCCGAGAACGAGTTCTAGGGAGTTTCCTCTTGTGGTGAATGATCACAGTCGGACAGATGTTGTCGAGATGTCTTCATGATAGTTTCGTTTCCCTTCCTTATGTCATATGTCGCATTTATGTTTATAGTCAACTATCCTTGGTTTTGGATTCTTGTTGTTTCTGATATAATACTCTACAACCTTGCCTATTGGTGATAGTAGCATCCTCCTTCACATCGCTATGCACTGGATTCTGTTTAATTATGTGATTGTGTTTTTGAGATGTGGTGCGACTTCTGTAACCCAACGATTATACCCTAGATACCTTAGTCGACATGACAAGGAGTACTGGGAATGAGGAACCAAACAATAATCATGAACCCCATGAGGGACACAACACTGGTTAGCTCATATATCAGTATTCGATACCTCATGATACACGGCGGTATATAGCTCACAAAGGCTGCAGACTCGCTATTCCAGCTTTCAGAGCCAGGGCACCAGTTAAGAATGGTATAAACCCCGAACCACCTTGACCGAATCCTATAATCCAAGTGACACATCCAGTCAGAATCCACGGCGGTAGGATAAGCCCAGCATGGTTCATGACTAGAGGATAGATAGGTCCCCAGAGGAAACCGATAAATCCGATGGCTATCGCATCGCCGATTAGGGATGGGACAAGCCAGACGACCAGGTCCAGCCTAGATGACGGTTGTGAACAACGATAACGGAACCTGATAGGAGGCCTGAAAACTTACGCAAGTGAAAGGACTATGTATATAAAGATAACTCGACGCTCGCCGATCTAGAGCACCTCGTTAACATACGGGCACTTCGAGTAGTAGATCCCTTGCCTTCTTGTTAACCCATAAAAGGAGGACTCGACTGAGCGTGACCCCTTTTCGAAGAGTGGAGTGATAGTATAATGCATGCATGCCAGAGAAAAAGAAAAGAAAACTTACCCGTGTAAAAGCCAGACGATATGTATCCAGATGACGGCCCACCGTTCCGAACATCTATAATGTATGTCACAATCCAGCCTTACAAACACAGTGAGTGCGATGTAATGAGAACATACAGTATATGTGGCAACCTACCACCAAGTGTAGACGTGACACCTACATTCAATAGTAAGAAGAGGGCAAGCAAATGGACCTCTTTGAGCCTAATTATCTGCCTATACTTGTTCACCTGGATGCTCAACGCCGGAGGCGGAGCAGGAGTCAGTCCTATTTCTTGAAGACAATCTACAGAACCTTCAGTGCGATTCATAAGTACGAGAATGAAACTGCTTTACCATCCTGCCTCCGGAAGCGGAATGCCAAGGATAAGAATGTGATATTAAGAACACACAACGCTAATGATACGAGATAGTGGAATGACCACTGGGGTAGTTGTGCAAACTGCGTGGACGATAATGGCGCTGTAAGTGCACCGAGACCTGCAAGGCCATATGAGACGACTTTCACGTCAAGGACGATGTCGCAGGAACGTACCATAAACACCCTGCATTATACCCATTCGAGTACTATCCCTCCATGTTGTAAGGTATCCACTACTTCCAGCGTCTAGTATGGCAACACCGTATCCGCTCATGAAATAGCCTAGCACGAAGACAGGAAACGGAGACGCTGCACTGTCCAAGATGTAGCCTATTGTTTGAACGGTGGCACCTTCATAGTCCTGTCAGCAACAAATCGGTACATTACATTGGATTCTCAATACCTATAATCATAACCTATCAACGCATGAGCTGCTGCAATTGGATCTAGTTGCGATAAAACTGACTGTGCCGAAACCTAGTTTATCGCTTAGATAGACGTTCGCGACGGATGCAACCAAGAAGCCCTGTGGGTAGTGATTAGTTGTGAAAACCTAGAAGATATGGCGGAGAGACCGACGATAGCATTAAATACAAAGATGAGTGAAACCACGGCAAAGCCGACCTAAGAGAGATTTAGCCTGCAAAGAGCACACACTTACTCGCAGGGACCAACATGATACACTCCTTGAATCCTAGGTAGCAAAGGACCGACAGTACCATTATTCCAGCCCACCACGAACAAACAGAAGCATAACGTCGCTAATTGAATGTTTTTCTTTCGTCGTAAAGCATCGGACTGTTCTGGTGCTGAACAAACAACCAAAGGAGGATAGGCAGCCTCAAGCAGGTCCGTAGGAGAAATCGACTCTGACAGTCCGACAGTAAACGTTTTTGAATCCTCATCTTCAACGAAAGACGTGGAGGTGTCAGCAGCGGTGGAGCCTACAGTCTGATCCCTTGGAAGTAGATCGCACATGGTATGCACATTGATCAGCCCGATAGAGATGTTCAGCTATATATGAGATCGATGGGTGTTCAGTCATCGTTCAATAAGCAAGTACATGCCCTCCAACATGGGCACCCCACAATACCGCTGTGCGACCAGGGGTATTGACCTAGTGTGGGTTGGCGATCCCACACAAGTCTGCGACTCTTTGCGTGTGATGTCCGAAGGCAGTCACCGGAGTGACCATGCGGTCCTAAAGTGATCCTATGCAGGTGAGCACTCGACCAGATATGACACATCGTATACTGAACGCTTCACAAGAAAAGTCGGCGAGAAACTTGTACAGCTACTGTGTGTGTTTTGGTCGGCAGCGGACATGGAAGAAATCGGTGAACGCATTCGAGGTATCCTGAACGATGCGTGGTCGGAGTGTGCCTCTTCCCCTAAGCGTTGTAAATCCTCTCAAGTCTTGGTGGAATGGAGAATAAGCCAAAGCTTCTCGGGGAACGCTGCGCTTGAAACGTGCGTCAGTATGAATCTAAGGTGGAGCATCAATATTCAATCCTTTCTCGCCTTTTTAGATTCTGGGGTCTGAACGTTGAACCTCAATGATTCTTGAGTAACGTTACCTCTGATGAGCTCCATAGCTGTGGATGGGCTTTGGAAGGCAAGTGCATATTGGGCGCCAATCGAACTTCATGATGACTCCGACGGTAGATCGCTCGAGCATCGTTGCTCTTTCATAATATTCACTTAGTGCTGCCAGGGGATATCAGGTATGTTGCCCGTACCAATATTGTGCCATTCTCACTGCACATGTAAATTGACGCTGCCTATAGAACTTATATCGAGTTCTTCTATGCCATTTGCATCTGCAAACCATCTACTCAGATCGTTTCTCTTTTATCATCAACTCGTCCTGTTCATTATGTCTACTACGCTTCCAGTGCCTCTTCTCGTGTATGCACAGCATCAATCGGTGCTCGATCTTGAGCCCGCTCGCGATGTCCGCGCGACTCTTCCGGTTGCCAATTCTACCAAATCCTTTTGGTTCACTGATCCAGACGTCACGCCTTTACCCACGGAAGGTAGCGAAGGACCTTTGACAGATGACGCGGATATCTGCATCATCGGTTCTGGAATCACGGGGGCTTCTGCTGCGTATCACTTAGCCAGGTCGTTAAGTGATGGCAAGATAGCCAACGCGCTGGGGCGTCCCGTGAAAGCCGTCATTCTTGAGGCCAGAGAGTTCTGTCAGTGATGTTTATATAATGAATTGACCAACCCATATATTGAGAACTTTTATATAGGTTCAGGCGCAACTGGTTAGTTGTGACTAAGGTCAGGGCGCGGATTTTCACTGATAACTAAGTTCCAATTAGGACGAAATGGCGGACACCTTGTGTCGCATACCTTCTTTGACTTTTTAAAATGTCAAACGGAGCATGGTAAGGAGGAGGCGCTTCGATCGTATAACATCGAAGAATACGTTGTGAAAGAGGTCACAAAACTTCTCGAAGAGAACTCCAAGGGGGATGATGTCGATCTTGTTGCAGGTGGCCGACTTATCTTGTTCTTCTCAAAGGAGGAACTACTTGAGGCGAAGTCCGATTTCCTGGCTGCAAAAGAAATTGGTTTAGATCTCTCTGGTATCCAATGGTTCACTAAGGAAGAGACCCAAGCTGTAAGATCGTCCTTACATGATCTCTTGCACTTAGTAAAAATCGCATCACATTCTAGAAATACGGCGCCTCGTATCCATCCGTTCTTACCCCTGGATTCAGCCTTTGGCCTTTGAAACTTGTTGGTGTTCTTTTCAGCTTGGCAAACAAGATTGGTTCTGGCTCTTCATCTTCTTCCCCTACGTTCTCCGCCACTCTCCATACCAGGACACCTGTTACGTCAATCCTCCCGATACCACAGTCATCAGATATCAATGCCGTGTTCCCTCGTCGACACAATTTGAACACTCCACGCGGGAACATCTCATGCTCATACATTGTACACGCTACTAACGGATACGCTTCTCATCTCCTTCCTCATCTCACTGGCTCAAATGGAATCATACCCACTCGGGGACAAATCATCGCCACACGAGCGAAGGTCGGGCTGGACATTCTTACACGAACTGGCGGTACAGGAAATGAAGGCCTCGAGTATTGGTTTCCTCGACCCGTCAAGCAACCTGATGAAAAGTATCCGTTGGTTATATTGGGTGGTGGTAGAGAGGTTAAGCCCCAATTCCAGTTCTATGAAATAGATGATTCGATCATAGACAAGGAGGTCGGGAAAGCGTTGAGAGCTTTCTTACCAGCCGTATTTCCGGGACGGTTTGAGCCTGGAAACGAACCGGAAATAGAATGGACTGGTATCATGGGGTTCACCAGATCCGGAGACCCGTTCGTGAGTCATTTCTCCGTCTACTCGGCAATTTCACTCAAGTTTGGATGTATACAATTTAGGTTGGTCCTGTAGTCGATCATAACAATTCTTCCAACAACACAGCGTACGAGGGCCAGTACGTATCGGCGGGATATACCGGTCATGGAATGCCTCGTGCCTATGCATGGTACGTATCAGAAACTGCCGATCTACTTCACGATAACTAAGCTATTCCCCTGTAGTGCTGAGGTTGTCTCCCAGATGATCGTTGCAGACATCAAGAAGGAAAAGTGGGAGCCCCCGGAATGGTTTCCCAGGGTCTACTTGATGACTAACGCGAATAGAAAGGAATATGCCAAGGTCTAGGGTATGGTGGGAGATACTCAGGTTCTGGGTACCATCAATAACCAATGCAGATGTAGCTACTCTAACTTCGTCCCAATATTTATATGTCAAAGAACCCAAGGGCAGAATGTCTCCTTACGTCTGTTCCATGAACCCTAATTTTGTCACATAAGTCAATAGCGAACACCCTCACCCAGGCTCAGGCTGGAAGTATGGCATCCTTGACCAAGAACGAGGCAGAGCGTCTTCCCGTTGTGGGGAACTTCTTGGTCCAACACGTCAGTTTGGTCGTTGTCGACGGAGGCGGGTTCCGAAACAAAATATTCCGAGATGTTGCAACTTCAATTTTGCTGAAGACTTTGCATTGACTTTGAATATCGGAATCGAAATTTAGGCGATATACATGGCGGACGAGTGCGTATCCAAACAATTGGAATCCTACAGAAGTAATCTACAGCTCATCATGGGGATACTCATCCCTAGGGAACCTGGTTGCTTCACCCTTCGCCTCGCCACCATGAGGTGCTACGAACGGGAACAGGAATCTCTCCTCATCGGGATCAAAATATCCGCTGAAGAAAATGAGTTGAGGATCCTGGTTACTCGTGTTCGATTCTTGGTCGCGTGGAATCGGTGCCAGCTCGTTTGTACTGGGACCTTTGTACCTACTATTTATATTGCCACCATCTAGCTGCTGCTTTATGAATTTCTTCGCGTCGTTGAACAAGGCAGAATAGCTGGGTACCCCTCGCTTACGCTTCACCTGATTCTTGATGACAGTCGTGACAGCCAACACCCATGGATCCACCAGGCCAGCGGAAGTCCTCAATGCTTTCACGTTGAACTGGGTCTCGTGGCACCCGGCAAGAAGGACCCCTGGCGTCGCGGTATGAGTGTCGAGCATCCCACCTCCCATGCAAGACGACGTGAGGATAGTCAGGTTGACTCCAACCTTAGCCAGGTTCTAGAAGTCAAGCAAGCATCGTCAGTCGCGAGCTTGTCAGGCACTATGATTATCCACCTACATTACGGATTGCTTTTGCGAGCCAGTCGTCGAGAACCATCACTTTCCCAGTCCCTTGGTCGTTTTCCGCAAGGATCCACCCTTCATCGTTCCCGTCTGTTTCTCCAGAACCATCCTCGTCGGGGTACGTAGTTCCATGGGCGTCGACGTATAAAAAGCGCACGTCACCTGGAGACGCCTTTGAGATTAGCTCCGTGAACTTGTTCTTGAATCGCGTAGCAGTCGGCGGGTCCTGGCCATTGTTCGTCTGGCCTGGACGGCCGTTGCTTGGCTCGACATCAAAATACATCAGTTCGACGTCGTCGATGGCGAAGCCCAGGTGCTTATTGAGCATTTCCCGAACGAGGAATATGCCGTTGTCAGTCCCAGTGCCGAAGCGCACGATCAAGGCCTGGGATAGAAATAAGAATCGCGTCAGGCATGCTCAGAAAAAAAAGTACAGAGATACCCACCTTCTTGGTGCCCAATGAGCGAAAATCCGTATGTTTCATGTTGTTCGTCGTGTTGTCCCCAGAGGGGTTGCTCATGCGAACCGTGGCTTCCTTGCCGCCACTGAGCCAAGTAGCCTGGTAGGTATAGTACCCATCAGTAAACCTGCCCGTAATGTTCCCATTCGCGGAGGTGGAGACAGACGAAAGGGTGGCGTTCACTGAATGGTTAGATTTAGCATGCCCAGCGCCGTCCACGGTCCATTCGTGGTAGAAACCGACTGGGGCTCCGTTCGTGATGCCGGAGGGGACGACGAGAGTAATCATCTCATTCTGTGCATAGCTCCACCAGTTGAGCTTTCCAGTGAAGACTTCGGTGGAGGGGACTCGAACGGCGTCGGAAGACTGAATCTGGAGATTGGTCGCCGAATTACGCTCGCCCTGCGGATTCCGCATCGTCACCGTCACTGACTGGAAGTCGGAGGCAACAACTCCTTCGAAGCTGTAGTACTCAAAGGAAACAACGATGTTGTACTGATCAGAGGTCGTGGTTACGCTGGTAATGGTGCCAAACTACAGGAGAATACCGTCAATATATAAAACATCTCGATATCAGAGGGACTTACCTGGAGCGAATTGCTCTTCTTGACGCCTGCGCCATCCACAGTCCATTGCCAGTAGGCACAAACGGGATCATTCAGGGAAAAGCTTGCGGGAAAAACAAAGGTAATACATTCGTTTTTGGCGTATTCATACCAGTTGAGTTTGCCGTTGTAGATATACATGATGCAGAGAAACTGATGGAGGTGTTGGGCGGATTGCGGAGAGCTCGAGGCTCTTTGACTGCCCCTTTATACTGGAATAGCCAGACACGAGACATGGAATGACCACGAGGGTACGTGCTGTGAACGCCGTGAATTTTGAGAAGACACCCTCGTTCTGTCGAACCTTGAGCTTGACAATAGGCTGACTCCAGGGCCCTCCAAAGTCTTACTTCATGGATTCAACGCCTCCAAACTGCAAGGCCAGGACCCGGGAGACACCACAACCAACTAAGAAGCCTTGAGGTATATGCTGTAAGCGAGAGGTACTTGTGTTCCAATGCCCTGGGTGGGCGATACGAATATGATTAAAGATGTTGTGTTTCCAGAAAATAGATCAGGACTTAGTGTTCGGCTCAGGTCGCAGAGTTCGCAGCGCAAAAGGACATTGGTGCGCGGCTGTCGAAGGCGATATCCCATGTCGCAAAGGGCCCCACAAATCATAGTTATCACCATGACTAGATGACACATGTTCAGCAAGTTATGGTCACTCAGGATGAAGCCATTCCCACCAGTGACCAAAGTGGCAGGCTCAGGATTGATAACCATTGTGTTAAAGTGACGGTTCCAGGGTGAAGCGTATCCATTTCTATACAGCTACTAACGCCGTTCCTGCCAAAATGTTGAACCTGAACCGAAGAACGGGGGTGGACAACGATGATAGTTTTCACTGTCGACTGGAGTTTGTGATAGGGTTCAAGTCGAGACCCATTCCTTGCGCAGTGTCTAAGCGCTATGAGAGTTTGTATACATTGAGCAAGATGGATACTTGTTGTAAAAGGAGGATGACGCACCTGAGAATCCAATCGAAGTGTTGGCAACGTAAGATCGATTTCAATCACGTAAATGAGCAGCTGCACGGATCGTTCTTATGGTAAGTTCGCGGGGGAACTGCAAGCGAGTCAGCCACTAAAGCTATAAGAACGCTCCCTTGACAAACTTTGAGGTCTGCGGCGATGAAGGGCCACAGTTTCCAGATGTAGCCCATCTTTTGAACCGTATGCGGCTCCTGATATCTATCGTCGTGTCATAAGCGGAAGGTGTGTAAACATAGTATACCAGATGCCTGCTTCTGAGATAGATAACCGCGAGGTAACTCTTTGAAGTATGATAGTCACAAGCCTCATGTCTGCGGGGAAGAGGACAGAACAAGGAAGGACTAGGGAGGATCGGGTGCTGTACAGACTGAGCAGGTTGGCTTATTACTAAGAATCCATTTCGGCTCGATGGTCGGTGTAAACTTTGTGATTAGAACCGACGTATTCCTTTAGACTCCAGACTCTTCGGTTTCTGCCAGGTTATGTCAATCACCATCCAGGTTAACGGCGCTTGCCAATAGCTGAGCAATGTAGGCCCGCCAAGTGTCGACATGCTCAACTTGAAGAGCTCATAATCAGGCTGCCACTGATATCTCCGCCCAGAAACATGATGCTCTAATCGTAGGGGGAACGGTGCACAGTGCGGTCAGACGAAGAATCGGCAGATATAATAATGAATTTGCCTTATTGACAGCCTTGCGTGACGGGGACGTCAAACTCTGATGTAGCTTCGATTGGGATAGATATATCCTAGGCCTCGATATACTTGAACGGGAGGCACTCCATTTAGACAGGCAGGAGGATGCCCAAAGATCCTTAATGACGTTTTACTGAGCGGCTCATCTTTAATGGCCAGCTACATATGACTCACTTCATGTCACCAACGACATGGAAGAACTTGGACAGGCAAGCCTGAGCACGAGCAACCCATACTAGACGTACTGCTGCCGTCAGGTACCTGGCTTGGAAGATCCTCGCAGGTTTCGAACCCGTATACCTGCTTTGATATTGGCAGTGCAAAATCGTAAAGAAGATCCGGGTCTATAGTTAGTAGTTGGGAACCAAATCCAAACCAGGGGAGTACCAAAGGGGGAGATTGCGGTCCATGATTGGATGAGTACCTCTCACATAATGTGGCACGCCGACAGCGATCGCGACGATTCTGAAAGTGCGAGATCGAGAGAAGCAAGCTCAGCTCCTAACGTGGAGGGTATAGAGAATTGTAGTCACGACCGATCGCCACTTGGTATTCGTACTAGTATACTGAAAGGTGGTTTAAGCGCAACATGACATGCATAGTAGAAGATACACTTACCGAGCGATATCTCGTCGACGGTATACAGATGACAGCATGTGGAATTAGCATAAAGCCAAAGCTGTCCCACCGTTATTCTCGGCGACATCAACAAACAAAGCGAGTCGTTCCTCCTTCCTGCGAGGAAGCTCGTCTAATCCTAACGACAAAGCACCCAAGTGCTCCAGCTCTATCTCGTTCAGCTGCACCATGAATCCTCTATTCGGAGATGTGCTTGGTCGGGTTTGTAGGATCCTTCCCAACGCTTGCTTGAGCGACATGCGTTTCCTTATCACCAAGTAGGCAGCCACGACTGCAGGTGAACGCGAGATGGCGGCTGAGCAATGCACAAGTACCTTGCCTCCTGCCGCTTCGACTGAGTCGAGAAAGATGGCTGCGCGATTCGCTGCATGCAAGAGAGATGACGTTGGCGAGTCTATAAGCGGAATGCGTTCATAGACGACGTTCGGAAAGTGAGTAGTTGGGGTGCTACCGATGGAGAGAATGTGCGTTATCCCAACAGACGAAACAAAGGACGAAGAAGCAGCTGAGCAAGGGCCCAAGTAGAGATATGGATCGAGGATGAGAGAGGCTGATTCTTTCATCGTTGTTTCGGTCTTCCTTGGGTGTGGCTTCTTGCCTTTCGCCATGTGCATGAGTTTCCGGGGAGACACTGGGGAAGATAGATGGTGAAATACACTGAGCCTGCTTAAGCATGCTAGGAATTAAAGAAGAGTTGGCACCGGAAACTGGATGATGGGCGGTGGCGCGTCGAAGGCAGAGGCGACCAGGCGACACAGCTCGGACTCGCGATATCGATTGGACTTGATCGTACTTTGACCTCTATCCACCACCAACGTCCTTGCACTTCGGTGTCTGCTCCCTTTACTTTTCAATTCTCAGCATATTATTACTTCATATATTTTCTTGAGCAACACACCGGCTTGTATGTTGACATCTTCAGATCGTGCGGGACAATCAGGTCTTGCGTGCGCCGGTAAGGATTCCGAGTTTGGGGGGTGCACATCGTATAAAGATGTTTCTCGGTTTCTCTAAATATTGCTCTCAGGTAATAAGGTTGGCCTTCCCTCAGTTACGAGCTGCTAGTGTTCACCTTTCTTGCTATGTCCCTGACACTATGGGTGGCTATCCAACTGCAGGAGATGAAGTAAGTTATTCTCCTCAAGCTTTCAAGACATGTAACTTTAAACACTTACCCTCCAATGGTGCAGGTTGTCCTGTCAAGCTGGCATGTACAGGTGCATTGAACTTTTCTGTTTAATCATTTTCTTCTGGAGGGGCATTGACAATGAACCTGTTTAGAACAGTGTCACTGTGATGATTCAATATCTGATCTGTGTCTCCTACCTTTGGCATTCATAAGAACATGTGGACCAGCCAGTGCTTTCTTGGACAATGAATTAGTTTATTCTTCCTGCAGCTGGGGTCACCTGCCAGAAACCTAGATTTATACTCCTGCTCACTAGGGCAGAGAACACTAGCCAGGTGTTCACTGTCCAGCGAGCAGAGTTAGATTTTGGTTTTTGGTAGATCATGGCATTGTGCAAGAATCTTTAATAACTACATACCTCTCATAGATGACGAACCAGCTATTCAAAGTATCTTAGTGCGACGTTCATCCTCTCCGTACCCACTAACCATTTGTTGACAGGCAGTGAACATAGCACTGACGTTCATACATGTTTCTTCGAAACTTCTGCCGAAAGAGAGTTACTCATACTTGTCGAGTCGACAATAGACGAGCTTACAAGAGATAAGACAAGGAATCACAAACCGAGGACTCAGTCCCAGGTGCCCTGCAACTTTCGTAATTCAGCTTCGTTCAATTGACCTTCATTGAAACTAGGCTCTTCACCGCCTTGAAGATGGAGCCATTGACTGGTGACTGCACAATAACAGTCTGAATGCAATGACAAGGTGAACACGTCCCTAACCTTTATGATGAAATAGTTTATGCTCAATGTCAAATCTTCAACGCAAATACCCAACTATCTCTCACCTCGTAACGTTATCACTTCCAGCGAAGACAATTCATCAACATTTACTCGATGTGTATCATCGGATTGGGTACTCAATGATCTAAGAGAACTTTTTCAGTAAGCTATATTGTCGAGAGACATGTTTCTCACCTCAAATATTGAATCCTGACTCAAAGCTTGTTACAGGTTCTAATTCATGTCGTTCACAATGTCGATCCTAGCGGCAGCCACGCGCGATCACGTGTAGAGAGCAATGATTCCAACCTCCGCGCTCACTCAGAGTAGATTCATCGTCTCAAGAATCTCAAGTCCGACCATAAGGGAAAAGGCGTAACACCTCCACATCCCAAAACTTCAACCACACCCGTTACACCCAAGTAGAGGTACGCGCCACACTGCGCCGTATATTCGCCCATCATAAGTGCTTACAGTTTCCTTCGAACTCGTTCAGTATGGCCACAACTCGACATGATCTCAACCACGCGCCACTCAATGGGGCCATCCAGGCCACCGTCCACGATCTCGATAAAAACAATAAACCGAAAACTATCGACAAGTCCATTTCAGCCAACCATGTTCCTCCTCTGTTCCGACTTCCCGGCGAGCTCCTCATCCTCATTGGGGAATTTTACAATGAGGAGATGTTTCGTCTCTTGTCAATCAACGCCAGCGTATCTGGCCGGGCAGTACAACCATACGATTTTCTGGCCCTCTCGCAGGTCTGTCGTCGCCTGAGAGGTGTGTTGATATCTGCCGCCAACCTCTGGACCATCATCCCTTCGCTACCATCGACCGATCGAGACCTCGTCCTGGAGCTACTGCAACGCGCCGAGCCCTATTCCGTCGCCTTCTTCGCAGTGACGAAAGACCCATATGAACAGCTGGTTCCTCAAATACGGGCTGCTTTACCTCAGGTGCATACGATGGCTGTAGAGTTCGCGCTGGACTTCGACGATGTAACACCAGCCGACTTTCACCCTGTTGTGGGTATTGCGCCACAACTGCAGTCGCTTGCGATAAAGCAGACTGCTATCCCTGACACCGGCGAGGTGGAGATTCCGGACATCCTAGACGGCGTCGACATGCCCAAGCTCAGGTCGCTCGAAGTGATGAACCTTGAGTTTATCCCTGCTCAATTTCCATGGTCAACCGCGCTCACTAAATTGACTCTTACTGTTAGTCCAGACGTTGGCCTTACCTTTACGATACCGCCAATTCAAGACTTGCCAGACGTCTTCGACCTCTTACGCGAATTGCCTCAACTTGAAGACCTTGAGTTGAACGGTGCAATTAGTTCCTTAGGGAACAATTTCTCGTCTTTATCTGACGTCAAAGTCGAACTACCCTATCTTCGACGTATTCAAGTGGCCAATCACGGCCGAGCGCCTCTGTTCCTTCTCAAGCACGTTGACATGCCCAGCAACGCAGTTATCCAGCTTCAGTTCAAGTCATTGATGTTCCCTGGAAGTATTGTCCAGGTTGTGGAGGCTGTCAACGAAAAGCTCAACGTGTCAGCGCCACTCTTCGCCCTAGCTATTAGGCCAGTTGACGGAGGGCACAGCGGTGTGCTGGTCGATGGGTACGCGGGAGTCTCGTCTTTGCAGCAGATGTGCTCTGGTGATATACTACCCCAGCTTCAACTCCAGTTCCCGCCCTTCGGGCGAGAGCCATGGGTACCGGTGTTCTTTTCTGCGATCTCGAGACTGCCTCTGTCAGAAGTGGGCGTGCTCTACATGGGCGACTGGAGTGTCAAGACTCTCACGGAGGATTCACTGGTGACACTTCTCCATGAGATGCCTCGACTCCATACGCTCTGCTGGGCAGACCCTGTTACTCAACATCTACCCTCGGTCCTCCTGGCCAATGTCAACGATTTGAAGTCGTCTGACGCACTTGACGTGGTTGTCCAACGCCCGCCGCGACTCGATAGCCCTCTGATCACGCCTTCTATTCGAACACTTATCATACACAATGCCAGTCTTGGCGGAGATGCGGATGCCATTCAAGTTTTCCAAAATCTGCGAACGGCTTTATATTTGCGTTACACGCAATGTATGCCCATCGACACGCTTCTATTCCACCATTGCAAAAACCTCTCGAAAGAAGATGTAAGTTCACTTGCTTCCCTTGTGAATAAGTGCATTTGGGACGACACTGTTGTGTTACTAGCGTGACCATATCCGCCGACAGTCTTCACCTATGTATCCTGTCCGGAGTGTCTTTATCTCGTCAATCAAGATACGTTAAAGTGTACACGTAATGCATGTAGTTTGTTTATATTAGCTTCCGAAATGTAAACCGTCATATGCTTCTGGACGGTACTTTAGACTATTAGATCGTCGTCAAACCGCATTTCGCACATGGATCTTGAACGTTTGAAGTTTGGAGCCTTCAATCTTTTTGAGTTCACTTTCACTGTAGTTGGGGGTTCAACAAGTGCAGAATTATACCAGATCTCATGTTCCTCGATCCGTTGACAGTTACAGGCTCGAAGCAGGGTCAGATCAAGAGTCACGTTTCCAGAAGGGAAAAGACTTATGAAGGAGCTAGAAAATGTTTTCTCTCAGTGGAAGAACATTAGCGAAATCATGATTTCCCCAGACTAATCATTGTACTTAGTGCCAAATGCGCAATGACAGAAAGGACTCTCGTGCTGAAGTTTTCACGACCTACGTGCTCATGATGTTCACTATTGGTGGTCTCGTACACACCCAGCCACTCTAGGTCTTCTAATCGCCGACCCACGGCTAAAGAAACAAACCGAAAAAGGGAGATCGAGTTTTTACCCATCACACTAAGGGTAGATCGATGGTGTGATTAATCGATCATTCTTTCAATTCCCGCCCGGATGCGGAAGTGCGCTTTCAAGTCGTTCAAACCAAGCTGCACTGGATGACTGATTGATTGGTACAAAATGACATAACAGAAATACATTAACAACGATATCAACATGTTTTATGCTTTGGATCAACATGCATGAAGATGTAGATAAAGATTATAATGGGTCAAGTGCGCTCGACAAAAATTCAAGAAAAATCGGCGTTCCAGTATTGCGACCTTTCGAAGAGATTCAGGTATAGCGTCCAGCGTGACTTGTCGCAGTTGAAATCAAGATTTTTGTATCTGAAGTCGTAGAAAGTCAAAGCCATACCTTCATATAAGGCGATGAGGACACAATCCACTAGTTAGCATTGGCCCAGAGTTGCCGTCAGAAGGCCGAGGTACACATCTGGAATGAGTGATCTAAAGGGCAATCTCTGAAGACATCAGTAACCACACAAGGCACTCACTCGTGCGGGAACATGCGACGTTTCAATGTCGCTCGCGCATGACCGAGGCTTCGCTGCCGTATCTTGCAGCGAATTAAGAGGTACATACGTCACTGGAAGGGGGCTCGTGCAGCGGAGTAAACATGGCAAGGGAATGTAGCTCCAACCCAATAGCGAACAGGGTAATGCTATTGGGTCCAGCCTGTTGACTTGGCCTTACGACACTGTACCGGGTGTCCACGTCGGATCTCGGCCACCTCGAAGTAGGTTTGCAGGGAACATCGTAGGACCCAAAGTAGCAGCGCAGATAACCGGGCGGGTTAAGGGATATCCAACGTATGATGAACTTGACACGAAGGTTCTTTCTTTGACGAATGCGGAAATGAGTCATAAGATTCGAGACCTGGGAAGGGAAGCAGTGACACAAGAAAAGACGACAATTGAGTCTGCTAAACTAACTGTTTTCTAAGGAAGCACTTACAATCTTATGTTAATTCAAGTCCTATAAGTTCTCGAAACTTTATGGACTGCAGGATACCGAGACCGAAACAGTTCGAAAAGCTTCTCAACGACTCTCGCAGAAAAACCTGTAGGAATGTTGCCGATTAGCGATAAGTTTGCGATTCGTGTGCTTAAATCGTTCTCTGTAAGCATCGCGGCATGCTGTGAGCGTAAAGCACGTAGAATCGAGAGACACACTTTACCGGCGTTTCCTCCCACTCCACGACCATTTGCCGAACGCGGGCATTCAACGTCGCCTTGCAGTCCCGACAAGTGAGCAGCGGTTCGATAATAGAGATAATTGACCGAAGGCTTCCAACTGACGTGCCTATACGTAACAATGGAGGATCAAATTCAGCTCTGAGTGCCCTTATGATTGATAACTCACTAGGACAAGCACGGGTTTGGAGGCTAGCGGTTGCCAGATCCCAGTGTCTCAGGAGACGAAGCTGATTGTCTGCACCACATGTACGCGTCGGAGCATGGGTAGCAGGTGGTGTGAGCAATAACCCTCTCACTACCTTCGTCCGACGAGAATGGAGTACAAAAAGCTTCTTCAGGTACAGAGAGCCCATTCGAACCGCGATTTCGTCGGTGATCGAGGAGAGGTTATATGATATGAGATACGAAGACGCCGCGGCAGCGAGGTCGTACAAATCATTTTCGGCGGCGAGAGTGTAAAGCTCAATTGCACGAGACTGAGCCAAAGTCGCTAAAGCCGTAAATAGTGGTGTATTGGCGCAAACATACCGATCCAAGGGGATCCCGTATTTCTTGAGGGTATCGAGTGATGCAATGAGGACGGCCGAAGTGGGACGAGGAGAGCCGATCGGTCGATTGTAGATGGCGTGAAGCATAACACTTATTAACTGCGAGCTTTCCGGCAATGCAACGATGGCCTCGACGGGCGGATCGAGAAGGAAGGCAAAGTGGTTGGTGGATGCAGCGAGGAGACAGCAATGGTGGACATGAAAAACGACTCGGTTGGCGGATGTGAGAACGAGGTCGGGTGGTGCTGCGTCGAGTTGGGCAGTAGGATGGAAGACAGGATGGGTGGTGGGTGGCGCCATAACGGTTTCGTCGCTTTGGGGTCGTCTTAATGCAGCGGCTGGGTCGTCCGGGCGAGCTTGCTTAGGTCGGAGTTAACGAGATCGAAAAAGATAACTTTGAGAAGCAAAAACAAGAAGGGATCAAGAATGGGTAGTATACAATGAGGTGAAGCAAGAAAGACTCGTTGAAAACATCGAGGGTGACGGACGACCGTAGGGACCCGGTGGAGGATTGGAAGCACGCCCCGATTGAGCAACAGAGATAAAGTATTGCACTTATTCAGCGCCATGCCGCCAGCGACGCAACCGGATTCTATTTGTCCCGCACCGGCTCGCAACGCTCCTCGTTCAGTGGAGAACAACCTCTCATATTGCCCTCATCTCCTGTGTTCACCGGCATGTTTTCTGGCATCGATGTGGTAGGAGAGTTTTGTTATCTCCTTACAACTTGATGGCGTGAATATCAAGACTAGAAAACCAAAATCCCAAGCTTCAGCCTACTCACAGGTAGACGGCACCGATGGCTCTAGGATTGGGCTGGACATTGTCTTGTCCGGAGTGTCTTTATTCCACACATGATCCGCCGCCGTGAACATATCCAATGTCCCCTGCTCGACGCAACCTACGTTGCAGGCAGACATCCTGACCCAGCCCGAGTATGCACTTTACTCCTTCCCTGAAATCCATACTAAAACGTGTACTCGGGTGCATGTGTATAGACCTTCCATTGTCCCCCCCAGCAAGCCGTCTACGTGTTCTCGGGCCAACATTAAGGAGTGACTCCTCCCCGCGTCGATGTGAGCGCTTTGGTGAATGTGACCTGGCATATAGAAGGGCCTGCATCGTTCTAGGGCTGATAGAGGAATGGCGGGCTCGGGGCGGTGTAATGACCCGTAGCGAATGTCGCCGATGAGGATACTCTCGCAAGTTCTAGTGCTCACCACACGACGATTGTCCTGGAATATCGGCCGAAACATATGCGTCACCAATGATCGAGAGGTCTCGTACCCCTTAAAAGTGGCCTCCTAAGAGGGACAATATAGAGTTTCGCTCTCCCGATAGCATGTTCCCCTAGAGCTGACGTGGCCTCGCCAATTCCACCGGTCTTCGCCAGGATGTTGTCTTCCTCCACCCACAGATACAGCATTATGTCGTCACTTGAACGCAAAAGGTTATTTTGGCAAGACTTGGGTTTTCAATGATGACGCACGCCTGATCAACCCAATTCGCTCGGATTTCCAAAGATTCAATCGACCACTCGACATGTTATAACAGCCGAACCCCAATGTCCGGTCACAGTATGGGTAGGCTGAATCCCATATTCGCCTTTGATGGTTCGTGTAACCAGGACAAGGGAATGGTGTTGCATATCAGTATGGAACTGGGTCAAGAGTTCAGTTGATTCCGACCGCAGTTGTCTTTTATGCGAGACCAGGAAGAGATTGATAAAGCAGTCGTCGGCACGTCGTTCTAGCCATCTTTTTCCCCAAAGCTTGTCGGATGAACGGTCGGCTTTTGTAGATGATGATCGACGTGGAAGAATCGTCGTGAAGGGGATATGCCGCCGTCCTGTTTCCCCTTTGGCAGCAGGTGGGGTAGCCGCCAACACTACCCAGTGAGTGACGTGCGTTTGTGAATGTCTACCTCAAAGGACGTTCTTCTCCAGCTCACGGCAGTGAACGATCGCCGTGGGGGATGTTGTAGACCAAAAGACACCGGAAGCATGCTTTTACAAGGACGAGATTGTACGGACTCCGATCATAGTCGCACATGCGATACCTGTTGTTGTTCCTCACCGACCAGACGGCGTTGATTCTCCGGCAGAGTGACAGAGTGTTGAATCTTTGTTTGATAGAAGATATCTCTGCCTAAACTGATACTATACATGACAGGACACCCGTTCCCCCATGATTCACAGATATTCATCTCGTGTGTTTACTACCCCCAGTGCCAAGGCTGCAGCTTACCCGCCCACGCGCGACTACCACCGACATTCCGCGAGATTCCTACCGGACGACCAGCTTCAGCAGCAGCGCCGACCGTATGAGACCCTGTTGTTCTGGATGCCCTTACGACACGACGAACTGTCGTGGATAGATTCATAGCACTCAATTGCTCGTTTCTCGACCGATAAACCCTCAGCCAGCAAGACGTACATTCAAACGACGGACTGATTCTTCCTGCGTCACCTCCAGAACATCAATACACCTGTTGTCGTACTGCTGGTCCTCCAATTTAATCCACCAACTAAGTGTGGTTTATCGGGCCTCAGTAAGGAAGATAAGAGGGGTTGTGGTAGTCGCACAGAGGAAAAGAGCAAGAATTGGTGTCACAGACTCCTGTTGTCAACTTCAGGGCCCAATGATGGGCCGCTCTGGAGTGTAATTACCTCCATAGTGTCGTCATGTTTTGACCCTGTTGAATTTACTCAGCTGCAAAGATTTGATAGGGGTGATTCCTTTGTCTAACTATTTTCATGTTTGAAAAGAGAGGGCTTTGGGCTTTCGAAGAGTCAGTCAGCAGTGGGATGATCGGTATTTAAGTTGAAATAGGGAGGCGACTAGAGTTTCGTGATCAGCCATCATTTCAATCGATCGCTGACACCTGTTATAGTCATCGCTCTTTTTCTGATGTTGTTGGAACTTTGAAGGCTTTAGCCAGGGTTTCTGCCTTCAAGAAACTCAACTAACCCTATTATACGGTTCAAGAAATGGACCTTGCAGGCCAAGCATGGCGAAAGAGGCGAGGCGCTCTCTAGCCAACTCGCCATGACTTCAGCAATGACATCGCTAGGATCGAGTTTCAAAACGCTCTTGTCTAGACAACTTAGTCTCCCCCCCAGGCAGACTGATATACAGGTCTATAGAGGGGAGGACAGACGACTCGTATTAAGTAGACAACTGGGAAGTAGGGATTATTTTATCTACATTAACTATGATTTTGAATGACAAGCCTAGACGTTCTCGCCACTCAGAATACTTAAATGATGTGTAGTGCAGATACCGGTATGTTCATAATCTGGGCAGGGACATTCAGAGCATCCAAACACAAATTTCGGTAGTGACATCCCTGAGTCAAGAAACCTTGGATAAGATCGGCGTAATGAAGGCGAAGTCTGGTCTTGAAGTTTCTTGACGATATTCGCCGTCTTTGCAAGATCGTTTCTGCAAAGAATAGGAAACGCCATCGTTCACCTCCATGGCCTACCTTGATTCGTCTCCAATAGACCGTGTCGCGAACAATGTTTCGACTTTGGCTGAAGCGCTTGGACGTCGTCAGGGAACGCGATCGCTCATTGTAGGCGGCGAGAATGTCAAGCATTTCTACCGCGCTACTTACTCCGGACGCCGATACTTAGTGGAGGATCATCCTCCACAAACCATTGCCTTGGATGAACTAGTTTCAGGTTTTCCCTGTCCCGGGTCATTCGGCGACAGATCGTTCTACAGCTCGCTCCTTGAATATTTGGACCAACGACTCCCGCGAGACCACCCATTGTCCAAACTGGAAATTGTAAGTACATGGAAGCAGAAGCTTATCCTAAGCCACGCTGAACTTCTTACATGAACTCCTAGACAAGTTAAACGTCCAAGAAGGGAAGTTAGTTCACTTCCTCGTGCGATGATAACCTCACCTTATCTTTACGATACACCTTCTACCACATCCAGGTTCGAACAAGATACGACTCTAGATCTACTGCAGGGCGTTTGCATCAAGTAGCGTCTGGTAGAAGTGCATTCGGATGTGGCGTCAGCTTCTCGGTTTCTATGATGGACGTATTTCAATTATACCCACGTCTTCTTTCCGATTACCTTGGCTCCGACTCCGACCAGATCTGATGTAGGAGCACTCGCGGCAGAGGTTCTTGTGATAGAAGAAGATGGTGTTCCGCCGAAGGCCTTTCCAGTGCTTCACGGGTGCCGGTGAAGCTCGAAGCACAACCCCTTGTCCCAGACCTTACGTCAGGGACAACGTTGAACGGCGTGTATGTATCCATGGACGTCGCTTTGAATACATACATAAACCCCATGTTCCTTTATTTTTCTGATCTGCAATTGAGAACGGATGAACACGGATATTTGTACACTCTATATTGACAAGGGAACGGAAAAAGAGACAGCAAAGTACCCAAAGGGGAGAAAAAGAAGAGAGAAACAGAGCAGCAGGCAACCCCAGGAAGAATGTCAATGTTGAACGCGCGGGGAGAACAAGGACGTCACAGCAACAAGTGAAAGGTAGCCAGGATTGGAGCGGAGGATGTGAAGCAATTTTTTACAGGTATGTGTGTAAATGAAAAGGCATTTGTGATGATGATTGTTGGGTGGTATGAGTGCATGGGGTAACGGTTTGAGTGTAGAGCTAAAACAACAGAAGAAGAAAAAGAAAAAAGGTTGAAGAGAAGAGATGCAGCGAAAATGGTATGTACGAGAAAAAGGGGGGAATCAAAGATATGCAGGAGCACTAGAAACTGGTACAACACATTTGGAAGCGTATCGCAAGTGGAGGGAGAAAGACAAGGCAAACCAGCCAAACAGAGAGAGAAGAGGTCCGTCAAGAAAGAGGAACGACCAGCATGGGTATCTCTTCATTCAATCTTAGGTGCAGAGCGCGAAAAAGAAGAAAGCGAAGACGAACGATAACAAGCATACCGAGCAATCGAGACCGTACCATCTATATCGCAGCTTCACACCTTAGCTCGACCCCTGCTTCGCCCCTGGAATGGAGAGCATCGGCAAAGCTCCTCTGCTCAAGGCGCCAATGTTGGTGACGCTCTCCTCCCGTCTCCCCAAAGCCCTAGCACCCAGCCCACTTCCACTCCTAGGTCTATTCGCTTGCTGCCACTGACCTCCGAACCCATAACCCAATGGGGCAGAATCACTTCTCGCACGGGATCCTTTTTTCGATACCAAATTGTTGGCACTAGCACCGGTTTCGTCGGTAGCCGAATTCGGCGCAGTTCGTTGACGTTTGGCACTACCACGCCCTTGTGAGTCGTCACCACCAAAAGGATCCAACCCCCCTGGACCGGGGGAAGGCGGCAAGGGTGTAGAAAGAGCAGTCTCGTACCTTGCGGTTGAGACCCCGTGGGGCATATGCCCATGTGGATGCATCTCGTATGTTGGCGGCATATGTTGATAGGATTGTTGACGAGAGAGGGTATTGGGAGTATGAGTATGAGAAGGGAACTCAGCGGCTGTTGGGCTGGAGCTAGGGCTGAGCGAGTGCAGCGAGTGCAGAGAAGGGTTACTAGACAGAGACCCCAGAGAAGGATAATGAGAGTGATGTTGATGCGGCAAAGGGTTCGTAGGTGATGTGACTAAGATGTTAGGGCTGTCATTCGAATCTAGCAAGTCCTGAGGAAAGTTAGGCGGAAGGGCTAGTCAAAGGCCAGGAAAGTCAGAGGATAATCATGACCCAACGTCGACTACACCTACCGCCAGGGAACGTCTTGGAGAAGACGTCATACAACGCTTTGGTGATATTCACCAAGCGATCGACCTTATTCCTCTCCGTGTTGACTGCATGCACCAACCGCCTATTCTCGTCCCTCATCTGAGTCAGTTGAGCCGCTACTTCGCCTGGGAGCTCGACCCGGTGCTTGATGGAAGGGTCGGGTTCGAGCGCTTTGCGCTTGATTTCTTCCAGCAGGTCGGGTCGCCCACGAAGGAACTTGTGATGAGAAAACTCCCAAGTCTGAACGTCAGTTGAGGTGCGCTGAGCACGCGGGGTACGATTGATCTTGTGGAAACCGTACATGTTCAGTTGTCGGACGAAGCTTGAGAACTGGTGCAAAGACGGTCAATATATGAGCTAAAAAGAGCGAGTAGCTACTGACGTTGTTGTGCTTGAAATGAGAACCAAGAATGGTCCGACTGAACTCTCCGACATTCGAAACAACAAAACTGAGGATGTCAAATGTCAGAAGAGAACATCACGAATGATATAGTGGCGGTAAAGCACCTGGTACCAAGTTCCGTCCAGCTTATGAACTGAGCGGATTTTGGGTCGTTGATCATCCTGTAACGAGGCGATCAAGATGAGGCGAGAACAAGACATGTAGATGTGAAACGTACTGATACAGCTTCGTCACAAAATTGTTCGTCCCAAGCGGCTTTCCAAGGACATTGACCTGTCCAGGAATGGTAGGCGTCGCCGACGCGTTGGACGGAACCTGCCCCTCCATAGCCTTCGCTTGATCGTCTTGTTCCCCACCACTGGTACTTCCGTCCACCGGACTACCCTCAGCGTCTAAACCGCCATAGTTCATATCTACTTCGTCGTAGGGAGACGTGTCCATGTTGGAGCCGGCGTGATCGTAATTGCCAGAAACTGGCGTCGGGGCGTTTTCCTCATTCACAGCGTTTGGGAGAGGAGTACCTCCGGTGGTCGTGAAACTTCTCTTTCTCGGTACGGATTTTTCCGAGGAGGATGAAGAGCGGCTGCTTGTGAGACGCCGTGTCGAACCATAGGGCTCATATTGAGGATCATCATAACGTACTCCGCCGCCGCCGTGTTCAGGAGGTGTGAACTGGAAGGGTTGCTGTTGGTGAATATGCGCGTGATGATGATGGTGATGCGGTGAGAGTGCGTTTTGGTGGTGCAATTGCGCATTGGACGGACTGATGGGTGTGAGCGGAGACATATGTGACCCTGGATGTGGGGACGGGTGTATAGGGGAAAGATTGGTAGGGGAGGTGACCGATAAGGAGGAGAGGTTGAGAGATAGCGCTGTGGAGGACCTGTCGACCATACCGCCGTCGTTCAGCCCAGACTGTCCAGGAGCTTGTTGCTGGGACTGAGAATAGAATGGAGGATAATGGTGGTCGCCGAGGGACGTAGAGGGAGACGACGGGGACGGGAAGGAAGACTGGTTATGAGTCGGAGGAAGGAGATGCGGGGTAGCGGACCATTGAGACTGCTGTTGTTGAGACTGTTGCTGCTGAGAGGAGTAATGGTCCCCGCCCGACGGCATTGGGTGCGAATAGTGTGAAGCGGTTGGATCCATGAGAAGCGCAGAGAGAAGCACGAGAGAAGCCGGGATGTTGTTGGTACCACCTCAGGAAGGACGAGGCTCACGGTAGCGGTGGAAAGAGAAACAGTGAACTCGCGTGTGTGCGGCCGCTAGCAATCCACGCAATCAGCATGCGTCTGGCTCGAGACCCTAGATGTAGCTTGCGAGCCGCGATGAGGGTTCAGAGTGCCGTGAAGACTGCCGTGAAGACCAGGGTGAAGACAACGTGTGCAACCCACGCAGAGAACGTACTTTTCGAATCCCCCGAGATTGTTTCGGAACCGTGGCAATCAAAGCTGCAGAGGCGATCAGCAGGACATATAGCGATCAACGGTAAAGCTTCTGGGCTCCAGAACGTCGTGGACGACGAGGAGCGACGGATACGCACTGGACTGAAAGGGGGTCGCGGTGGTCAGAGCCAAGCTGGCCTAGCGGGTTTTTGAGGTGCAGGGTCGGGCACTTAAACCGTCGCCTTGCCGCTGTCTGCCCCTGCCAGCGCGCAAAAAACGTTGACGGCGAGCTCTGTGCACACTCAATCACTCATCCTGAGATGCATCATCCCTCGCTGTCCATTGCTTTCCTCGTGCACTGGCTCGCACAGTCATTTGCAGAATTAAATCATTTACTCAAGCCCCGGTATCCTATCTGACATACACCAGGCATCCCAGGACCCCCCGTCCCATAGGGTCATGCAAACCTTATCGTTTCCTTCTGTACAGTTACGACATCGTCTCGGAGACATTTCAGCACCTAGAGCAGCCCCTCCAACTCGGTTTCCGAACACCGAGCAAATTCGGAATGCTTTTCCCATCACCCATCACTAGCTTCTTCTTGGGGTACCTATGAGCCTTTTTCGGTCAGCTCAAGGTATAGCCCGAATGAAGAATGGAGCCCTGATCAAGCCCTGATCACAAGCTTTGAAGCACGTACCACACACTGTAAAACGACATGACTGACATGGGCTGTATACCCTGGGGGTCGCATCAATCCACCGTGAACACAGACACAGGCAGCCGAATCCGTAGATGCGCTCATCTCGCTCATCCCCGGTCGCGGTTGAACCTCACTTCGCTACCCCAGAAACTTACGACGCGTCCGATGCCATATCCTGGCAGCCCTTACAATTCGTCCGTCCATAGAGCAACAGCATTCAATCCAATGTTAGTCGATAGTCGAGGCAGACGCATGACGACAGAAATGATAGCATAGCGTTGTAGGTGAAATACACGCAGAAACGTGCAGGGTGAGGCATGGATTCACAGACTAGCACTGCGCAATGAGATCGTGTACAAGACGAGGCCCATGCAAAGCCTTGCGAGTATGAATAGATAGATGTCTTTCATCTTCAAGATCTTCAATCCCGATATATATGTATATGTATCTTAGCTTTGCATCATACCAAAAACGTTCGTTCTGATTCTGTAAAATCCAAAACCGCATGGTCAACTACAAAATCGCAAGCCGATCTCACGCGAGATAGACTCACCGCGAATCTGTCATTCATCCCATTCACCGTAACAACGACGATCGAGGACGCTTCCACAGAAAAGCCCTCTCCATGAAACCGCCTTCGTTGAAGGATAGATTCGTACAGAATTTTAGCCTTAGACTTAGCGTTAAGCTCTTGAATGCCGAGCGGAGGATAATCACGACGGTGATCCATATGCCATGATATCGGTCACCGGCAATGACAGCGACCCTATAATAAACCTCATACTCACGCTCAACATCGGAAACATCCATCCGGGCCCGACATATCCAGAAATATCATGACTGAGCGACCCAAGAATCTGTCCAATGTTCAATGCCCATCGTTCTGGACAGATCCTCAAGCTTCGCTTCAGACCTCATGATGCCAATCATCAGCATCATGATTCCATGGCCTCGGACGGTTAGTCAGTGTGAATGGTGTGAACACCCTCATATCGAAAGCACCTGACACCATCCTCTCTATTGCCTTAAAGAGCTGAAAGGTAATGACGACTCCAAGGGCTTTTGTAAATTGTGAGGCTAATGGGACCGAGGGAACCATTTCGGTAGTTCGCCTTGCGGATGGCACAATTGCACCTGACGTTGAAATAACATAAGGAGAAATCAAAATCAGAACGCCTATCCCAAAAAAGGTGAGAAATATAACCACTTACGATCCCATACGATGGGGATCATTGGGCCGTGGGGCGCAGGCACTGTCAGAATAAAATAAGCATGGAATAAGACCACAAGCACCCAAATCCAGTACCGGCGGAAAGGACAATACAGTTTAAACGTTACGACAATTGCACATGGGTCTCCGGATGCCATCTCAGACTTGTGTCGCGCAATGTTACCAGTGAGTGCTGAGCGAGCGACTTTTTACCGAATGAGCGGCACGAGAACCACGGAGTTGGATTCGCAATACCGCCGGACCAATTTGGAATGCTAATCGCTCAGGACTTGAAGCCTCAAGCTGCAACCGTGGCATACACATGGGGCAAAAACCATAGTCCTAAAGAAGTTAGCGCGTGAGTTTTGAGCGGCGAAAGGATGGAACGAGAGAAGAGATCCACCTACAAGAACTTTGGTATGGCGTCAAGCACGGTGAATAATTGTTCCTCCGCAGTGGAGAAAGGGCGGCTTGGGGGGACAAAATTGCAAGGTTTGGATGGGAGGGGGCATGCTACAAAGAACACGGGACGACAGTGGAAGCTGCCATCGGTAGGAATGAATATGTCCCGATTGAGCGGGATGTTCAGCCAGTCTGAAACGCATGTCATTGGATAGTCAACGAATTGAAAAACAAACACAGCGGAGAAGGCATACTTGACTGGTGTAACTATGGGCCCCGGTCTTCCATTCCAGCGCGTACGAGGACAGCCAGAAGGTTGAGCGGACCCGGCGGTCCCTTAACGCGAAAGCCAAAGGTGAGAGGTTCTATTCAATTCCGGTTCTTCGCACCACCTCGTGTAATGATGCATGTTGTTTCGCTAGGAAACAGAGAACGGGGAAAGGTTGGACGACTGTAAGCGGGAAAACACTTTGGCTGGCGCCCGGCGAAAATCCTATTCAAAGCGCTGTGAAACATGAACGCGACATACACGTTCCGGAAAACAAGGAGGTCGCCACTCGGGGATGCAATGCATAGTCAACAACAAACGTGTCAAACTTCGAGGCAAACCGTCACGAAGCTGCGTCGCGAAGAGATCGCAAGTTGACCAGAACCTGCAGCGAATCCTTCGCTGGTGGTTGTGTTGCGGACATATGTCATGAGATATTGACAGGAACGTTGAAAGGCACGGAATGTTTCGAGAAGTGTTCCTATTGAAAGTTTCCTGATGAACGACGTATTCTGCCCGTTTACCGACTAATTATGATGGGGAGAATCAAATAAAGAAGCAACGTACCGTGCCTCGAGTCAAAAGAGTCAAAAGTAGGAACGGGTTCCTAGTTCACGACCTCTTGAATCAATGACTGGCTTTCGTTCGAGAAGCTATGCCCACTCCTTCTAGCCGAGAATATACATTATACCTTTCCACCGGGAAGACTATCGTCTCCGCAGAACATCCGACAGCCCTACTGCGATCTCAACAGTTTGCTAAGCGCAACCTTACCTCCACCAAGCTCCCTCTCAACTGTCCAGCCTCTCTTCGATAGCCACGCCCACATATCTGGAAACCGTTCTGGGACTGTGCACACAGTCAATGTCCGAGCAGAATCCGACGGTATGGCGTCAACCATTCTTTGAAGACAGCCCGTTCTGCGCCACTCAGGCAGGACACCAGCTAGCCAGATATGCAATGTCTGCGTTTCACCGTTTGCCAGCGGAGACGAGTGTGTTCGAGGATAAGCGAACAGGAAAGCGATGGGGCGAGTCTCGTCGTTAGTAGATGTTAGATAGATGATGACCGACGATGGGTGAGACATTCGCTCTTTCCACAACGAAAGTGAAGCGTTCTTTGAGGTTGGATCAGCTGAGAATATGTCGTTCGACAATGCCAGAACGTCCTGTAACTCGGAATACAGGTTTGAAGACTGGTAGGTCAGAGTATGAATATTGAAGTTGGAGCTCATTCTTGACGTGCAATCATTGGAGCAATGTTTCCTGCTTGGAAGCGTAGATTAATGTAACCCATCGAGCCTGAGCTCTCTGAGATGAGAGGACAGTTGAGCCCGATGCATGAACATGTCGAGCAGGTGTAGCGGAACTTTCCGATTATCTGCATTTAGCAACTATCGTAGTTTATGACCATGCGCGAAATCTTAAAAGCCCTGACACGGCAGTAAGCGTGACTGTCTGGGACATATTTTGTAACCAAGCACCTCTCATGGAGGCCATAAGTTCTGTGATTCAAATCCTTCCCAACCCAGTATTTGAGGTCGCGAGTATAGGAAACCCCACCTTTCAATGCGAATCACTCAAGTATGGTCTCATTGCCAGCGAACGATTGCTCTGGTTTACTCTGCTCATGGGCGGACCATTAGGGTGGCCACTTCTCAGTGGATCTGTGAGCTTTTGGAGCAGGCAGGACGGCCTGTGTGCATGTCCGTACCAGTTCGATATTGTATTTGGGTGCGGTTGTAATTCATGCAAGCTTCCAATGAATTCAATTCCAGGATAACTAATAATACACTACAGAATCTTGTAAGCCCAATTGGACATCATCTAAACGGGACTACGAGGACCCAATGCTGATCACAAAATAAATACATCAAATCACAGCAAAGAGGTTAAGGAAGAAACATCGACCCTTACTCCTTTCGTCGACGTGAAGTGAAAATGGAGCTATACTGTCTAAAAACGTAGATATCAAAACCGAACGAAGACCCTGGGGCCGCCTTCGTGGAGGACTGCATTGAGCTCGTTTTCAGCTATCCTTCTCCTCCGGCCACTATCGTCCGCTTCGTTCTCGTTACGGGAATAGAGAACCGCCCAGTGGACGGAAAGGGATGTCAATCGTCTCTCAGACGCCTGAGCAGCAGTGAGCTGTAGGACAGATTCCGAAATTTTTCTCCGGGGAGCACATTTAACGATGTCAATGCCGCGGTAGTGCGAGCCCAACTCGAATGTCAAGGTTTCTAGTAGAGGGCTCGCCGACGCAGCAACGGAGGAAATTATAGAAACGGCGATCTCCCATAATCGCGTTCTTTCGTATCGATCGTTTGCGTTTACGAAGTAGAGTCGGATAGAGAGTGACCTGAGTCGAATGAACGCAGGAAGGGGCCAGTTAGTATTGCTGGAATCTGGATCAACGGAAAAAATGTGACTAAATACCTATAAGAATGCTGAGATAACTGATATGAACGCACCCTTGATGTACTTTGGCCTGATGCTCAAATGTTGAACGACTGGTGCAATTGCATCCAGTAATGGACAGGCCTCATCGAATGTGAGTGGACAACGTAGCGTCACAGAGCGAATGTCCTTCAGTGAAAGAGCGCCTAGAACGAGGGAAATTTGTTCAGGAGGGAATCCTAACCCCAGGAATAATTCGTCCGCCTGTGTTCTGGGTGCAGCAGTGGACACGGAAAGGTCCAAAGCATCGTCTAGAGACGACTCCTGACGCTTGCTTGGTGGAGCCGCATCATGAAAAACGATCGATCGAATAGTAGAAAACAACGCAATAAGCATGCATATATCGCGACTTGTGTTCGAGAAGATGTTGTGTAATTCGAGCGTATGAATGGCATGTCTCTTACGAATGCCCGGATCGGGTTCACCAATTGCACCGACTGGGTCGCTTGGACTGGGCGAGGACGAAATGCGTACATTGCTGATGAAGATGCTTCGCAAGCTGGGAAGCCATTCGAGAAGGCGTCCAAATTGATGCACATCGAGAACGGGAAATCCAAAAAAATGTGTGTGTATGTTTAGGCTTTTAATCGACGACCCTAGTGCATATTCCTTCCCAAGGACACACTCGGAAGATTGCAAGAGCTTCGCAAAAGCCGAGGCATCACATGCAGTGCGCTCGAAATAAAGAGAATACTGATTGATTTTGTCGATGTTGACGAGGGACCATACATGATAACGAGCCCTGTGAAGGAAAGAGTGAGAAACGAGATGGCAACTGAGAAGTGAATTGAAAGATGTATGAAGTTGGTCAACAATCATTTCAATCAGTTCTTGCGGCAGGATGACTGGAGCCATGTTCGAAATATACTGCACAGTCACGGTGCAAGACACCAACTTCGCAACCAAAGTAACTGGTAACCACTCGCGCCACGTGGGAACAGTGATTGGGACCGTGCACAATCCAAATTTGGGAACGTTCAAAGCGGCTCACTGCACGACAAGAAGATACGCACGTATTGTACTGTACGTACAGCATCCTCCCACTTTCAAAGTTTTTGGGGAATAAAAATAAGGCATATAGCTAGGACAAATGATGCGGGTGGTGGACACATTATCATCGTCCGAAGAGGTGTCAAGCTGCAACTGGCGCAAGCCAAAGATTCGATGGATGAAACGGCATTTTGGGAGACCATCTAGTAGAATCGGAGAGTATAGCATGTCAATGTATGTGTGTATTGTCAATCGTACCATGGGAGGAGATGCCGAACCAGAGGTTTTGCTGAATTGCCAGCGCGGAAGTGGATATGTCCACCAATCCTAGCATCGAGTGCTCAGTCGGCCAAGATATTGCAACTTCACCCGAAGCAACGAATAGCTGTTTGATTCTACGCCGTTGAGTTTCAATATTGCTAACCGAAAGGGTGCTAAGAAGACCAAAGATCCGCGGCTTCTGGTCAGAAAGCTCACTTTTTTATCATATTCAAAGGGAACAGTAGCCAGTGTCGACTATACCTTGAAATAATTGGGACAGAAAGGGGAACATATGCCAAAAACGACCTTGGCACGAAGACACCGATATTGAGCAATGGACGAGTCCACTGCTGCACCTTTACTCACCCATTCTCCACGTATTTCGTATTTACCTCGGGAGAAAGTTGAGCGGGAAAGCTGAAGGTTGCAGCGCACGCCAGGTCACCGCTGATGTGATCGTCTTGCGGTGTATCGCTGACCAGAACATGAACCGTAGGAGTTCTGACCGTTATATCAACAGTCGAAAATAACACGTGCGTCAAGTGGACCTGGTTATCAGCACTTGAAGTGGAGCATCTTCGCAAACATACGAGCCTTCCAACCAACCGGAGGAAGTACACGCGTTGGCGTGAAGCTGTAATTCAGCGACACTGGTTCCACTCGTTAGGTCTGGATGTATGCATATCATCAAAGATCCGGATAGCAAAGCGAACAGAAAATGAGAAAAGCAATACAAAAGTGCAACCTCGCCTATAGTACAAACAACAACTCGTCACAGTGTGTGCAAACGAATAATATTACTAGCAGAAACAGCAATTAGTAGGTACGCCAATTTGCACGTCCAGGTACTTACCCTTCTATGAGCGTGCCCATTCGTCCCATTCGTAATCTCTCGAGGATGCGTCGCGGTTTCGATACCTTCCATGGGAATAGGGGGAGGAGGCGGAATGGTTATATTTCGCCCTCGGAACTCATACTGTGGCGGAACAGGATCCAGCTTTAAGTAATATGAGATGTTATCCTGGGACGGCGCTGCGATATCGACCGCATCTAGTAGCAGACTGAACGGGGCTGAGGTGACGTACATAAGGAATGTAGGATTGTTTAGACTCACTTGCATTCATTCTGTAGTTTCCTGATTTTGGCATTGGCTACGGCCAGTTCATGTTCATATCGCTGTCTTTGCTAGAGGGACAACAATCAAACGACGCATCGTCGAAAACACGTCTAACGCTCACTGCTGTTACCGATTCGTACTTCTCTCTCAGCTCATGGAATCTAGCAAGGAACGCGTGAGCCTCGATCTTCAAGTTGCCACTACGCTGGCTTACTTGTCTTTATACCGCGTTCCCCTCGCAGGGAGAGGTATCTGTGATGAAATGAATCGCGAGGTCAAATGATATGGTCGACAAATAAGAACACGAGGATTGACTTTAGGCCTGTCTTCTTTCTCCTTCTCGAGTGCTCGAACAGACCTTGTTGATGAAGTCGACTGCGTCTGCTCCACGCGGGTCGGTCGCGGCGTCGACGTTGATGATGAAGGGTCCATAGAGGTATATTGGTGAACAGCAGGCAGCCAAGTAATAGGTGAGTGTCAGAACACGATACTGGTCCTAAGTGTACGCTGGTGAACAAGAAGGTCGTGTGGCAGTGCGATCACCTTCGACCTGGACCACCATCATTGTCCTCTCAGGACACAAGCTTCAGTATATCCTCCGGAGCGTAATTCCAATCCTGCACAATGCCTATACCTCTTCAGCTGTTTCATGGCCAAGGTTTGGGCTAATCTTCAGCGTGGAGGAGCGCTATACGTCTGACTTGGATCTGGTTACTGCCCAGCTTGCTTCAGTCCTTCCATTGCCCAGTCTACTGTCAAAGCCTGGGGCAAGTTCTGAAGCCTTCTAAGCGTGTCTGAATACTTATATTCTCTTCAGTGATGCACGGAGGAACGCTTGCACAAACAAAACAGGAGAAGTCACAGGCAGATTATTATTTCTGTGCGGACAGTGCAGATCCTTGGCTCCCCAGGTGAAAATATCTATTCTATATATGCCTTCCCCTCGCTCAGGATGGTCTCCAACTTTGGTTGCAGCCTGCTCCAAAACCCAATAGTAGTCTGTAGCAGCAATGCTTCAGGTTCTCCTTGTCTCTTACGTGCATGTCTACGTTCAGGTTTTCCATGCCGCTTGGATTACTCGATCCGTCGAAGCAAAGGTCTTGCTTCCCTGCGCATATTTTGTCCTTGATCGTAGGTCCTCGCCACTTCCACGATGAGTTACTGTGCTACAGTGTGCGTGTTCGGTCCAGAGCCGACTCCGTTAGCCAAATCTATGTCCGCCGCTATCCCAGTCAACTCAAGGCCCGAAGTTACTCCTCGACGTGGTACCGTCAGAAAGCGACAGGAAGTTGACCATGACACTCCAGACAGTGACCGAAGACCTCGCAAGAAAACCCGCCGAGCCGAACTGAAGATCCAGTCCCCATCTTCGCCTCTATCCGGAAAGGACCTATCTGTCCGCTTCTCATCCCCACCTGCAGCCAAAGAGCGAGACTTGAAATACGTAAAGATGATTCAGATGGTGAAGCCTTTGGAACTGAAGCTCCAAAGTTGCATCTCGAGAACTCAACCCTCGTCTTGTCCACAGTAATCACCATACTTGCAGATGATCAAGTGAAGATTCTGATTCGACCTTTTTAGAGCTTGGAAGGACCTTCTGGAGAAGACACAAACGATATCCCCCATTCCTCGAGTTTTGGTCTCTGATGCTCTGCATGCTTTGCGGGATGTTTCGACTGGACGATCTACACTGTTCGAACCAGAAGGCGAGTATGGTGGAAAGCTCTTCCGTTGCTTCCGTAAAGAACGAACCTGAAGCTATCTTTCGCTGGAATCCTTGATGGACCCTGGAGTTGTACTCTTGGTGTTCTAGCATCCTCTTCGCCCTCTCGCTTCGCTTTTGGAATCCTTCTCTGTCTCCGATTCTTCACTAGTGTGTTCGATTCCGCTTGTTAGTTGACGTATTGCTTCTGCGTTTCGTGGTGTGCAGTAGAGACCATGTATCGTTTTATTTTCATTTGCCCTCGTGGGGAATAGAACACCTGTGCGTGTGAGAGATTTCGTGTAAAGTCGGACGTAAGGCCGACGCGCTGCTGTATTTGGTTGTATTTGCTCCGGGTTGTGCCGTGCAGAGGAGACAGGTTTGCCAGCTTGTCCTGCACGACATTCAACGACAAATGGCTTCCAGGATCGCTGCCGGTTCCCTGAGGGCGTCAGGTATGTCGTCTTAGAATATATGGGCTGAAAGTCGTCGTCAATAGCTAATGAATGATATTAAAGCCTCAAGACTTCGACCCCAGGCGGTCTCTGCCATTCCTCGGGCTCTGGCTGCGTATGTTACATTCACGAACTTCAATGCATGGAAGTCGGTAGCTCATACTACGTGTGTTATTTTTTTTAAGCCGAGGAATGTCCACCAATAACCCACCCCCTCCGGCGGAGCGTGCGTCCGAACTCATTAACAAGCTCCCTTCGTCCCCCGGCCTCGTCACCAAGACTGGCAGCGTCATTCTTGGTACTGGTCTTCTCGCCACCGCAATCTCTCAGGAGCTTTACGTTGTGAATGAGGAGACCGTGATTGCCGTTGGTTTCGTGATCCTTGCTACTTTCATTGCCAAGGTGCGTTTTTTAGTCCACTTCACCCGTGACATCATCTGAGCGTTTCATTCATGAATCGCAGAGCATCCGAGAGCCATACCGCGATTGGGCTGAGGGTCATATCCAAAGGATCAAGAGTGTCCTTGCCAACTCCAGAACAGAACATACTCAGGCTGTCAAAGACCGTATTCACTCTGTCGAGCAGATGAAGGATGTCGTATCTATCACCAAGGACCTCTTTGCACTTTCCAAGGCACGTTACACAGTCTCATACCGTCTCGAACATACTCTAAAATGTTACGTAGGAGACCGCCCGTCTCGAGAATGAGGCTTTCGTTCAGCAGCAGAAGGTCGCTCTCGCCTCCGAAGTCAAGGCTGTTCTCGACAGCTGGGTTCGCTTCGAGCAGCAGGCCAAGGAGAACGAACAGACTCAGCTTGTCAAGACCGTCATTGATAACGTGCTCAAGAGTATCCGAGATGAGAAGACTCAAAAAGATATCCTTTCTGGCGCTGTCGCGGAGGTTGAGCGTAAGTCTCATTTGTCGCTTTCTTGCTGTTCTTGCTGTTCTGATGGGTCATGATTCGCTTTAGAACTTGTCAAGAGCAAGGCGATCTAGATAACACTTTACAATACTGTTCACCGTGAATAAAGTTAACTTCTTTTGCTGCTCACGCTCTGCTCTGCCGCTTAGCATCTTTGATCCCTCTGCCATGCATATCATGCATGTTCTGTCTTTCTTTTCCAATTTACTCCTCTAGCCTCATGTTGGCACTTAATTAAGTGGCTAACTGCTGTAGTCGACGACGCGTCTGTAGTGGGTATAGGTGGCTTTTAAACCGTCGAGCCAGTTGACTCCCGGACTTTATTCTCTTCTGGACAACACCAGTACAATCTGTTGTATTCCTTTGCACTCAAATGTGCAGACTGATGATGCATGCAAGCAGTATTGTGTCTGCCAAGCACCTCCAGGACACATTTACTCCTACATCATCCTTTGGTCACGGAATACTTTGATCAGCGTTTGCTCGACCTGAGGATAGGAATCAGTGTCTTTCACTTCACAGGAGAATCTCTAGGAATGACCTTTGACAGCGCGGTGTGCCTCTGGCAGATGTCAATCGAGGTGGAATATACACCAGAGGATACGACGCCTGCGTTCAAGGCGCTCCACAACAATGAACTACCTTTCCTGAAGTTGACCTTTTTAGGGACCGGATCACTGTCCACACTTGTGTTGAACAGGTTGGAGCTGCGAGATGTAGAACAGGTTGTGCTCCATACACGCACGTTGACGCGATCTGGACATGATGCCGATGAGGATATTCCCCAGATTGAACGTGTGCTCTCGGACATCATGACTGGATTGCAGGGTGTACACCCGTGCACTCTCCGGACATATCGAGTGCTGCCTTTGGAGGAAGCAGTTGTAGACGAACACATACTCGTCTCAGACCGCGGTATATCCTGTCTCGAGTTCTACAGAGACGCGCTGTCCGCAGATGCTCTCCAGACGAAGGCCAATCTTTCGAATACCACCTTACCGGCTCCAACCCTACAGATTGTCTTGCCACCGCTTGACGATGATATAGGGAGGACCACAAACGCGATCGTCGAATCCTTTGACTTGTCATCGATACGACGTGCTAGCATATCCCTCATTCCCTCAGCTCCGTACACCCGCGATACATAGCAGAGCCTATTGGCATCAATGAGCCAGCTTATGGTGCTTCGATGCTCGGGACGTCCCTGCATTGAGTTAGGGAGTGCTTTGGCTACATCCGGGGACAAGGATGTCTCTTTACATCACCTCCATGAATTATATCTGGAGAATATGCCCATTCATGCAATGCCATCTTCTGGAAATGATTCCTTTTATAGCAGCCTAACCAAATACCTAAAGATGCGAATGGATATGGGGCGTCGCTTGGAAACATTGGATATCGGAGGCATAGAAAACGTGGTGAAAAGACAGTTCCTTGCTCGTCTAGTCGGGGCACTTGTTTCGAATGGTGTTGTCAGCCACTGATCATTCATGATATATTCGAACAGTGTATGTCTCAGTTCTTTCCCCTCTCTTCGCAACTTTGACTAAGGAACTCGAAATCAGCTGCAACTGGAAACCATTGGGGCCCCCATGTATCTTCGAATTCGTTGTTGAATCCTCAGTGAATGTCAGCAGCTTTTACTGGCGGGTATGAGATGTCAGGACGTCTCATTATCACGAGTGCTCTACGAGAGTTGTCTTGGAAAAGTTTAGCTGTCATGGCACATTGCCGGTGGACGTCACCACACTGTGATCATCGTTCATTTAGTGCCCAATGGCGACAATACGGCGGATGCCATTTTGTACAATCTTCTCCAGCAACAGCACGGGCTCCACAGAAGTTGCATTCACGCTGTATTTATACTTCTAATCTCTGCTGTATCAGGCCGGTTAACTAGACAATCAAATGGCAAGTATAGACACGACTACTACACCTGCCAAAACCGGCAAGACGCTCATAGAACTTTCTGGCGTTGAACTTGAACATGCACCTTGCATGTGTTCCGTAGGTTAATCTGGCCATCTACATCGCAAGTCGCTGGTATCCTGTTCAAGTGCGAAATCATTGAGTATGTCTGCGCATTTATTTGATTGCACTTCTCGCAGCTGAATAGCTGTTCGTACCAGTTTCAGAAACATTGCTCGCTACTCAAAACCGGTGTCATTCGCCAGAATGGAATCACTGGCGGAGATGAGTTACTCGGAGCAGCTCAGAGATGACATCGCTAGGATCGACGCTAGAACGGTCGATGACGAGCCTGCTCTCACAGCACTCAGACGTCGTTTGAATCAGGAACAACCTGTCTTCAAACGTCTTCCCATCGAACTGATCCAGCAGACAACCTTATGGTATGCTCTGATGATGGGCCTTGGACACATTCCCGACTCGTCATATCCTTCGCCGTATGAGTGGTTGTATATCACCCACGTATGTCATTATTGGCGTGAGATCGCTCTAGGAATGCACGAACTTTGGAAGTACATCGTTCCAATTAGATTGGCATGCGTCACAGAAATGCTTGCTCGATCCAGGCCGGGGCTTATTTCTGTTCTCCCCTGTTATGGAGAACTGCTGGGTGATACTAGCACAGATGAAGATATGGAGGGCGCATACGAGGAGATATTCTCGAATTTACACCGTGTGCAGTACTTCTCGATCAGGTCGTGGCGACCTACCGCTATTCGGACACTTGTCAAGATGGACGACATATCGACGCTATCACTTCGCCACGTACCCTTTCACGAGATAGAAAATTATTATGATCATTTCTCCGCAAAAGTATTGGAAGTTCTCGCTGAAGACGGCTTACCTATGCTTGAATATTTCAAGTGTGAGATATTCAAAGGCTCGTTCAACATTATTTCCCCCCTGTTCCGCACCAGTCTTCATCATCTATGCCTTCCGTCTGTTGTCACACGCGATTCGCCATCGGACCTGCTACACATACTGGGCACACTTTCTGGACTGCGTTCGCTTGAACTTGGTGTTCTTTTTTATGCGCAGGCGGAGGATACAGTGGACTCCACTTTGAACGCGCACCCCATCGTGTTTCCCCACCTTCAATTACTGAAATTGAACATTTATGGGGACAGTGTTGCTCCCACAGTACTGCTGAATGAATTGGAAGTACGGGGTGTAGCGCAAGTTATAATTGAAGCGTGCCAGTGGGACTACACCGATTACGGCCCAATCCTTCCAGCCATTACAACCAGACTACAGTGTCTGAAACCTTCTACATTTCGGTCCCTTCAGGTGCGACTATCGACAGATGATACAGAAATGTACCGATCTTTCGTTCTTGACTTTTATTGGGAGACCATATCTGCAGAGACTCTCCGAGCAATGGCCAAAGACCCGAATCACACACCCCCAACTCCAAACTTACAACTCATGTTGGACTAGTGGTATCGTAGACTGTTATGCTCGTCGTTGTTGTTCCCCTTCCTAGGCTACAGGTTCTGACTGGTTGAACTACGCTGACTAATCTATCTGTGTTCGTCCCAAACAGGAAGTTGTCTTAGTACGCCTTCAACCCTTCTCCTTCATCCTCACTACTCCATCTTCCCCCCTCAAAAAATGTGAATGACGTCCTCGTCATTGTGCTTGCGTCCAATTTGAAAGATGGTGCGGCTAGAAGTGGATGATCGAGGAGTGGACCATGAGCATTGGTGATAGGCCTCGAGTTGCTCCTGTGTGAATGTGACCAGGATTCGGACCGGAAGGTCGGGGACGGTGGGTCGCTGGAAGCGCGGAAGCATGATCCCCAGGATAAAACGGGCAACGGTGAGTGTGTTCAGCCGGGCCCACCTTCATCGAACTTGCAGAAATATCACCCCCTTCTGTAGCCCACAGTCCACACAGAACTCAATCCAATCCCTCTCCAGTGCCCTGATATCTGCCACTCTCCCTAAGATATCCCGATCAATTCCAGTTGGGGTGGTCAAGGATATGAGTGAGTCAATCCCGATGTGTTTTGCCGATGGGGCCACTAAAACCCATGTGTTGGACAGACAGTGCAGACTGGATGAACAAAGGTTGGCAGCGACAGTGATGAAGGCCTGCTTGGTGGAGAGCTGGGCTTGTCGAGTGAGAATGTGCTGCACAGGCATGGTGGGATGATGGTCGCAGTCGACACTGTGAGGTGGAACCATGCACAGTGGCAAGCTTTTGAAGGCGAGCCATTGGCCATTACGCGGGTGGAAGTGAACAAGTGAGAGTGGAAAGAACAGATCTTCTTTGGAGGAATGGTGAAATTAAGCAAATTGTGGCTTGTATAAAATTAGGTATATCTGTAAGAATGTCTCTAGGTGAAAATTAGGAAATTAGTGCATAGTGCTGTTAGGTAACCGAATTAGTTGAACTGCTCTTAAGGAAGTTGAATCGTTACAGTATCAAATGGAGAATCAGAAACATCCACCCAAGTGATGGCCTGCTCTTGTTGTTGGCGAAGATTAGCTAAGAAGCGAGCCTGATCTAGAGCAAGCTGGGTGCCAATACGGGGTGTGAAGGTACATAAATGGCATGCGTGGAAGGTACCATTGATCAGAACACCAGTTAGAGTTTCTAGGCGATAGGAGTTTCTGATGTGTTCTGTGATGCGTCAGGGTGCTGACCATTTGGGCAGAAGCTTGCATTCCATTTTGAAGGTGTAGTCAAGATCATTGCGATAAATCTGTACAAGCACACTGACTTCAAACACAACTGCACCTGCCCGGCTTTTGAGAACTCGTCTATCAAAGATCACTTTGCAGTTTAAGGCATGCCGTACAGCTGCATCGTACCCATCAAGACGAAGTTGCTCGGCGTATGCCGACTGCACGGAAATGTCCTGCGAGGATAGAACTGATGTTGCAGAAGTGAGGTCAGTTGGAGTTATGTTCACCACAAGGCCAAGAAGAAGTTCCTTGGGGCTAAAATTGAAATTAGGTAAAATGCACTGATTCAATGCCTGAACGGCTGCATCCAAGTGATCAGTCCATGAACGTGGTAGAGAATCCCAATTACCTTCTTCGATGTGGTTCTCTCCAAGGGCCGGTGCACAGAGTCACTTGAGAATATGGAGTAACAATTTGTTAGCACCCTCGACAAGGCCATTTACCCATGGTGAATATGCCGATACCACATGGGTATTGGTGTTCCATGTGCTGCAAAAGTCGCAAACCTCCTGGCTATTGAAATGTGAACCACTGTCTGACATAAATGTCTCAGCGGGCGTGAAGTTGCGAAAGATCTGTCAGAGACTATCGATAGTGATCTTCGATGACCCCGCAGTTTTGTACTTGAAGGCCCATACATGTTGCGAGTATGTGTCAAGGTAGACTCCTAAGGTGTGGTAATCACCTTTTCCTGTGGGTAGAGAAAGGTAGTCGCTGACCAGGAGTTCAAATGGGTGATGACGCATGATTGGATGGAGAAGGGAATGAAGGTGGGTAGCACCAAAATTCTTACACTGAGCACAATCTTGAATGGTGGTGACAATAGACTGGTCAAGGTGGGAACTGTAGATGCAATCTAAGAGTGTGATCTTGACTGCATCGCGTCCGAAGTGTCCTCCATTACTGTGAGTTTTGCATGCAAGATCTGTAGCTTCTGAATGTGAAATGCATTCGACATGGGACTGAGCATGGTTATTTCGCATTGGGAAGGTTCGCCATAGTTTACCATTGTCAATGTGATACTGTGATGCACGGTGGTGTGCTCGAGACTGGGACTGCAAGTTTGGATTCAATTTGAGATCTTCCAATGCATGTAGGACCTCTAAAAATACAGGCTCCTCCTTGAAACATTCAAAAAGCCTGTCTTGTTCATGTTGTCCTGGGTCAACGATTGTGTCATCTGTTAAAGTAAGAATGTCATTGATGAGACTGGTGTTTGCCTCCCAATCTTCACAGACTGTCCATTCGCTACTGTCATGTTCTGTGTGCTCCTGACCTTCTCCTTGACGGCTGAGACCATCAGCGATGACATTGATGTGTCCTGGTACATGTCGTACATCAATAATTTGATGAGCTAGAATTCCATCTCTCCAGCGTGCATGTGCCACATTGAGTTTGTCATTCAAAAGAACGTCATAAAGTGCTTGACAGTCAGTTTCAATTTTGACCAGAAAACCCCAGATAATGTCTGAAAACTTATCTAAGGCAAATTTTAGTGCTGCAAACTCGAGCAAGAATGGCTTGTAGTTCTCTTCTGCATGAGATGTACGCTTAGATGCAAATGCTATAGGATGTAGTCTGTGAACTGTATGGCCATTCTCGAGAACTGTGGTAAACCGTTGTGTGAGTACTGTGCCAAAACCATCCTTGTAGCCATCAGTGACTACAATGAAAGGGGAACCATTCCACTGTGGTCGTCGGAGTACTGGTTCTGATGTAAGGGCAATTTTGAGGGTGAGAAATGCTTCGGTATGTCGATGGTGCCAGTGTGTAGCTAGAAAATAGTTCTTCATTGTACGGCGATATGTCATCTTTGAACAGTTGGCTGGTACATTAACTGCCTTGATGAGGTCACATAATGGTCCTTCGATTCATGCATAGTTTTTGATGAGATCGTGGAAGTGTCCTGTGAGACCTAGAAAGGATAACAGATTCAACGCATCTGCTGGTTGTGGCCAATTGACAACAGCGGTGACTTTGGCACGGTCTGGCATGACTCCCTGTGGTCCTACCAAAGCACCTGCAAAGATAGCCTCTGTTGCAAAAAGCTTTGTCTTAGTGGCTGATAAAGATAAGCCATGTTCACAAACATGTAGAAGAATGCGACGTAGCTTAGCCAAAAGTTCATTGAAGTCATCGCCCGCTGTAAGGTGTGCACATGGTGCACACCCTACAGAGCATGCATGCATCAAGACCACAGCAACACAACAACACTTATCATCAAGACAACATACCACTCCATTCTTAGCACGACAATACCGTCTCGACACCATTTCCCTTTTCTCTCTCTCGATCTCTCTATCTCTCTTTCCTCTATCTCTATATCATACAAACAAAGTCAACAAGCTTTCATTCTCATCTTCTTTCCTTCACCTCATCTTTATAGATAACTAATTCACCCATATACACCATCTCGACAAACACTTTCCAAACACTCGCATCTTTATTTCTCTTCTCTCCATCTCTCATAGCTAGACTTCCCATCTCCACGATACAGAAAACAACAACACCATCTCACACTCACCATCTCGACACTCATCAAGATCCATCTCGCATCAAGACAAACCAAGTTCACACGACGGAGGGAAGGAAAGGAAAGGTTACTGAAGAGGCTTCTATTTAGATTGACAGGACATCCCTACGATATGGTAGACTCGATGTGCAGGACACCATATCCCACTCGGACCTAAACCTGAGGCAAGTCTCAAGGAGACTTCAGCTGGCAGGATGCACCCATCACACCACTCTCTTGGATCTAGCAGCCCTACCCCTCTGTGCGACGGCCCTGGTGATGACGGTTGCGATTCACATGAGGAGTTCCCCTCTGAACTGTACTGGTACCAATCTCGATTACTCTCTGCCTCAAGCCCACAATCCTCTGGTTCAAAGCTGTGTATCATCTCGACAACTCGTCCATCTCGACCAACTCGTCATTCAATGCGGCCTGCAAGGAGACAAGGTCCTCAGCCATATGATACGACTCCTGAGGATGTTATCCAGCCAGGCCAGCAAATCATTGTGCCTCACCCATTGCAGCCAAGTATCGCATCACTCGAAGTTCTAGACACGAATCAGCCTCGAGACATACCACTAGATCTGATGAACAACCTACCAGCTGGTGGCCCTCCATGTGCATAGTTGTCGAGATGACGGAATCTGAAGGAGGTCCTCTCACGAGGACCATGAACAGGCTCGGTGACCAGACAGAGGTCCTCGATAATTACTACTGCCTGTGCAAGGACACTCTCATCAAAAACTCGAGGAAGACTATCCCCATTCTCGTGAATCTCATCATGACAAGACTGCACCAGTTCCTATTAGAAAAAGTCATTACTTGCCCCTCCATCGGCATCGAGATGCATTCCTACCGTATAGGCTCGAACTCTAGTTATCCAGGCCAACCAATCGAGAGAGTCACGATCTTCGGGAATTCTGGCGAGATCGAGGAACAATATTCGCATAGTCACACACAAATGTTTGACAGCACGTTCAGACTTTGTGTCAGGTATCGAGGCAGCATATCATCTAAGAGGATCAATCTGGGACATCGAGGAGAAGACTATCAAGGTTGGGAGGTTGTCGAGATGCAGAAGGGTATAAAGTCCCGAAGGGGGGGAAGGTCCTTTCGGCCGAACAATCCACACAGGAAGAGGTCCGGTGGGTCTTGACTGAGGCAGAAGGTTGACCACGGCATCGAGACTTGCAAGAGACCAGTTGAAGGAAGGCCCCAGGGAGCCAAGCCAGGTGAAGACTAATCTCGATGAATCAGGAAGGCAGGATTGAGTTGGAGATGGTTTGGTTGGGATGTTTTCATGATGGGACTGATCGAGATAGAGATGGTGGAACGGAACACAAAAGGACGAAGAGGTTTCGAGAAGGAGGACAGAGACTTTCCCCCCCTTGACTTAGGACTGACATTCCAAACACTCAATTCACGACTACGAATTTGAGGAGGCTTCAACATCAGTATCTTTTCGATAGGACTATATTTCTCTCAGCTTGTTTAGATACGATTTCTGTTTACTCTAATACATCCCCACACTTTACAACATACTGGCTGGTCTTTCAACGAGGTTAGGACTTTCTCGCATTGTCAACAACCGTTTCGAGATACCTTTCATACCCATCTCGAGGGGATTTGTACCTGAGGGCTCTTGTTGGGAGGTGTGTCATATTGCTTTCAAGACGAAGGAAGGAAAAGAGGTGGTTACAGAGAGGTTCATTGCTTGGTTTCTGAGGGATAGACTTGACTTGGTCGAGGGAGATTCTTGAGTCGAGACAGCTGTACCAGTGGTTGGGACTGTTGAGAGGTACGCACAGGGAGAGGAACTCGTCACAACTCATCCTTCAGAACTTGGAGCTCTTCAGCTGTACTTCCTGTACATCGAGCATCTTCGAGAGACAGTTGGAGGACTTGTTGCCCTATCAGACATAGGCAGGATCAGGACTTGGGAGTGTGACATCTCGAACGCACTCGACCTAGGCAGTGGTACTGTCTACTGGATCTCGAAGGACCATTCTGTATACAGTTTCTTCACCCATACTCTTCAGTATTCTCCTCGACTACTGAACTAAATCACTACAGTCACAAGTAGGACTTCACCCCATCGAGAGTAGTCGGAGACCACTCTCCTCTGCGACCGTATTTCATCTCAGTACGCATCAGCCTTCTACACACCTTACACTGCTGTGGCGCCATCATCGATGAAGAGCTCTA